TGCTGAGTAAGTCTCGAATAGGGAGCTGAAGAATTTTCTTCCTCCTGCTCTCTATGCCGATCGCCATATGCTTACATATCCCACCCAATCAGGCTCCACGAGGAGTTCAACGAGCGTGCTCACCACGGCAACGAGGTTCACGATCTCGCCGGCGGCTTCATTGCCGCTGATGAGAAGAAGGACTTCACCACTCTCTCAGCCGATGGTGCTGAGGCCGGTCCCACTCCTGACGGCGAGGAGCCCAGCGACTATGAGAGGCGGACTCTGCGCCGTATTGGCGAGAACTTGCCCGCCTCAGCCTTCCTCATCGCCATTGTGGAACTGACAGAGCGTTTCACCTACTATGGTGCCTCTGGTCTTTTCCAAAACTACATCAGCAATGGTTCTCACATCACCACCGACTCTCCTGGATTGGGCATGGGTGGCCAGGCCGCCACTGGTCTGAACCTGTTTTTCCAATGGTTCTGCTATGGTATGTGATACTGGCTCTGCTTATACGCCGGTCGTGTGACTGGTTTCGAAGAGAGCAATGTTTGGCTAATTCCATGATTTCTTGGTACACAGTTACTCCTATTCTCGGTGCCATCATCTCTGATCAGTATCTCGGCAAGTACAAGACCATTATGCTCTTCTGCTGCGTCTACTGGGTTGGTCTTGTCATCCTGTGGACTACCTCTCTGCCCGTTTCCATCGCCCACGGAGCCGGTCTGCCTGGCTACATTGTTTCCATCATCATCATCGGTGCCGGCACGGGTGGTATCAAGTCCAACATCGCCCCCTTGATCGCCGATCAATACCAGCGCCGAACCATGGCCATCAGAACCGAAAAGGACGGCGAGCGAATCATCATTGACCCTGCCATCACCTACCAGCGCATCTACATGATCTTCTACTGGTGCATCAACCTGGGTTCTCTTTCTCTTATCGCCACTCCCTTCATGGAGAAGTACTGCGGCTTCTGGACTGCCTTCCTCATGTGCTTCATCATGTTCAACTTTTCCATCGCCATTCTCGTCATCCGCCGCAAGTCATACATCATCCACCCGCCGCAGGGCTCCATCATCACCGATGCTTTCAAGGCCATTGGTTTGATGATTATGGCTCGCAACATGGACGCCGCCAAGCCTTCATGGCGTGAGGCCAACGGCAAGACCAAGCCGGTTAACTGGAACGACCACTTTGTTGATGAGCTCAAGCGTGCTGTCCGTGCTTGCAAGGTCTTTGTCTTCTGTAAGTTTTGATTGATAATTACTACATCTGAAATGCCCAAACTAACAAGATACTCAGACCCCGTCTTCTGGGTTGGTTATGGCCAGTTCTCCACCAACTTCGTCACCCAGGCTGGTCAGATGAGCGGCCACGGCATGCCCAACGATTTCATGCAGAACTTCGATCCCATCTCCATTCTCATCTTCACGCCCATCCTTGACCTCTTTGTCTACCCCACCCTCCGCAAGGCTGGCATCAACATTCGCCCCATTGCCCGTATCACCCTGGGTTTCATCTTCACCTCTCTCTGCCTGGGCTATGCCGCCATCGTCCAGCACCTCATCTACAGTTCTGGACCTTGCTACAAGGACCCCCTCAACTGCCCTGCTGGCACCGTTGACGGCCAGACCGTGCCCAACAACATCCACATTGCTGTTCAGGCGCCTGCTTACGTCTTTGTTGGTCTTGCCGAAATCTTCATTTCCGTCACTGGTCTCGAGTACGCCTACACCAAGGCTCCTCCCACCATGAAGTCTTTCGTCCAGAGTTTGTACCTCTTCACCAACGCCTTTGGCTCTGCCATCTCTGAGGCCCTTGTCTCCGTGTCCAAGGACCCCGAGTTCGTCTGGATGTATACTGGTGTCTCTGTCGCCAGTTTCATCGTTGCCATTGTCTTCTTCTTCCTCTTCAACCACTACGACAAGATTGAGGATGAGTCATTCGAGCTGGACCGCGAGCAGCCTACTGTTCCTCCGACAAAGGAGGTTGAGTACGAGGAAGCTAACTAATGGAGCGAGGGTGGAGCTGTGTGATGAAGTGGATGTAGATACCAAAGTGTATTTTGTAATATTACTACTAGTATATAATGAATTATCAAGCAAAATTAGCATTGTACAGCAAGCATCAACTTGACCCCCACCCACTGATAAGAAACTTTTCATGACCTGACTCTTGCTTCCCGTTGCCACCTCTGGATGGAGCGATGTGGAAGCACTCACACCAAAGAGCTGCTGCTTAGCTTCTCGAACATTTCTATGCATAAAAAAAAATCTTTATTACGGAAAAACTAGCTCCGCGCCAGTCCCTCGTATAGCGCGCCAAAGCCCCTGGTCCCACATCTGCATCAGCCGAGGCCGACTGCACTACCGGACGCTATAAAAGAGCGCTCCATATCTGTTCCTAGGACGGCAAAGCTTGCCTGTAAGCAGCACATCTTTTTATCTCCGTAGCGCGCTTTGTGGCAAATTGTCCGAACGCGTACCGCTAGCGCCAGGAGTAAGCGGTGGTGTTCCGCGAAGAGCCACGTTTTGGCCAAGAAGCGCGGCGTCTCTGCCGAGGGAAGGAAAACTACACGATGCCGGGCTGGGCCGTCTTGGCCGGCAGTGTGGCCGGCAGTGTGGCCGGTAATATTTCCATCGGCATCGGCTTGGCCTGTTATGACGATGGACGACTCTTGGCAATACTTGGCAGATTGGATGAGAATTACTTTACAGTAGGAGAAGACGAAGACGACAAAGAAGAGGGAGTAGAAGAAGAAAGGGGCACAATGCGCTACGGAGATGGCCACAGACTAGTCTGGTTAATGGAGGGGGCTAGAGAGAAGCATTAAAGAGTGTATAAAAAGGCAAAAAAAAAAAGAGAAAAAGAAATGACACCTGAGGGATTCGAACCCTCGCCTATTTCTAGACCGCGAAGCTGGAGAGCTGTTGGACAGCAACACCTGAACACGGCGCCTTAGACCACTCGGCCAAAGTGCCTTAAGATTTAATTGAAAGGCGATGCACTAATATGTTTCATACAGCGAATCTGCAGCGAAACCACCTGGGAAATTCAACAGAGAGACGCTGCAGCGTTTTGCTCCTTTTACAAGCAGCGCAAGTATTATATCATTACGCTCCATAAGGACTTGAATCTACACAACTGCCTACCTTACCTTTCTATTAGTCTTTCATCCTTTTATTTTTGAGAAATAAGAAGGTGCTACCTCTAGCAGACCTTTACTCCTAGTGCTTCTCACAACCCTCAGCCCTATAAACCGCACCTGCGCCGAGTTTACATGTAGCTTAAATCGCTTTGTACAGCTAATGCAGGGACTCACTAATAAATGCCCCAGAAGGGGCAAAAAGAGCATAAGCATACTTACAGATCAATATACACTCGTTCTCTACTGACCAATAATACAGACACATTCGGGCTACACCGGCGGTCTAAGTTAGCACTAGAACCAACCTGCCGGCTCAGCTGCATCTATCTGACGGTATTGGTTCATTAAAATGATCTTCAGCCAGCCAAACACATTAGACTACGTCTGTATAATTCAGCCCAGTCCTACAATCACCAAGCTTATCATTACACTGGCTTAAGTCGATCTACCAGGACGACCCCTTGGTAACTAGACGACTCCATACCAAGCTCGCATTCACACACACCATCGCGAATGTTCCAAAATCACAAAAAAGAAAAAGGCAAAAACATACAACAGCCGGTGTTTGCTGATGGTCACCCACTCAACTACTAATCTGCCTCTCATTGGCTTGACTCTGGGAGAGCAGACGGGATCCCGTATTTTCCAATGGATATGGTCGTATGTGCTGTAAGGCTGGCTGATCCAAACTTATAAAAGAAAATGTTCTAAATATCGCAAAAAGCAAAGGCAAAAACATACAACAGCCGGTGTTCGCCAGTGGTCACCCACCTGACTACTAATCTGCCGGTTAGTGGGTTGTCTATCGGGGAGCAGACGGGACCCAGAATTTTCCACTACCTATGGTCGTATGTGATTGAGTTTGGAAGCAAACCAATCTATAGCAGACATGCGGTTGACGATTCAATATGCTCGTGCTCTTTGGAATATGTGTGGTATGCTTGTAGATCAAGCTGATCATGTCAAACGTTAATATTCCATCGGGTAGATACCTATATCTTATTTCCTTCCTAGTCATTGTAACCCTGAAAGCTTCCGCCTTTAAGCGAAGAGCTTGGTCGCTCAGAGAGTTCCAAAGGTGAAAATTTCGCTAATGTTGTGTACCATCTTTCTTTCCAGCTTACGACATGCGATATGCAGTGCTCTTCGTTTGTCGTCACCATAGCTAGGAGCAGTGCTACAATTGGCTCTCACTCCCATCTTTGTGACGTCCAATCATTCATAGTGCCATGTCTGCAACCAATATGTGGATTTTTTTCTCGAGCAACGATTCAAATGGAAAGACAGAACTCCAACGGGCGGCCTCTTTTTGTAAGACGGCTCCATAGCCGGCATGGCGTGAGTAAATCCACAAAGTCAAGTATCATTATGACTAAAGGTGAAGTCCAGTTGCATCGCTAACCGCGGAATCTGTAGATTGTTCTCTTTTTTTTTTTTTTGCGCTTCCATTTAAGAGGCAATCTTCAAACGCCAATATAATTTTCATTGATAACGCTTGCTATACAGTGGGAGGCGGAAATGTAGCCCAGCACCTTGGTAGCTGCTAGCACAGAGCTCCCTGAAAGAAATTCGCCCCTTAGTCATCTACAGCCCAAAAATGGCATTTCCGCTGCTTTCCCTCAGCCACTGACTAATTCTCGAGCGCTCATTGGTTCGGCTGAATCCGGGGACAATAGGTACTTCAGTACTTGCTCGTCAACCGACCATGACATGATCGTTTTCCGCGGTTCCTGGAGCTGAGCCGAGAAATTGATTTCTAACATCCGCATCTACCCTCCCCACCTTGAGTCTCCAGAGCTTGAAGCCTCAACCCTTTCGACGGTGTACACCAGCATGCACTGCGTCCGCGCTGCATTTTTATGATACAATGATGAACGTCTCTTACTCTACCGGCCGCGCTGCGCTGCGCCTGAGCCGCTCTTCTTTCCGCCACTTGTGCGGCTCCAGAGTCGCCGGCTTCGCCTACCACTCGTATCCTTTGCCGTCCAAGATCCCTGAACCTCCTAGGAGCGACGACATCTCCAAAGCATCCATCGCCCAGCCAGAAGCTTTACCTCGAGTCCATGAGACACGGCCGCCTCTACAGCACGACGCCGCATCCAAGCCAACAGCCCCGCCGCAGGTCCAATCTCAGTCAACGCCTTCTCCGGCAACATCATCAGCTCCTACAACCCTAAAGGCCAGCGAAGCTACTACCACTACCACAAGCGCAAAGCCCGCTACACGACCCCGTTCCAAGCTCCGAGCTCGCAAGGCGGCCATGAAGCTCACCCCCGCTGCTGTTGATCAGCTTCGCGCACTGCTCAACCAACCTGATCCGAAGCTCATCAAGGTCGGTGTACGGAACCGGGGCTGTAGCGGGCTGGCATACCACCTGGAATACGTTGATAAGCCTGGCGCTTTCGATGAAACGGTGGAGCAAGATGGTGTCAAGGTCCTGATCGATAGCAAGGCGCTGTTCAGCATTATTGGTACCGAGATGGATTGGGCAGAGGACAAACTGAGTCAGAAGTTTGTGTTTAAGAACCCCAACATCAGTATGTGATATACGCCGCACATTGTGCATTTATTGACTGTCTTTTGGTACCGATGACTAACTAAAAGCAGAGGAACAATGTGGTTGTGGAGAGTCATTTATGGTCTGAGAAGATTAGAGAATTCAAACGACGAGGCCGACGACCGGATACCGAAGCGGATGCCGATACAGATATACAAAGGAATTGTACGATGGCGATGTTAGAGAAAAGAATTACGAAGCGAGGTCCTCGTGAGAGAGACCTGCTTCGCCAGCCCGCACACGGGTTTCATTATAATAGTGTTGATACGAGAATGTTACGAGCACGGGGAGTAAATGGGCAATAGTATTATGGGGCAATCATACCGGCGTTAGGTTAGAGGTACAAGATGTCCTTGATCAAATACATCTCAAATACATTTTTATGAATAATTTAGCTGGATTGAAGTACAACAAGAGATCTAAGCTCCCCACGATTGGTATATGACAAAAGCAACTATGTGTCTTGCATCAGCACACAGAATGGCAGCAGCGGTTTGAGTCACAAAGCAGCTTATTTCCAATCTACCTTTGAAGCTATGATATCCATGCTTACACATTTCCGCGCCTGTCGTTATAGAACCTTCTGCGCCATATCGGGAGCAACGCCATCCATCCAGCCAGCCATGGCGCTGATGTCACCGCAATTCATGAGCAATGTCACGTGATCTGGCGCCAAGATGGGCGTTGCTATCAATATGGCCACAGGCGTCAATTGTTGCGTGTAATCTCCACGCGTGGCTAGGCATATTGCCTATGCCTGTGTGAATATATATTTGCCTGCGTTCACCTATAGCTCATTTCTGATCATTTGTACTCTCAGTACAATTAGAATACTTGCCAACATCCAATATCGGAAAAGTTGAATTATATCTAGCAGTCACTTATACCACACCACTGAACTGATAGTCTCGACCATCTATTCTACAACCAGCAATACCCTCTTTCAAGCGCTACTCATGGCACCTACTATCCAAAAACGCAACTTGGGAATGGCCACTACCTCAAAGGCATCATTGAGCTCCAAAATCCGGAAAACCACCAAGCCTAGAGCCAGAGTCCTCAGCAGTGCAGCCCCCATCAACAAGAAATCAGCATCCATTCCCGCAGACATGCAGCCACAGCTTCTTCGCATAGCGGAAAGCCAACGCACAGATTTTGAGAAGCGCGTGTGGACAGCACTCTGCCAGATTCCCCGCGGACGAGTCACGACATACGGCTTGCTTTCTGCATATCTGGGGACGTCGCCGCGAGCCGTGGGTAACGCGCTCCGGCGGAATCCTTTTGCGCCTGATGTGCCGTGCCATCGTGTTGTGGCGACGGGAGGGTCTTTGGGTGGCTTCAAGGGCAGTTGGCCCAAGGATGGAGAGGGAATCACGATTACGGAGAAGAAGACGTTGTTGAGGGGAGAGGGGGTCAAGCTGGATGACAAGGGAAGGGTGTTGGGGACAGTCTGGTCAAGTTTTGAGTAACAGAGCCGGGGATGAGGAGATTGTATGATATGATGAGTGGGAAACATATGGCGTTTGACGGTATTGCTTCACGGTGTAGGTAGGATTAACAGCTTGCTAAATTACAACTATCTAATCAATATGATGCTTAGATAAAGAATCTTGTTCCTCGCCAGGCTTGTACAGTGCCAAGGAAACCCCAAGAGCGGGTGTCCCAATGAGATCGACCTGTAGCTTCTGTGCCGTCCAATCACCACGATACTCAATCTTTTCATACTGCTGCGCTAGACGAACCACTGAAGAGACGAGATAAGCTTCTGTTAGCTGGCTCGGTTGCACCCGGGATGGAGTGCCGGATCTTCTTGTCTCAACTTACAGCAAAATGCCATTTCGGTCAGGGCAAAGTTCTGGCCAATACATATCCTAGGGCCTCCTGAGAATGGAATATACGTCCATGGCTTGGGCGTCCAATGCTCCCATCTTTCAGGGCTGAAAATCTTCAAATCTGCAAAATGCTCAGAAGTAGGTGGATACAAGTCCGCACAAGTGTGCATGCCAAGCACATTTATCGTCACGCTGTCTCCCTTGAGAAGAACGATGTCAGCTTCCCCAGATCTTCCGGGGATAGTCGTGGTTTCTAGAACCTGTCGCATGTTGAGAGGGACAGCTGGATGAAGCCGAAGGGTCTCGTTGAGGACATTTTTAAGGTATGTGAGATCTTTGAGTATCTCGTAAGTTGGCGTCGCCTGGGGCCCTAGTTTGTGCAAGATCTCTTTGCGCAACTTGGTCCACATCACGGGATAATTCGACAATTCATACATTGCCCATGACAGAGTTGCTGCCGTGGTGTCTCTCCCGGCAAATAGCACAGACATGATTTGATCCCGGATCAGCTTTGGATCTCTGGTGTAGAGGGCAATGCTATGTAGGAATGAGAACTCCATGTATGATTTGGACAGCTCCTGTAGTCGTGTCGGACAAATGGCCAAAGTCCGTGCAATAATCGGTTCAATGAACTGTTCTATTCTTTTTATTCCTCGGTAATAGTCACCTTTTGGGACTAATGGCGCAATAGGACTGTTATAAATGAGTTGAGTATGCATCCTGGCTATTGTGGTGAGTCAAGGGCAGATATACTCACTTGAGAACAAATATGTACATTTGCATCCGCTGAACAGTATGTATCGCACTGAAAACTTCATTGTCGGGGCTGAAAAGACAAGGGGTTAGTACATGTAAATGTAACTGTCTAAAGTGTAAATCGCACCAGAGTGGCAATGGAGATATGGGAAAGGAAAGTCCTCACAATTCCAAGCTGCCTGCATTCTCTCCAAGCAGAAATTCAGTGGTCGTGTCCAACGACCAGCGGTAGAACAAATCTTTCAGGTCAACGGTGGCTCCTGAAGAAGGAATCTTTGAGACAAGTTTGTCGGTGCATGCATCAAAGATGGCCAGATTGCGCAATCTGTCCTTGGAAAACATGGGTCTGATCATGCCGCGGCTGTCATGCCAAAGCTGCCCATCCACGCCAAAGATGCCGTCTCCGAGAAAAGGGTACCATAGTTTATGCCACATGGGCCCATGACCAAAGTCTGGGAATTTTGTTGCCAGGATCGCCTTTATTTGTTCTGGGTCTCGGGTGATGAGGACTCTCTTGGAACCTGTCAGGCTGAACTCGGCAAACGTCCTTTTCCCGGGAGGCAGGCTGTCCAATTGGCTTGTGCACCAATCGACAAGTCTGTTGTGATACTGATTCTTGCCAATCTCATAGTACAGCTTAGAAGCTGTGTCATGATTGGGAAGCGGTTAACGGCGGATAACAATGGAAAGGAGGGCGAAAAGAGAGATGACAAAGTAAGGGTGAACTAACCCGATAGCAGGTTGCCTGCCAAGACAGGCGCCCGAGCACCGCCAGCTCTTCTAATTATGATGTCTGAAACACGATGGCGAAGCCATACTAAGGCAGTGATGATCGGTATGAGACCGATAAGGTAGAGAACCATGACTGAGGAAGATGAAGATGCATGAGAATGGCAGGGGAAACACGAGAGCATAAGAGATTCGAGAGGCGGTAAAGTAGATATACGATACAACAATTTACATGACTGACCGCTCGATCAAGAAGAAGTGTTGAAGTTGCACAAATAACTCGACGCTAAAGAGGACATGAGGCCAATATCGCGACCCAGACCGCGCAAACTATACCATGAAAGATCTCTCGAGCTAGACCGTAAAGACTAGAAAGAAGCTAACTATTAAGCTTCTTATTGGAGAGAATACGAAGTGCCGTCCAAACTCAAGGGTCAAGGTTCCAGACAGGGGGTAAAACAGGTGCCTAACACATTAACACAGACATGGAGCAAACTCAATAGCACAGAATCCTACGGCTTCTTGCTGCGCAAAGGAGCAGCTGAAGGGCCTCGGCTACTGATTGTGACAAACAGAGTCGGGCATGCCGTAATTCAATTGCCCACTCGAGCAAGACACTTGAGCTACATGCCGATAACTGCATGTAAACACATGTACGTATTATTCTAGAGCCTTACCACTAATTGCCCGTACGGGTTGAACGACGTGGGATACCTGAGCCAGCATCTACAGAAACTATAGCGGGATCATCGTGTGTCTAGTCGGTGTATCTAAAGAAAACGAAAACAGATGTAGGGAGAATCCTTCGGCAATTTAGTAGAAGAGCATATACGGTCAACCATGATTTGGATAAAGGCGACGACTGCAAGCTATGAGCATTGGCCAGATGAGTTGGCAAAGGGGCGGATCGGCGGTTGGCTCTTCAGCTTCAGCAATTGCGGCTAGCACATGGAGTTTGAGGCTCGACTGCGAATGGCTGATATACGGGCAATCAGGCAAGGGATGCTACCGTAGCGGGGCTGCGTTGGTGATGGTGCATGGATAGATGTGCGGTTTTAGATATTTTAGGTGGTTTTAACATGCGGTGTCAGCATGAGGCATCTGATGAGATGATCAAGATCTGTCGGGTCGGATACCGCCCTTGCATAAGCTTATTTGCGGTGCAGGTGCCTTGGACTCTAATACATGTACACAGGATGCAAGGCAACAAAACCGCCGCAACAGAGGCGAAAAGGAAGCATTATTCTTGACTTTTTCATTTCTTCACAGCAGACAAATCACCTCTATCCTCCCGATGCTGAGTGAAGTACGGATAATACCTATTTGGTAATGACACATGGCTGTGTAGGAAACGCCCGGGCCAAGCTAGACTTCCGAGTTCTGGCTATTCTTTCAGCGACTACTACAACTAGATAGTCTTGTTCAAGCATACAGCAACTTTAACGAGAGAGCTGCTGGTAAATATAGCGTTTTGCGTCGATATCTGAGTACAATGAGCAAAGACATCCCCATCAACTGGCTTGTTCGACTTCAACACACAACTTGCATGCGAATCATTTCCAATGCAACATTGTCCAGGTTAGCAGCAGACAGCTGTATCCAGGAATCCAGGAACCCGGCACTTGACAGCTCGACAGGGCTCTTCGGCACGCCGCTTCGCCGGCCTAACAATGTTCCGCTCCACCAGTCGGCGAAACTCGGGTACCCCCGTCGCCTGCCAGCTTAGGCCGAGCCAGCCAGGAATCGGTTTCCGCATTGAGAGCTGTGCGTCTTGAGCATCAAACCGCCCGAAAAAAACCTCCAAACAACGTCTCGTCGAGTCGATCCCGACGAGCTTCGCCCTCTTTTCCTTCCCTCGCATCTCTCTCCGCTCAATCCTCCCTTTCCATCAACATGTTCAGCATTGGCCGCAGTCGCGCGGCGGCGTCGGCCCTCAGCGCCGCAAAGGTACGGAAACGTCGCAAAAGCTGCTCCCCATTTTTTCAACCCCTCGATTATATGCGAAAAATACAATACAACGTCACAGGAATCTAACCCGAGCTCACGCTTCTTTCTGCAGCTGCACGTCACCCCCTCCGTTAGACTGCCTGGCGTCGCCCAGCAGCGAAGAGCTCTCAGCATCCACGAGTACCTGTCCGCCGACCTGCTGAGAAAGGTAATAACCTCACCCTGTTCACATGCCTGATGGCATCTTTCCCGCGCAGCATCCGGCTGACACGGCTTTCCGATTTCTTTCGCAACAACAGTATGGCGTTGGTGTTCCCAAGGGCTCCGTTGCCAAGACCGCCGCAGAGGCCAAGGCTGTGGCCAAGGACATTGGCACTGGCGATCTCGTCATCAAGGCCCAGGTCCTTGCTGGTGGACGAGGCAAGGGAACCTTTGACAACGGCCTCAAGGGCGGTGTCCGCGTCATCTACTCTCCCCACGAGGCCGAGATGTTTGCTCAGCAGATGATTGGCCACAAGCTCATCACCAAGCAGACCGGCGCCGAGGGCCGTCTGTGCAATGCAGTCTACATTTGCGAGCGCAAGTTTGCTCGTCGCGAGTTCTATCTGGCTATCCTGATGGACCGAGCCTCCCAGACCCCCGTCATCGTCTCCTCCTCCCAGGGAGGTGTCGATATTGAGACTGTTGCCAAGGAGCAGCCCGATGCCATCACTACGACCTACATCGACATCAAGACGGGCGTTACCGACGAGATTGCCCGCGGCATCGCCACCGGCCTGGGCTTCAGCGAGCAGTGCATTGAGGACGCCAAGGACACCATCCAGAAGCTCTACACCATCTTCCTCGAGAAGGATGCTACCCAGATCGAGATCAACCCCCTGTCCGAGACCTCAGACCACCAGGTCCTCTGCATGGATGCCAAGTTTGGCTTCGATGACAACGCCGAGTACCGCCAGAAGGAGATTTTCGAGTGGCGCGACACCACCCAGGAGGACCCCGATGAGGTCCGTGCTGCTCAGTCCAACCTCAACTTCATCAAGCTGGATGGTGACATCGGCTGCCTGGTCAACGGTGCCGGTCTGGCCATGGCCACCATGGACATTATCAAGCTGAACGGCGGCCAGCCCGCCAACTTCCTCGACGTCGGTGGTGGTGCCACCCCCGCCGCCATCAAGGAGGCCTTTGAGCTCATCACCAGCGACTCCAAGGTCACCGCCGTCTTTGTCAACATCTTTGGCGGTATTGTCCGCTGCGACGCCATCGCCAACGGTCTCATCAAGACTGTTGAGACCCTTAACCTGAAGATTCCCATCATTGCCCGTCTTCAGGGCACCAACGTCGAGCTTGCCCATCAGATCATCAACGAGTCTGGTCTGAAGATTTTCTCTATTGATGACCTGCAGAGCGCCGCCGAGAAGGCTGTGCAGCTGTCCAAGGTTGTCAAGTTGGGTAAGTTTACGGCCCAATACTATGACGAAGCTTGAAACGAAAAACAAAACAAAGGAAAAAAAAAAAATAGCTTCGAAGAAAGAGAATCACCTGCTGACGGATATAATTGATTTTTAGCTCGCGATATTGATGTTGGTGTTGAGTTCACCCTGGGCATCTAGACGGTAACAGAGTCGTAAGACTGGAGGCATGGAATCCTTGTAATGTCTGTTTTTGAAGGAGGGGGCGATGAAAGTAAATTAGCCAATGGGCAAGGGGGGACTTGGGAATGATGCGGCGGTCAAGGCATTTTGTTGCTTTTTCAATAGCATATGTCGACGTATTGTACGCTGTAGATAAGTAAAAAGAAGGAAAAAGAAACCCTTCTAATTCTGCCAAGCGGGAACCAAGCTGGAGCCAAGGGGGCAGTTGAACTCAGAATCCGATGATCGATCGTGATTGTTGGGGAGTTTGTTCGTAAGCTTCCAGTCGATGAGACGAGGGTGATCTGACTTCATTAGAGCGGAGCTTTCGTATCTTGTGTCAAGTCCACGCTATGCTGTACAGTAGGGAGAAAGAAACGCCGTGTCAGCAATCAGTGGAGTTTCACGAAGATAGCAAGTTTGAGATTAGGTCTTTGCAAGGACTGTAGAATCATTTGGCAGGCATCCATCGATTATATGTGCCCATATCTACGGAGAATAACGGAGAGCGCACAGCACAGATGGCTCCAAGAATAGTAAAATCGGGTGATTGTGGAATGACTCTCAAAAGGAGAGCGCGTTTTTCATGATGCGCGGTCAACAGTCTGGGATGATGGAGTCCAGAATGACACAGTTAGTCTTGGAGATATTACGGCGTGGATCGCGATTTTGATTGAGCCCGGCGTTCGGAAGTCGTTCGGTTATTACTTTTGGCGCTGGTTCGGATGAATGGCAGTGCCTGCAGGGGGGGGTGTGGCCAGTGCCGAGATTTTGGGGAGAGAGGGTTGCCTATTGCGTGCATCAAAGAAGAACGGAGAAGCCGCTATTGTTTTCTGTTTCTTTCTTGTTCCATGTGACGCTGTTAATTAAGTAATTAATCAACATTCTGTACTGATTTGGAATGACGAAAGGGGGCTATTATGGAATCTTGGAACTTCGGACGAGAGCAACTGCACAATGACTTCAGAGCAACTTCGATAGCCGGTTAGCAAAGTTCGTTAGTCACTAAAGACTTAGTCACCAGCGCTTAGTCACGCGGCGCCACAGCAGGGCCAGATTGGGCAGCATTGACCCGTTTTGGCATTGGCCCTCTTCAGCCCTAGCTGCCGCAGTGGATTCGGACGAGTTCGGAGGATCCCTTGTAACTTTGTAAGGCTTCAGTGATGGAAGTACATACAGCTCTAACTATCTGTACTGGCTGTTTCTTGCTATTTCTTGTCGATTTTGGTTACAATTCTGGGTTCCATTGTTAATTCTGCACTGTACCTCCTGTGACGAACGGCGTGGTGCTAAAGCCCAAGCTAATCCCGAGAATCACTGGTCTCGCAATGGCGAAATACCGACGCAGCGCCGAGAGACTCAGATCTGGGCGGCCACTCGTTGGGTTGTCAGTGAGCTGCAGCAGGGGGGGTGTGCGTGAGGCGTGTGTGCTGGCCCTGTCGGCAGAGTTCGGGTATTGCGAAGCGTGTAAGAAGAAGCGAAAAGAGTTTTTTTTTTTTGATAGTTTCTAATCTATAATTATGCCATATGACTCTTCAGGGTCCAGGATATATAACTCTTGTCCATCTCCCCAGTTTCTTGTGGGTTTTCACTTTTGAACTCATCGACAAGAACCCACTGGCAAACAAACAAGCTTTCCTCTTAAGCATCAAACACTGTTGACTCTCATTCTCATACACTTCAAACGAAGAAGCAACAAACACAACTAAGAGGTTTACTCAACGAACCTCAAAAACTCTCACTCAACTATCACTCAACTACTCGACTTCTTTAAACCACAACCAACAATCATCATGCCTTCTCAAGGTCAAAGCTGGTGGGCTCGCCACTGCACTCCTCGCCCTCCCATCAACCCCGTCGTCGTCTGCACCTGCCACTACTGCTACAACAAGCCCGCCGAAGAGCTCGACTATCCCAAATCGTCCAATAGCTCTGCCACCGCCACGCCTGCCCAGTCTCGACCAGTCAGCCCCCGGGCCTCGACTTCGTCTGTCTACGGCAAGCAGTAAACACACACAAGACTGTTTTTCGAACACCCGATAGATCTGGATTTCGTCTACATGGATCATAGAAGATACACCTGAAAAGCATTTTGTTTTTTCCATCATTCAGCCAGCGAATGCAAAACACCAGCACACAGACACACACACACACACAAAGAAAAAAAAACACGGCACTTCTTGCCGATCAATCGGGGTCGGCGCCCGGCCCCACTTTGGGTGCGCCAGGCCCGGGCAAAAAAGCTGCAAAATCACACGCCACACAAACCAAAAATTTAGGGGACGACGTTTTTTTGGATGGAAGGGACAGGGACAAAAGTAATTAATGGGCAGTGCACGGATAATATTGGATGCGATTTGGTTAGCGATGGAATTTTGGAATACCCCCTTTGTTGAGAAATTAATAGCATCTCCTATAAATACATCTTTTTTATACAATACCTTTTTAACATTTTTTTTGTTCGCATTGTGTTAGTCTATGGTCCATGTCTTATGCAAGGTCGCATTCTGTCTTCGGCGTATCCGCATCGCACAGCGCCTGGATGTGACTTACACTGAAGTCATGCAGAAGCACGTTGACGTCACGCATAGCGCAGATGCATCTCATTTCCAATCTGCATTTACCGAAATAACAGCTCGCATTATGCGTAGAAACAAAATGATTCGTTGCTTTTGCATTTCGTAGTATTCACAATTCAATACTCATCGTGTTATTATGCCGCCATCTATTGACAGCGCTATCCTCACTGCACTGAACCTGGACAAAAACCACACCACCATATCCTCCGCCGGCGGATCAGGCTTCGCATCCACCTTTAAACTCTCAACCACAAAAGATGGCCAGCCCTTTGATTACTTTGTCAAGACGAGTTCTGGCGAAGGAGCTAGAATAATGTTTGAAGGTAACAAAGTCACTTTTTATCTTTTAGTCCCATTTCTCACTCCCTCTTTAAATCTGCAGCTCCATAGGGCTAACACACGCCATCTCTCACTTACAGGCGAACATGCCTCCCTCAACGCCATCCACAACGCCGTCCCCGACTTCTGCCCCAAGTCATACTGCCATGGCCCCATGCAGCAATCCAGCAAGTACTTCCTCGCCACCGATTTCCTCCAGCTAGGCTACTCCGACTCTCAGGGCTCCGGCGTCTCCTTCGCAGCAAAGCTGGCTAAGCTCCATACAACACCCGCGCCCATCCCAGCGGGCTTTGACACTCCCATGTTTGGCTTCCCCGTCCCGACATGCTGCGGCGATACAGAGCAGGACAACTCCTGGAAGTCATCCTGGGCAGACTTTTATGCCGAGAACAGACTGCGCTGCATCATGAAGAAGATTGTAAAAAACCATGGGCCGGATGGCGAGGCAGCCAACATGGTGGAAAAGGTTGCTAATAAGGTCGTTCCTCGACTGGTTGGAGATGACCGGATGAGCATCATGCCAGTGGTAATACACGGTGATCTCTGGAGTGGAAACCATTCAGCAGGTCAGATTGCCGGAAAGGGTGGCCGCGAAGAGGTTGTCTTTGATCCTTCTTGTGTCTATGGACACTCAGAGTACGAGCTCGGCATCATGAACATGTTTGGAGGCTTTGGCAGTTCTTTTTGGAGAGAGTACGAGAAATTGGTTCCAAAAGCAGAGCCGGTAGAGGAGTGGGATGATCGGATTTCGCTCTACGAACTGTAAGTGTTTCCGGAGGCAGCTTTTCATAACACAGGAAAAGGTGGAAAGGTAAGAATGCTAAAGACGTCTTGCAGATACCATCATTTAAACCACTATGCGATTTTCGGGTCTGGATACCGTGGAGGGGCCATGTCGATCATGAAGAAGCTCATATCCAAATACGATAGCTAAAGGTATAAAAGGTATTCAGACTCCGGTAAGAGACCCATCATATATAATAGAGAAAAATAACAGATAAAGCAAAGAGTATATGTACCAGCGTGTACAAAGAGAAGAAAGGAAAATAAGAAAGACAAGAAACATCAAAACGCCTTCCCCGTGCTCGCTATGGTGTCATTGTTGCCATCTATCATCAAGTATATAACCACACCCAAATTGTCTAAATAATCACCATGCTCCAATACTAGACATAGCAAAATCTCATCTCGTATCAAATCAAGACGCCAACATCGCCTGTCTCTCCGGTCTGCTCTCTTGCGCCTGCTCGTGCGCTGTCGGCCTCTCCGAAACAGGAAGCTGTGCATTCGGGACTGTAGGAAGTTTCTGGTTGACGCCAGAAATCTCCGCTTCTAGCGCGGCGAGCTCGTCTTCGACTTCTTCTTCGTCTTGCGCCGTGATACGAGTGCCGAGCATTTCGCTAATTTCCTGTAAACGCAAAGTCAGCATGAAGAAGAATGAGGCACCCAAAAATCGGAAATTGAAAAATACATTTTGATACGCAATCGCCTCCGCATTCTCCTCCATCAACTTCTCCACGTGCTCAATACCTCCCATCTCCGCGTGGATCTCCGAAAGCACCTTTGTGCCCTGCTGCAGACCAAATATCACATCTTTTTGAATCTGCGCAAATTCCACGCTGGCCGTCAGCTTCTCCAGCTGCTCCAGCTGCGCATCCGTCTTGGACAGCAGCGACTCTTGGTACTTCTTCCGCCGCAGCGCAAGCAGTGCGCGCTTTTTGTCGCCCTTTGCGAGCAGCTGCTTGGCAATTTCGGTCTCCTTGTTCGTCAGGACGGTGATGCGACGCTGGTACTGATGTAGCCGGTCGCGCTGGATCTTCATGTCCAGGATCGCCCTGGGAGGTTCTCTGAGTTAGCGTGCGAGGTCGGCAAATGGCGGGCGCGTGATGGAGGGTTTCGTTTACTTGTCCTGCTCGGTAATCTTGCTCTGTTTGCCGCCCATTGTGAAGCGATTTCTATGCTACGAACTCGGCCGTGCGCTTCTTTGTTGATCGACCGTGAGTCCGCAGACTGAGAGTGGACTAATAGTAGTAGTAGAAAAGCAACCAGGAACGAAGTCGGCGGATGACGAGGGTCCTTGTCGTCATTGTCTCGCTCGCTGTATCATGTGGCGCCGAAAGCTTTATCGATAGACAGGGGTTATGACAGGGAATCTCACTAAGCCTGATGTTTGCACAGGCTCTGATCCGAATTGAGTAAGCCGTGATGAGTGACAAGAAAGACAAACGATGTATTCTTTTGCGATGGGAATAGCTATTTTGCTCGTTAAACTTTATATTCTTTCACTTTTAATTCTACTCTTTTGCTTCACCAGTTCTAATTTCAAATGTATCTGATATTGTTCAACCGTGCTATAATTAAAGTATTTGACGTGTATCCAAACCGATTAGCTCTGGTACTAAATCTCCATAGCTGCGTGTGCTAAATTTACGGCGCAGTTTTTATTTTTTTTGCGCCGACAAACGATCGACACCAATTCTCATCATCAGAAAGGCGACAACGCCGCCAGCAGGCAACATGGCACCCAATTTCAAGTCTCGGCTGAACCTTCGCCAAGGTCTCGACCGAGATGTATATCAGATCATCAAGAAGATGGAAGACAACAATGACGGCAAGCCGTTCAAGAGCGTCAGCGCCGCATACGATGCCATCAAAAAATCCAACTCCAGCCTTAGCAGACAGAAGAAACGCCCGCTCGAAGACTCGATAGACCGAGTCTTGCAATTCCGTAAAGAGGAGTTGGACGATTCAGAGGATTCGGAAGCCGTCATTGAGGAAATGGAGTCGAAGAAAGTAGACGACGATCGGTTTTTGCTAAACCGCCAATTGACAAAGCACTGGCATGTCGACTCTGCGCCCCAAGCCACCAATGAGCAGCCTGCGGCCAAGAAACGACGGGTCCAGATCGACGGCGAAGACAAGGACGGCGCAACAAGCGGTGTTGATACTGCTACCGAGGCAGTAATCAATGGCGATGCAGTAAAGGATACAGCGAAGGCTGAAAGACAAGAGAAAGCAATACAAAAGAAGTCGCCCAAGTCTACCCGCTTCAAGGTCGAGCAATTGGAAGAGCCACTACCGCTGGGAGGTGTTGGCGAAATGCACCGCCATTTGCTTCGCCAAACAAGATACTTGCTCAAGTGCCCAGAGCTCTACGAAGGAAATGGTTGGAGAAGAGTGCCCGGAATGCTCCTGTTTGGGCCTCCAGGGACGGGCAAGCGGTCACTTATCCGTACAGTCGCGGCGAACCTCGACGTACCGATAATCACATTAAACGGCTGTCTCGAGGATCCGGAGCGCGTGGAGAAGAGCTTGACCGAGGCCTTTGATACAGCCATTGGCCTGGCGCCCAGCATCGTCTTAATAGAGGACCTAGATTGGCACATCCCGAAGCCGGGAGGCACCAACCACAACGAGCATGGCAGAAAGGTGCTCAACCAAATCACGCGACAGATGCAAAGAGTTCAACAAGAACAAGCTAATGTTCTTGCCATGGCAACAACATCAAGGTTAACCGACGTCGACCCCGTTGCGCTCGAAGCCGGCCTATTCGAAAGATCAATCCAGATGAGAGTGCCGGATCAGGATGCTCGGCATGACATTCTCAGAGTGGTAACGCGAGACAAGCAACTATCTGATAGCCTGGATCTTGCAGAAGTAGCAAAGATGACACACGGCTTCGTTGGCGCAGACATGGTCATTATCACAACCTTGGCAGAGCAGGCAGCTCAGGAGCGAATCTTCAACACAGAGGACCCAGAGGGACGACAGCTAGAGCTCCTTACCCGACCTCCCCGCAGAGACGACATGGATATATCAGACGACATGGATATATCAGACACCATCTCATTAGATCTGAGACAGCCAGCATTTACAACACTACCTATAGAGCCTTTGACGCTCGCCGACTTCCGGCTTGCCATCAAGGGCTTCACGCCTTCTCTCCGAAGAGAAGGCTTCACCGTGATCCCCAGCGTCACCTGGGACCAAGTCGGCGCCCTGGAAAACGTCCGCGAGCAGCTACACATGTCCATCATTGGCCCCATCAAGAACCCAGAGCTCTACCAGGAATTCGGTCTCAGGCGTCCTGCTGGCGCACTCCTCTGGGGCCCCCCCGGATGTGGTAAAACGCTCGTTGCGCAGGCCGTCGCCAACGAGGCACAGGCCTCCTTCATCCTCATCAACGGACCCGAACTGCTGAACAAATACGTCGGCGAGTCCGAGCGGGCCGTGCGAGAGCTCTTCCAGCGCGCTCGCTCCTCAACGCCCTGCATCCTCTTCTTTGACGAAATCGACTCCCTCGTGCCCCGTCGAGACAACGCCTCCACCGACGCTGGCGTCCGCGTCGTCAACGCTCTGCTCACAGAGCTCGACGGCGCCCAAGATCGCTCAGGGATCTACGTCATGGGCACGACCAACAGGCCCGACATGATCGACGCCGCAATGCTCCGACCGGGCCGCCTCAGCGTGCGCCTCTTTGTCGATCTCCCTACCCCTGACGAGCGCGCAGACATCCTCCGCGCAATCTACAAGACCGCCCACACCAACGCCAGCGAGGCCGAGTTGGCCAGGCTCGCCGCCGTAGCTCTGGATCCGCGCTGTAAGGACTTTAGCGGCGCTGATCTCGGCGGGCTGCACATCAAGGCGGCGGAGTGTGCGCTGAGGAAATTCATGCTGGGCAAGAAGACGGCGCGGGAGATTGACGAGGAGGACTGGGAATATGCGCTGGAGAATACGCGGTGCAGCGTGCTGAACCCGGACTCGTATAGGAAGCTGGATAGGAAGCTTGGAAAGGGGGAGTAGTAGAAACAAAGCTGAAAGCTGCCAAGTCGACAGCCTGGGAAAAAAGGAGTTTTGGATTTACAGCATGTAGATAATACCAAGCGCACGCACATAGACATGGTACAGGTTTGCGTAGAGGATACTACGTACAGCATCTCGTCTTCAATTTTCCTATTTGGTCCTGTCTTCCTTTTGGGGTAGTAGTACCCAGCTCTTTCTCCTGCGTGCATCATTCGATCGAATGCAATACTACCTTGGCCGCATGACGACCCAGGGATTTTCACTCAATGTGACGTTCGGCAAACCGCTACGCGGGATGATTACCGCCAATGCCGAGTGCCGTCGGGCGGCCTGTATCAAAAACTTGTTGCCCAAAACACCCCACCACTCGCACATTTGCTTGAAATTCAAAACGTCTCGTGAGAAAGATGGCTTATAGTGTCTGGGTCGCCTAGAAAAGCGGAGTTGGATATTATTTATACAAGCACAGTGATGATGCTTCGACTATTCTAATGTGTCTATAGTACAATCGCCGCACCCCGTCTATTGATATCTCTGTCATTACAATACTGTTTTTTTTTTGTCATTCATCGCTTAAGCGGTAGCCTCCTTGAGGTAGCTGCGCAAGTCGTTAGCATTTCGATTTTTCAATAAACAGTAAATGTCAACTTACGCGTTGAGGTCATGGCGATCCTTCTCCTTCTTGAGGCCACCAAAGGCCATCTTGGTGCCGGGGATGTACTTCTTAGGGTTCTCGATGTAGTCGAACAGGGTCTTGTCGTCCCAAGTAACGCCCTTGTTCTTGTTGGCATCGGTGAAGTTGTAGCCGGCGGTGGTACCAGACTTGCGGCCGAAGAGGCCGTGCAGGTTGGGGCCGATCTTGTGGCCGCCGTCCTTCTCGACGGTGTGGCACTGAGCACAACGGGTCTTGAAGAGGTTGGCACCCTTCTTAGCGTCACCTGGAGAGAGTCGATTTAGTACGGGGTGATTTCCTGTAGTGGAGAGATCCTGTGTTGGAGAGACAGCGAGGAAGTAGAGCGATTTCTATTCAGCGGTATGGCGCACAATCGACGGTCAAAGAGTGAGGCATATTTGGACTTGAGTGAAGCATCGTAGTGGCGGTCATCACCATCCGCAGGTGGCAAGTGAAAATGACGCACTGCATTTAGCAGCGTTTCTGCTCGACACAACACCCCGGATTACAACAAAAGAATTCTTCTGAGCGTTCTCATGCTTCCACAAGTCCAAAACACCAATCGTCTCAGTCGTCGACTATCGTGGCCCGGCTCAATGGCTTCTCGCCTTCTTCCTCGGACAGGTCTCGGCAAACCGGATTGAGAGTGCGCGGCAACTTACCACCAGCCATTTTGAAGTATGGGTATGTGAAAAGACAAAGGAGTCGTTTAGAAATAAATATGAACAGAGATAATCCAAAGAAGAACCGAAGCCTACTTTGGAAACAAAATTTTGCGAGTTGAAGGAAAAGGAGAAGTGTATGAGAAAGAAAGAAAAGAAGAAGAGCCAAGAATTTCAAGGAAAAAAAAAGTTTATGACACAATGCCCGGCTCACAGCAAAACGGCGGTGATCAGCCACAGATGTGGCGCGTGTCCGGCCAATCAGATGCCAGCAATTACATAGTCAGGCTCACTCATCGGGCGATTGTTCCCGGGTAAAGTCGGGCCACAGGGCGAGAGAATTTCAGGCGGCGCCACAGCTCCTGACTAGTAGGTGCGACTTCTTTTCTTTGTCTGCTCTCGCTGGTTTCCCGGCTCCACCGGATTTTCCTTCCATCCGCGTTTCTGGCCGGAGAAAAGTCGGCTGAAGCAGGCTTGCCTACTCTGCTCCGCTGCCCTCCACTTTCTTTTTTTTCTTCCTTTTCCTGAGGTGGGGTTCGCAAAGGTCTCCATTTTTTTGGCCTGACATCCCGCTATTTTTTTTTGGTGGGAACTTTGACGAGAAGCAGCTTCATAGCAGAGGCTGCCCGAGAAAAAAAAAAAGTGCCAACAGCTTTTGGCGGCTACTTTTGTTGTTGTTTATTTTCCTCTCTTAACCAGTTTTTTTGATCAAAGATATTTACTACAGCAGATCTTTCTTCTCATCTGCATCACCGCCGCAATGGTGACGAGAGCCGTCATCCCGCGCTTCCTGCTGCCGCTGCAGGGGCCGCTCTGGCGAGGCATCAGGATCCCCCTCTCGCAGAACGTCCACATCCGCTTCGTGTCGACCGACAAGCCCATCGTGCTGGAGAAGCCGGCCAAGTTCAACCCGCCCTCGCATGGGTCCCGGCTCAAGAGGAACTCGATGCCGAAGCACTATGGCCCGCCGCTGACCGAGGAGGAGGTTGCTGCCCAAAACAAGAAGAGTTATCCCGGGCTTATGGCGCCCCAGGGCTCGTGGACACACTGGTTCTGGCACAGCCGGCTGCTGCATACGTTTATCACAATGGTAGGGACTTTTATGCAAAGGATTTCACTCATGACTGAGTGCGTTGACTGACATGTTTCGCGTAGGGCGCGCTGCTGGCCATGGGCGTGTACACCTTCTTCATGAACTACGCCTACAACTCCCCCTTCAAGGATCTCGTGCCCCCAATCTCAGACCTGTGGCAACAGCCCACCTACTTCTTCTCCCAGTGGAAGAACGTCATCCTCATGCACGAAAAGGACAAGGCCCGCAAGGCTGCCGAGCACCGGAACCGCCACCTCGACGACGTTGCCAAGCGGAGGTACTTTATGAAGATGCACGGCATCGAGCCCATGGATCCCGTGGCCGTGGTTTTCGGCAAGAACGAGGAAAAGTCTGCGGAGGAACTCGAGGCTGCTGCCATGGGACGTGAACTGCCGCCAAAGCCCGAGACGGAAGCCCCAGCGGAGCAGAAGAAGAAGTGGCTGGGCTTTTTTTGATTGATCATCCATCAAGATCATTCTATTGTGCATTGACTGATTGGGTTGGAAAGCCAGATATATATGCTTGTCCTCCCCGTTGCTGTTGTAACTTTTAAGATTTTTTGTGCCCCATCACATTAGGCATTAGGTATTCTCTCTCACAATAGTGAGACCACAATATGATGTACCATTATATGAACAAATATCCCAACCCAAGCAACATCCGTAACATATTCGTTCTATGACAAGTCTACTCCTTCCAAACCGTCCAAAACTTCGTCTGCAACGCCTCCCTTTTCCAAGACTGCCTGAATGATGCTATCCAAGACGGCAAATCTGGTTCCGCCTAGCGGTGCCTTCCAAACACCCTCCTGGGGGAATTCTTCCACTCTCTGCTGCTGCTGCTTCTTTTGTGATGATGGATCAAATGTCCCGCTGGCCGCCAAATTGCCCGTACTAGGCACTCCAGGTGGTGTCAGCCTCGACGGAGGATCGACAGTCCGCATCGACACCAGCCTCAGCTCGCGCCCAGAGTCCACCTCCATGCTCTCATCTGCCTTTTGCGTCCGGACCTCGCACAGCGACACCGCCAGTGCAGAATCTGCAACGGCAAGCTCCTCCTTAGACGGGTCGAACAGGATGCTGTCTCCCACCGCAACAACCAGCAGCGTAATGGGCGGCCTTGAGCCCGCAGCTGCGCCTTGGCGGGGGTACAGGAACGGCGAGGCTTCCCAGTCGTCGTCGAACATGGGGTCTTCGTCGCCTTCTGACTTGAGGCGCGGTAGTCTTGTTGAGAGGAGGGCAAGATGTGTTGTGAGGGAAAGAAGGGGTAGGGGGTATGACAGCGGCGGTGATATTAGAATGATCTGCGAGCATGTTAGTAAAGACCTCTTTTTACCAAAACACGTGCTTTTTCTTCCAATGAAACACATTCAGGCTTCGCAAACTCACATCAAGATACAGCCTCCAGTGAAACCGTCTATTAATCCACAGCTTCTTCGCAAACTCCCCATCCGCAAGAAGCGCCTCCCTTAGCAGCTCCGCCAAAAACACCGTCCCGGCATCGTCGTCCCTCAATCCCGGAATCTCCACCGTCATCTCCAGCCACTCCCCCCTCGCCTGTCGCCTATCCTCCTCCGCATCGCCGCCTCCCGCGCCGCTCGCGCTCTTGACGTACTCCTGGTAGTGCTCTCCGCCCAGCAGATCGACCGTCTTCTCGATTTCGGCCTTTACGCCCACAATGGCTTCTGTGCCGTCGGCTAGGCAGACGCGCGCGCTGCCATTTGTGCCGGGCAGGATGCCCGTCTCGGCGGTCAGCGGGCGGAACTGCTTGGATGTTCTGCCGTCGGGACGGATGGGCGGGCTGAGGGAGAGGGAGGTGTGGAGGTAGGCGAGCTCGGCGGGGGACAGGAGGGTTTGCTGGTTGGCCATTGTTCACCGCGCTTCCATGGGGATGCTGAAATGAAAGTTGCGGTAGAGTAATAATTGTGGCCGTGGCGCGGAATCGTAAGGCTGGGTATCGAGGTCTTGGAAAAAGGTTTTTGGGACGAGAACAAAAAAGTTGGAGCGGGTAGCTCACCTAGGTGAGCGATAAGATACGATATGATGCGGGGGTGGGTCCGCTTGTGAGACAGATGCCTTCAGCCTTGGCTCTACTCCTATCTCGATCTTATGTATCTACACTTGATCTAGTACTTTTTGATGTCATATCAGCATGTAAAATTTGATAGGGTTGTTTGTTGAATTAATTATAAATTGCCATCATCAACTGAAATCCGCACTTATAGACGAACCAACAGTTGGTTTACGCAGTTTATATGCGTACTACATGTAGGTACCTATTATAAACCAAGTTTCTAAGCGGCGAATCTGGACTATCATTGCTAGCCGCGAAGAAGCAATGAATCCAACGGGCGCTGCAGGTTATTTACCAACAAAAACAGACAGCTGTGATTTGAGATGCAAAACCCATCTTCACTCTTGAAACACTATTCCAAAAGCCAGCTGTCAATCTGTCAAAGGTACATGTGACTCAGCTTCTACGTATATCACACTGTCCTCTCCGCAATGTTAAAATACCAGGTTATATTTTCTGTTTGTTCGCGTACATGCTATCTATGCACGTCAATCTTAGCATCATATATTACAAAGCCATAGTGGCTTGACTTATCCAATGACCTGTCTCCGTCTCATTTTTAAATGAGCCGCAACTTCAGCCCTGCTCTCACCGTTATACTGCTAGTTCAAGATCAGTAATCCCTCAGCACAGACTTCAAGATCAGTAATCCATTATTGAAACGTAATTATTCATCTTGTGTGATAGCTGAAACAGCACAAAGTTCCTACGAGATTGCCTATTTTAAGTGAAAAAAGTACTCAGAATCTGCAAAGATTAATAATCAGCCTCTGCCCTTTTGTTAAACGAGATCCTGTTCCCGCAACGATCAGTTGCCGTCTATCTCTATCAAGTCAAAAACAGCTCCTCTTAGCTCAAGTCCCTACTGTATAATCACTATCCATGTTGAAGCCATATCTAGTGCTGAGCAGAATTTTGTTGCACTTTAATCGTTACCAGCCCGCTTAATTCTAGCTATGAGGTAGCAGTTAATGTGATACTATCACAGCATTGTAACCCCAGTTCGAAATTCCATAAGCAGATAAAGTTAGGACTCAAAGCCACTAGTCAAAATAGCTTTCGGAGGCTTTTCGAAAACTAACGCCGGTTGTGTTGACCGTGCATTATAAAGTTGCCGATGCTGTCCCACATGGGCTAGGGTTAACGAGTAATTACAAAGTAGGAAACCTCCTTGCAACTTGCTAAACTGAACGGAAAAGGTCCTGTATGTCCTCCTCCAGCGGTCATTGCGGTGTTTCTGGGAGAAATAGTCGGTATCACTTGCTTGCTAAATCCTCCGAAATACCGAAAGTGCTACTATTTATACATCTCCGCACTCATAAGTCGAGGCTATGACATTCTGAGACAGCTCGCCTATCGTATTCAGTTAGCCTGTTCAGATGATGCATTCTGGTTTGAAATCAGTAGATCACCCAACGCCGGAGTACTCACAGTCGGAACAGATTCTCAAGATACGCCGAGTAAATCAATATCTTTCAAGCAAGTCATGGCCACTAAGAGAGTATGAAGCCACGGCTTTTCCCTAGCAGCACATCTACTGCCCGTTAAATCCTCTATCGTAAACTAGCTATCCTTGAGAAACATGTATATCTTTCAGTCTTGAAATTGAAAACTGACTGAACTGTTACATCAAGCTACATTCCCTAACGTAATAGCCACATAACCTATCCCTGGTTTAGAGTCACTAGTGGACTTCCGCTGCTTTTCCTTATCCATTTCCGTAAATGCTTCAAGCAGTTCGTAAGTGTGCTAAGAGAATTATAAAAGCAATGCCTTTCCCCCAGAAACCCATCTAATACCTACCATATCATTCATCTAAACCAGCATTGTTTCATAACCGTCATCACCTTACATCCTACAAAATGACGACTCATCAAACTGCCAAAACAAGCTACGTCCCCTACCGCGATGGCAAAATAGCCTACCGCCGATTCGGAGCCCCCAGCGGCGTTCCATTACTCTTCTTCATCCATTTCCGCGGCACCATGGACAAGTGGGATCCTCTTCTCATAAACAACATCGCAGCATCCAGACCAGTCATCCTCGTCGACTACGTCGGAGTCGGACAAAGCACCGGCGTCGTCGCCAACAACTTCCGAGAATGGGCAGACGACATGCTCGAGTTCTTGTCTCTAATCGACGTCAAGGAGGTCGACATCTTGGGCTTCTCCCTCGGAGGCTTCGTGGCCGAGCTGGTGACGCTAAACGCCGACCCCAACAAGCTCAAGGTCCGAAAACTCATCCTCGTGGGAACTAGCGCGAGTGCTGGCTTAGGCATTGAGAAAACCCCAAACGACTATGTCCCTTATGCTGCCGCCGCAGATGCTGATCTGGCTTCCATGAAAGTGCTCTTCTTCCCGCAAAACCCCGTTGGTGACAAGGCGGCCGAGGAATGGTATGCTAGGATCCAAGAGCGAAACGAGTCCACGAGCGGAGAAGTTCCCAGCGAGTGGCTTTCTGAAGGGTACAAGGATGGCGGAGCAGGATTGAAAGCGCAGGTAGATGCCTTGGAGAAGTGGTCCAATCCGGAAACTAGCCGCGGTTTGGAGGGCTCTTACGATAGACTGGAGCAGATTGATATTCCTGTTTTGATTGCCAATGGCTCGGTGAGTGAACATGCTTCTAAAATTTAGCACATCTCTAAACATAAACTTAAGACAAGCACTAACAAATGACTTGTAGAACGACTTCATGATTCCGACTGTCAACTCGTTCAACATTCAGCAGAAGCTGCCTAATGCTACGCTACTCGTTTACCCAAACAGCGGCCATGCATCCCACTACCAGTATGCTGAAAAGTTTGCAAAGCAGGCTGTGCAGTTTCTTGAGGAATGAAATGGCTGCCAATTTGCGAGATGTGAGCCTTTGAGTTTAGTAGCTGTTTGACTGCAGTGTAGCTTGATAAACCAATACATGTAACCTGTTAACTACTAGTTGCGTTTCTCGATCATTTCTGATGTTGCTCAGCTCTGCCTGGTTTCTTTCCATACTAATTAAAAACTTTATATATGTTCTGCATTGTTTGAATATATATAATTTGTCCGCAATTTGTAAGGCCTTCATAAATAGAATTATGATAGATCTACTACTATCATTTCACAGAAGCCGATGAGATTAAAACACAAGTTGTAAGTAGCATAATCTATGAGTAAAGGAAATAATCATTATTCATTTGCAAGAGCACGCTTATCCTATCCTATGCATCTCCTTGCAGTGTAACCAATGACCGACCCAGGTGAAAAAAACGCTTGTAAAGCGCTTTATAAAAATAATCAAATAACTTATCTCCTTCCACAAAAAAGAAAATTAACCTCGACGACGCACCAAATCCAAACAGATGCGATCCATGAGATCGGGGCCCACGGCAGCTATCAACTGTGCAATGCTATGCTTTACGGTTGACGGCTCTGCCAGTTTACTATGCCTCCAGCCGACAAGGTCTGACGTCTCAAACAGCGGGCCTGTAGGAAAAATCCTCAGAACAATGTGGTCCAGATCGAATTGTTCCATGTCCTGAACAGAAGGAATACCTGGCATTCCAGATTGGAAGAGGGATTTATAGGTCATGCCACTGTCTTCATCCGAATCGGATTTCTCCGAGTCTTCGCCCGAAGATGCAGATTTTTGATCTTTTCCAGCAGAGGTGTCTATGATCATACCGTCGGCAGAATGCAGCCCAGATCCTCTAGGATTATCGGCTGCCGATAGGCTAGTATAAGTATCCCTAGCCAGAATGTCCAAAATGCTCTTATCCAAAAATCGCCATTCCAGGGTATCTGGGTCGAGGATGTACTGCGGGCCGTAGTCTATTTTGTATCTCATCTTGGGGCAGCTGTGAATGTAAAACCCAGGATACCACCACCGGTAACCGTCTTCAATCGCGAGCGAGATCTCATAGAGAGCTCCCAGCTTGCCAGGGGCGAATTTGTGGATGCTTTCGTGGTAAAGGAAATAAACAGAGCTGACACATTGTGGCAGTAAGTCAAGCACTCCTATAGCGACTAGAACGCCGTCTAGGCGGTAGCACTGATGGTAGGAGCCTAAGCGGCGCTTTCGCCCATCAGGTCCAACCATAGTCCGACGCTGCAGAGGAGAGCCACAGAGGAATCGTCGAAAAGAATCCGGCGACCTCTCATAAGGCTCGTCCCCGTGGACAACTCGCTGATAGTTTTCATAGACTTGATACTTTTCCTCAGTAAAAGTGTCTTCTTCAAGCGTTACAGTCCACCTATGAGCTGGCTCAGGTGGTGTCTTGATTTGGCCAATCTCAGCCTCATGAATGCGCTCTGTCAGCGAAAACTCATTGTCACGCTTCTTTGTCTCTTCGCGCGACCTTGGATGGAGCCGAGCAGCTTGCTTAATGTATTGGTCGCCCAATACATGTTTATTGAAACGGTTAATGGTCTGGCGCTGACCCCTTGTTGGATAAAATTGATCTGAGTCTAAGCGAATGGTGTAATGAGGGCAACATGAAACGCGCTGATTTGGACGATACAATAATTTTCCTGATCGTCTCCAGCAGCGATCGAGCAGAGTGAGGTACAGCTGAGGGCTTAGAGAAGCAGCATTCGCATAATACGAAAAGCCTGCATACAGCAAAGAGGGTTAGCTTTCATGAGCAAACAAACGATCGAGTTCACCAGAAAGAAACTCGGACCGAAGAGAACTGACTCTGTCCAGTGATGCCACAGTAGCCACATTTTGATGAATTTGTATATCCTGTGCAGCTCGTTAGTACGAATAACAAACATCAACATATGTGCAATGGAAAGACGCTTCGTATAAAGAACGCCAACGGTGATCAAAATGTCATGTAATGTAAGACTGCAGTGTGAATGAAAGTATGGAAACACGAGATAGCATCCTTTATGCTGCTTCAACATATGGAGCAGAAGCTAAATGGTAGTATATGCAGAGTGCCCAGCTCCAGACGACACTTTCATCAGAGTGGCTTATACATGCTGGCCAGCAGCGAGAAATGAGAAGCACCAAGCAACATTGAGACGGGATGCATGAGTGGTGAGTGAGAGATGAGACGGTGGGGGGACAACAGGCGATAAAAGGGGGATGACAAGGAAATCACACAATTCGGAGCCAGACACTCAGATCGCACTGACCAACGGCTTCTGGAGTGAGTGGCATAAAGTGTGTGACAAGACAATCGTGATGCCCATGGACGAGGTCACACAGGTAGTGCGAAAAGGAAAAGAGGCTGACAGGGGTTCGCATCAAGGAAGAGGCTTTGCCAAAAACGACAGCAATAGCTCCGAGCCAACGACAGGCACTGGAAGCAGCACGTGTGCAGGCATCAGGGCAGTGGGTAGAACAGCAAAGAGAAAAAGAGACCAACAGCTCTGGCTGCTTCTGACTCACCAATTGGAGAAATAAGCTCGTCGGCGACGGAGGTGTCTTCAGGGGTCTGCCCACCACCGTTTTCCTCCATGGCTGCGCTTGGCACCTCGGGTCGTCCTGAAGAGGCAAGTTGGTGCGTGAGACAAGTGAGGGCGATATTGTGTATGTATTTGACGAGAAGTAATTTGTAGCTCTCTCAAAAGGCTGACAGGTAGGCTGATAGTTGATCAAGTGTACCTACTAGTAGGTAATGGCTTGTAGAATAGAGGGGAAATGAACGATTGCAGTCGAGGTTGGCGAAGCTCTCAGCGCCCACGCATCGGCTATGACGGACGATACGGGCTGGCTGTCGCAAGCAAAGATTTAACTTTGTGGGGCGTATGTATGCGATCTAAATGCCTTGATGCCAGCAGACGAGCGGCACGAGAAATAGCCTGGTCGTAGCAGCGGGTGCAAACACACGAGCGTGGATACGGCCTGGATGGGGTCCGGCCGGGTCTATAACCGCCTGAGGGGGATGCCTAATAGGTATCTTCACTGCTGCCGGCTGGAGAAGCTCATGATGAATAGGAGATAGAAAGACAGGCAGACAAGGCGGACAGCTCGGACAGCTCAGACGCGCAGAGGAAGAAGAGAGAGGATCTCCCAGAAATCCACGACAGCCGCGATGAGGTCGACAGGTCCAGCTGCCATGGCGGGGCGAAACGGGGAGTGAGTGAGGGGTTGCGGTGCTGAGGCCACCGGGATGGCGCCAGCTACAGCGGTCCGCCTACTACTGTAGTAGTCCAGTAGCTATCGACGCCACTACGAAATAATGTGCTGTCTTGACTAAGTGGAAATCCTTCATGCTGCAGGTCTAGAGTGAGCATGGCCTTTTCCTTGTTTTACTTGTCCTGCTCTCTTTACTTTGGATCCTATTGTATGTAATACCAACGGATCTTTCGTGCTAGCAGCATTAAATACTGCATCCTTGCAATATGTAGACCGATGGAGACAGGTGACAACTCAGCTGCGTCTCTCAAACGTTCCCTGGCATCTCTTATCCCGCCAAAGCCGTCCTCTTGATATGCGTAATACAGTCCCTAAAAGGTCGCATCCCGAAAATAGAAACTGCCTCACCCGAAAAGCCTAAAAGGCGTGGCAAAACTCTTGCCTCTCGTTGGATCATGCTGTATTCTTTGGCTGCAAGGGACTTGCTCACCGTATTTCTCAGCTACCAGGCCTATGCAATACCTACCAGTAACGCTATTGACACGAAGCAAATATCATGCACGCGCGTGCAGCTTTGCCCGGTAATAGAGTCCCTTAGCAGCGGAAAGTCTCCTGCAGCCCTTTCTCAATGGGGTCGTAGCACGTATCATCAGACGGCATATCGGTTCTTGGTGATGGGATGGAAAGCTTCTAGACTACATGGACTTATACCATATACACATGTACATTCTACTGCCTGGTAGCATCTACTTCCAAGTACGTCACCACTGCCGATGCTCATCTAGATCAGCTTGCCGCAGGTAGCTGTGCCTAAACGGCAAATCTCAAAGAGACATGGCGATAAGGTACAGATTACCGCTAGAGGGATAATCCAGTCATAATTCATAAGCTGCTGCCTGTAAGCTTGATCAGCTGTTTGTCGTGACGCATACAACACGGGATATCAGCCTCGTATATATCACCCGTTGCCCATCTCAGCGGCCATCTTTTCTTTGTACAGAGTACCGCAGTCCTAGCCGTCGTCATTGAAGGGACGGCAGCTAGGGATTGGGTGCAGCTCGCCTGCGCGGGAAAACAGGGGGTTGATACATACATGCATGCAGTGCTCTCCCACCAAACTCTCGACGTAGGCCTGCACCTCCGGAAATACAAGGCAACGACAAAGACATGAGCGTATGTGCTGGCATCAAAAGGCTAGATCAGTGATAGATGGTTGTCTTGTATATAAAACTCTGAGAAGCATCAGACGACCTTCATATGTTGCTATTATGTTTTTGAAACCCTTGGAGAGTTGTCCGATTTAGCTCTCGGTTAAGCTGCGAGGCTATTCTCGATTGCAAGCTTCCGTTTTGAACTAGATATTGTCTGTCAACTCCATTACCAACAAGGCATCCCAAATGCCAGCCACCAAAGGATTAAAGAATAAATCACTTGTAATAAATATTACTAAAATTCTCCTAATTATTTGCTACGATGCATTACAGCCAATCAAATAAATAGTATCTCTACTTGCATGTTGCTGCTCCTTTCCCTGTATCAAAACCGACACCATCCCGTGCCACCGCAGCGCACGTGTGCTTGCCCGTCGCCTGAGTCTTAGTTCATGCGGCCGTCTCCGGCTTCGAGCCCCTAGCGCTGTATTGGTTGAGCCACAACCAGACGGCCGTTGAGAGGGCCAGCACGGCTGAAGGCTGTTGTCTCGGGTGGCCTGGGACATGTATGTGAAGGTACCTTTTGATGCTGTCAGTACTGCTCCTTTGACATGTGCCTACATACAGCCCGTTGACTCTTTGACTTCAAGCCCAGAAGCCCCGACAAGCCCGTTACTCGGCCACGGCCTGAAGCAGCATATGCGATCCAAGTACCCAGCCAGCCTAGAGTGCGCGACAAACTAAACTCTCTTGGCCCCGTCTCCGCGTTTGGCCCCAACCTTGCAAAAGCCCTTTCCTGTAGGTCCACTCCACTCCAGGTACCGCCAGCATTCATCGCAGCTCAACTCACCGCACCGGAGCGCGCTTATACCGACTCCAGGTACCTCCATGCTGTAGCTCAACGGCCACGGCGTGCTCCAGTCTCCGTAACTCTCCAGCCCTGCTGCGTCCAATATTTGCGCGGCCCATTGCCACTGCGGCTAATCCTGCTTATCCTTTTTTCTCCCATCCGTGTCCAGCTCGCGGTTCCCCGACTCGGCGCCGAGTTACATACGCATCGCTTCCGGACCCTGTCTAGAACGCCATCTTGTTCCGCGAACCCGTGCAGCAGGGAAAAAAAAAAATTAAGGAAAAAAAAAAAGCCAGGCACCGCCTAGACCTGCATCCGTCGTCCAACCCCCACGACTTTTGGTCCTGGTTATTATTCACCACTATCTCGCAACTCGGGGAAAAAGGACGAGAAACAAACAACACATATTTTACTCTATTCTTTTCTGCTTCTCTTTAGATGACAATGCAGCGCATGTCACTGTGATTTTTACCCCCCTGCCTCTCCGCCAGACGAAGCTCGCGACTTGCCGGTGAAAGTCTCCCGTTTCCGGCAGCTTCTCTCTCTCTCGTCACTCTTTTTTTTTTCCTTTCCCGTGGCCGATACGCGGGCCGGCCAATCATCGCAAGACCTTCTCAGCTTTCACCAGACAACCGGAGAGAACGCTGGCGACGACAGCTGCCAACATGTCGGGCTCGGCGTCCAGTGTCGAGGGCTCCAACAACTTGCCGATGCAGTCGCGGACCGGGCGGAGCAAACAACGTAAGTTCTATCTTGAGCGCAGAACTGCACCTTGATACTCCCAAGATGCGCGGTTCCCCCTTTGTCACCTCGCAGCCCCTGATTTCCACCGACTTCTTCTGCTCTTTTCCCTCTTTCCCCAACACCATGTTCGGTGTCCTGCGCGCCGCCTCGTTTGTTCCTTGCCTTTGCCAGTCGCTGCTTTGTCTTGCTTTCTGCTTGCCTGCCTGCCTCGCCTCCGCCGACGCCCGCAGCTCGGGATCCCACTGACCCATCTCCCTCCTTCAGGGTACAACTCGCAAGGAGAACGACTTGTCGCCGGCGTCGTACCACTCAGCGCAGACCGCAACTACGTCATCCTCATCCAGTCTACCCGGCGCAAGGGCTGGGTCTTGCCCAAGGGAGGATGGGAGTCGGATGAGTCGTGCCAGGAGTCTGCCGTGCGAGAGGCCTGGGAGGAAGCTGGCATCACGCTCAACATTGACTATGACCTGGGCAACTTTGAGGAGAAGCGACCGCCCAAGACGTCCAAGGACCGCTCCCGCTACTACTTTTACCAGGGCACCGTGGTAGAGCAGCTGGACGAGTGGCCGGAGAAGGACAAGCGCGAGCGCGAATGGTTCACCTATACAAAGGCAATTGAGGTTCTCCAAAACAGACCGGAGCTCCAAGAAGCCTTGAATCGATCTTCGATGAACAGAACATGAGCCGGGGCAATCCGTCCTTGTCAAGTTTCTTTTCACAAAGAAATTGCCCCCCTTTTATTTCTCCTTGTACATTTTTATCCCCTCTCCTGGCCTCTACAGGTGTCCCTGCAACGGCCATTACTGCCTTTGGCCATGAAGCAGAGACTATACACAGCAGACAGCTCGGAACAGAAGGAGATGGTCCAAGAGCAAGAGAGAAAAGGAGAGGAAGAAGGCGGTGATGATGGAAGCTTACTTGCTTCTTTGGCAGTCTATCCGACAGCCATGCTTGCATCACCGGCTTTTCTAACATACAGGAACTGCTAACCATTTAGGGTAGGATGCCTTTGAATTCGGCTCAGGCGTTGTCGGCAGGTTTTGTCTAATTTTTTTTTTTCCTTCTCGTTTTACCATAGAGCATCCACGCAGAAAAAGAGATTTCAAAGACAGGGCGCGCGGGCATAATATTGGTGTACAGCAAGGCACAAGCTGCTCTTGAAATAGGATACACACAAAAATTAATTGTTTCCCACAATGGACCGCTTTTAACGGTCAACGGAGAGAAGGAGAGATGGCTAGTCTCACAATTCCTTTTTCTGTTTTCCATTTACTTTTCTTCTCTCTTTCCTCTCCGTTTCTCCCCATTTGGATTTGAAAACTTGATTTATAGAGCATAGGATTGATTGATATGCCAGGGGCATGACGAGGGCAACTTGTCGTGTGCTGCACAAGCTAAGTACCTGCCTTAGCTCTGTGCCCCAGACACCCCTCATTTGTTGACAAGTAGGAACCGAGTACATGGAACTCCAGAGTTACCTTATGACTCAACGATTACCATTCACGCCAGGATCAGCAAACCCTGCTGGGGGATCTCTGCATTGGTTCAATTTGCAGCTTCAGCCGACGGCCTGGTAGCTTTGGCCGCTTAATTGTAAGCCTGTAGGCATCTACTAGTAGTAGGTTTGCATCCGAGATGAAGCTCAGCAGTTACCTGTAGAATACGGGCACAAAGCCGAGAAGCTTGCGTCTTGGCAAAAGGGATCTGCTATACTCTAATGAGGCATAAATAGCAGCACGTTCAACTGTGTACGGGCAAGTACAGGTACCCTTCCCAGCATTGTCATCCAGCTCAGCAATATCGGCAGCCATTTTGCTTTTTCCCTGCCCCTCAGTTTAAACCACCATCCGAATCTAATCACCACTGCCCCGCCATCGGGCCTACAATTGCAACCCTTTGTACTCTTCTCTGCTTCATCAAGGCATCTACTTCAGCTGAAAAAGCCTGCAACCGGTGCTAAATGGCGCATGAAACTCTTTTGGCCTTTTGTCGATTCATTCCACCGACGTTCACACTGACGTAGTTGCGTTGCGTACCTGTACTTGAACAGTCAAGAGGATGACACGTGATATCAGTTTATCGATAAGCCCTGCACGCCGCATCCCGGCCACAGCCGTAGACGATCGCAACCAACTCCATCTCTCGACTAGACTGCCAATTGTATCTGCTCCGTACAAGCCTCGTCGCTCTCACAAATCTCACGTTGGCCATGGTTTTATAGACGAAGGGAAGAATAAAAAACGAGATAACAAAACAAAGTTCACAAGTCTCCATGGACCCTTGAGCCCCGACATTACGATTCAAATTTAACCCACGCCTTTTTCCTTCTTTCGCTCATATACGACGCTTTTTCCCGCCTCATGCTATTATAATGGAAAACCCATCCACTCCCGATGCCCCTCCGCCTGCCGGGCCGGGCGCCCAACAGCCTTTTGCTCAGCTGCCGCCACAGATGTTCACGACTGCCGCGCAGCTTTTAGATCTCACAGACAGTACGGGCCCCGGGAGTCAGGAAAGAAGGCGGGCAAGGGAGAATTAGAGGGGAAAATTATGCTGACAGGTGTTTTCTTTGAACTTTATAGAAAAACTCATGGTAGTTTTACGCGACGGAAGAAAACTCATTGGCGTATTAAGAAGCTGGGACCAGTTCGCCAACATTGTGCTCCAGCAAACCACAGAGAGGATATTCGCCCCCAGGGCCGACAACCACGACGCCCAACAACCCTACGGCTACTACGCGGACATTCCGCACGGCATCTTTCTGGTGAGAGGCGAAAATGTGCTTCTGCTCGGCGAAATCGACCTCGACAAGGATGACGATGCGCCCCCCGGCTATGAATTGGCGGAAGTGGACGCTGTGAAGAAGCTCGCTGAAGCGAAGAAGGCGGCGGATAAAGCCAAGGAGAAGGCTCGACTGAAGAAGCTTGTTAAGATTGGCTTTGAGGGCGAGAATCTGGGTGACATTTTCTTTTGAGAAAACAAAACAAGATATGGGCACGTGTACACATGAGAGAGAGGAGATATGAAACTGAGAAAGGAGGCAAATCGGGATCAGGGGAGAAGGGAAGGAGGGACTTAGAAGCCGGCAGCAAGGGAATTCTTTTTGTTTTCCGTTTTTTTTATTTTTTTTTATATTATTTTTTGTTTGTGTGCGCTGCGGCAGAGACGATTCCGGTGGCAGAATATTGTGAAATGCCCCGGGTCGAGAAGATGAGCGAGCTGGCGGGTTAGAAATGGAAAGTAGTCTTCATACATGTTTTGTGTGCTTGAATTGACTAGAGGCGTTGAAACAACGTCAGCGCCGATTTTTGGTCACAATTATCTCTTTTACTACAGTAGTTGCTTGACAAGATGATGTTGCGCTCAGGGCGGAGCAAATATTTCAAGTGGTGTTTCTGATCAGTCGTGAGAGCTTCATTAGCAGTAGAGAGTTGCTAGGAATACAAAAGTTATACACGCGCCATCTAAACAACGCAGTTTAATCGTTACCACACATCCACCTCAACACCAAGCTCGGTGAAGAAACCAAAATAGTAATACAGGCGCCATGCCACCAACGCCATGAAAGACAAAGCATCGCCTCTCCTTTCTCTCTCTCTCTTTTTTGTTCATACACGGCTCCAAAATACCCTCTCCCTCATCACTGGGAACTACAACATCGTTTCCTCTCAAACATTGGTATCGGAGCGCCAGGATCCCTCGTCATGCCACCAAGCAGCCAATCCGTCAGGCCCACAAACTTGGCGCCCATGCCCTTCTCCCAATCGCCGCCCTCCTGCGCCTGCTCAATGGTATGCGTCAAGATCCTCCCCTCGGCATCAAAGTCGAAGATGAACAGCCCCGTAAAGGCCTTGTTCGGATCCACGCCCCTCGCCAGCCTCAGCCACGGCAACGAACTCCCACCACCTCCAGATTTGCTCTCCTTGGTCTTGCGCTTCTCGCACCAGCGCACGACGAGCTGTTCCGACGTGGCGCCGGGCCGTCTGGGCAGGAAAGTCAGCGGCTCTGACGTCATGCGCTCGGCGAGGATCTCGAGCTTCACGTTGCCGATGATGGGCACGCGGTTCCAGGCAATGGGCGAGGTCCAGAGGGCGGCGGCGTAAGCGACTCGGCCGGAGACGACGGGCAGGTGAGGATGCGTGGAGGGGAATAGCTGGAGCGAGATGTTGGGGGCGAGGATGTCCTGCGGGAGGGGAGATTGGAGCAGCGTTGGAAGGCGTTCTTGGAGGATTCGCAGAGCTAGCAGTCATCATTGTGTATAATTAGCCTGAAATATCCTTTCACAAAGATTCTCCTTTGGCAATATGAAGAGAAGTGGACTTACTCTTGCCGAGCTTTGCTTTGTTGGGATCCGGCGGCGTCTCTCCCCGGCCTCCCATCCACACAGCTCCAGAGCTCTCAAAGTGCGTCGTCCGCGACAAGCTGCCCCGCGCAGATGATACTTTATCTTGCCGCAGTAATAGCAGAGCATCGTCATCTGATTGCGATTGTTCTGTTGAAAGACTCTCTGTCAACGCCGGCGCCTGCGCGGGAGCATTGGCCGGGCCGAAGCTGGTGATGCCACGGACTGAAGCGCCGGGCCAAGATCGGAAACATGAGCATGAGCGGCCGGCATGGCTCGTCAGCGAGTTGCGCAGGGGCGCGGCCATTGGGTGCTGGAGGCGCTCCTGGGGAGGAGCAGCATGAGGCCCAGGAGAGAGTGATTTTGTGTTCAACTTCTCGAAGAAGCCGCTTTTTCTGTTCTATAGCAAAAAGAGAGAAAATTTTCCCAACCAACTCAAGAAAATCGTATGGCTCCGATCTCCATCGGCATTGAACGGCAGTTCTACTCAGTGCTCTTCCCGTAGTTTCGCCTCCCAGGGCTAGGTAGGTACGCTACAGTGGGCTCTTCCTTGGGGGACCATCCATTGCGGGGCCGTTCCGCTATTCCGGGGCACGATGTTTGGGGTTTGCCGGCTTGGGGTGCTACGGGAAGGGTAAAATGAGCGTGGATGAACAAAGGTGACTTAGACTAGAAGATTTGATCTTTGTTTTGTTCCTGGGCTGTTCGTTTGCTGATATGGGTGGACAAGGTTCAAATTCCCAGTGAGGCTCCGGGCTTCTGAGAAACGTGGGATACGGGTAGATGCGGGATGTTTTGGTAAGTACCTCTTCTTTCCTTATCTCTCGTTTGAGGATAGGAGAGAGTGTCATGCCAGTTTGCATTTGGAATCATACAATGTTTCAGAGTGACCAGTAAGCTCACCGAAAACATGATGATTGCTGATTCGAATTCAAGTCATGAGCGGCTCTTCAGGTGACGCAGGACTTTAGAGAGCAGCTGGAAAGGCTCGAATCACATGCGCCTGGCCTAAACGTGCACAGGGCTTAAACGCTGCCCGTGGCCAGCTGCAAGCGCTTCGTATTCCTACAAGTGTCATTACACTATAGTCATTATGTGGAGAAGGAGTCCTAGAATATTTGATTGAATCAATATGATTGTACTGAGATGAGAACATATTGTATTTTAGTTGAGAATGATGCAGCGGAAGCGCAAAGGTGAAGTCATGTACATGCCTGGAGTCACTTGAGAATGTATGTAGCCTCGGACAGATAAGATAAGGCACTAAACCCGCTGCACTACAACCAAGCAGTTGTACATGTACTTGACGATGGTGCCTCTCTTGTAGAAAGTCGAGGGATCCGGCTGATGCCGATGCATTGCACCCAGGAATGTGCCTTCAAACAATGGCAAATGCCCTATTCGTCGGTGCAAAGGTAGAGGTACTCCTGCATCCGAGGCACACAATCACTGGTACTAACGCAAGCCCCCCGTGCCATCACCAATCCAGCGCTAAGAATAAACCTGGAAAATGAGATGAGCCTCGCTGCGCTGTGACAGGTGGCCCCTGCACGTGACCCAGCGCGCCCACCGCCCATCCCATTGCCCGTCCATCCCCAGCCCAGCCAACGAGCCGTCATCTTTCCCTGACGTACTCGAGACTGCGCTCCTTTGACCTCGAGCCAACCATCCATTTCGATCGCAACCTGAAGCCTTCACTGATTCTCGTCTCGTCTCTCTGTCCTGCTTCTACCAGCATCCCGCCCAGCCCACGCAAACCGCCATCATGAACCCTGAGTGGTACGCGGCCCTTGTTGCTCTTTGACGGCGATATTCTCCTGAAACTTGTCTGTCTTATCCTTGCTAACATGTCCGCCGAACAGAGTCCAACGCAGCCCGTATCTCTTGGAAGCCGGATATCCATCTTTATCTTTGTCCCCGCGATGGAGTGACGATGGGACGGCAGGACGACGGCGTCATTTTGTTTGCAAAGGAGAAGCGATCGCTGACCCGACCCTCTTATTTCCGATTTCTAGATACGACTACCTCTTCAAGCTCCTCCTCATCGGTGACTCCGGTGTTGGAAAGTCTTGCTTGCTGCTGCGATTCGCCGACGATACCTACACTGAGTCTTACATTTCCACCATCGGTGTCGACTTCGTACGTTGACCCGTACCCCCACTTTCACGAGCTTATCATTTTCTAACAACCTGAGCAGAAGATCCGAACGATAGAGCTCGATGGCAAGACCGTGAAGCTGCAAATCGTAAGTAATACATGCTAGATCACCATAAATAATCGACATAGCGGGTGCTAAAACTCTTTGCTTTCCAGTGGGATACTGCCGGCCAGGAGCGTTTCCGAACCATCACCTCATCGTACTACCGCGGTGCTCACGGCATCTGCGTTGTCTACGATGTCACCGATATGGACTCTTTCAACAACGTCAAGCAGTGGCTCCAGGAGATTGACCGATATGCCACCGAGGGCGTTAACAAGCTGCTCGTAGGCAACAAGAGCGATATGTCGGATAAGAAAGTTGTCGAGTACTCCGTCGCCAAGGTAAGTTAGCGTCTCAGTTGCAGCCTGGAGCCACCGCAGGTCACCTGCAGCGGAAGCCTCCGATGCTCCTCTAGGCTGCCGCTCCTCAAATCAAGACGTGCCTTGTGAAAGCCTGAAGCTGACACCCCTCCTCTAGGAATTCGCTGACAGCCTGGGCATCCCCTTCCTCGAGACCTCCGCCAAGAACGCCAGCAACGTTGAGCAGGCTTTCCTGACCATGGCTCGCCAGATCAAGGAGCGCATGGGCACCACGACTGCCAACAACACGAAACCCAGCGTGCACGTTGGCCAGGGCCAGGGTGTCGGCAACTCGTCCAGCAGCAGCTGCTGTTAAACGACTTAATCGCTATGGTTTCGTGTGTTTTCGCTTTGTCGTGGCCGAGTCCGGTGACAGGATGCTTAGAGCAGTGTGACGTCCATTGGGAACCGACTGATTCATGTTTGTTATGACCTTTTCCCTCCGCTATTCTAGGGTTTTCAGTTTGCCCCATTTCTGCGCATAGATTACATCATGTCTTGTTGGATCTCGCCCCTTCAGACACACACGCACACGCAACGTGGCAATCTCGCTTGCTTTTTAGGACACATAAGGGTCGGATGGGAATGGGAGAGACGGTCATGCCAGAGGAAGGACGTGATACACAATTGGGATCAGGGCGCAAAATTCACGAGAGATGAGGACCTTATGGGTGCGCTGAGCTGTACTTTCACGCCTTCCCTTGCCCCCCATAAATGACTTCCCTTCTACGGAGATTACGATGTGGGAGAATAATGGACCTTTATGGAAATTATGGCTTTTTTTTGCAGCAAGCTTTGGCTTTGTTTTTTGTTGGTATTATTTGCTCGCTATTTTCGTCGCCTTCTGCTTTTTTTCTATGGTGCTAAATTCCGGAAGGCTTTCCGGTGCCTTTTATCGTCTTTTCAAACCCATTCTTTCACGAGAACGGGGACACCATTAATACAAAGGGGAATTGCGTATTATTTTAGGTTGCCGTTATTATGCTGCTAGGTAATTACCAGTTTTATTGCCATCTCAATTTCCCCTTTGGTCGGTGAACGTGACTGTTTTAAGTACATCTAGGTATACATATACAGTCTACTATTCGTTACCTAGGTATGTAATGAAGACGAAATAGTACTATGTAAGACGCCAAAGTAACAATACAAGGGTGTAAATCCCTACCTTTATATTTTCGTATACAGCACCGGGTTCTCGGTAACTGGGCCGGGAGATGACAGCGTCTACATGTAAGCTCAACCCACCATGACAAGGATGTCGGGGTTTACGATTTATCAATAGGGGGGCAAAGTGATAACAAAGTCCTACTGCTTCTTTTATTGTTGCTGTTATACCAAGTATGGTGAAGCAAGGGTTAACATACCGAGCAACAGGGTACGGTAAGTTCGGGGCAACAAAAGGGAGTAGGTACTTGGCCAATCCTTGTCCTGGTATGCCTTCACAACAAGCATTCCGGATGGTGTCCCGGTATTATTCTGTTAGCAAAATACTTCTAGTTATAGAATGGCTCTCTTTGAATGCCATCATTAATAGATTACTTTAATCCAAGTCCCAAATCTTCAAGCCACTGTGCAGCCCATTCGCATAATATGGACTTATCAATTATTCGTTGTTTGTATACATAGTTTACGCAGAAGTACAAAGCGAACTATGTGCAATTTGTTCTAATATTAGACAACATTGTCTTTCTAATTTATCTCGACAAGCCTAGCGCCATTTCATTCAATACATTGGCATTTAATCAAACAGAGTTATGTTTCTTCTCTGGCTGACAACTACTCTACCTTGCAGTAAACATATCTATCTCCGTGTTTTCTTTCTGTACTCTAGTACAACCCAAATCGCTCCAAATATCCGTCTATGATAACAAGTTTTTGAAAAGAAAAGGCAGAAGAAAAACAACATTAAAAGGTAGGAAATAGAAGAACGGTGAAAAGCCACAAGTTAGTATAAGGAAGAAGAAAGGATAAAGCGTGTAGATAGGTTCATAATTCGTTCGAGCAGAAAAGCAGTCCAGGACGCAGCCCGACAATGCTTTTATAGAAAATCACAACTTGGTGCTGCAATGAGGGTCGGAAAAAAGAGAAAGGGAGAGAAAAGAGAAAGAAACAACTCTTAAAAGAGCAGCACAGCGCCACGAATATAAGACCCTCCATTACGCCAAGCCGAGAAATTTGAGAGCTTTTCGGGTGTTACCCTGACGCTCTGTCGACTTCATAAACATTGGCATAAGTCTCCGCTCTTCCAAGTCCAATTCACTATCGTCACTGCCGTGATCAAAAGTAGTCATTGATGCTGAGTCGCTGCGGAACAGCCGCCGTCGAGAAAAGGGTCCGCTATACATGGTATCAGACTTGGGCGTTTTGACGTCCATGAACGACTGAGGCCGGGAGGACGACGTCAGCGATCCAGGGCTAGAAGAGTCAACAGCGGAAATAGGCGACGGTTTGCTATAAAAAGAGCCTGAAGAACGAGGGTATTTGGTGAAGGAAGCGTCCAATGGTGCTGGTCTCGGCTTCTTGCTAACTGATCTCTTCTCCTGTGACGAGGACTCAGAGTCCTCAGTCTCAGTTTGAATATTCCAGACAGTAGACACGAATTTGGTAATGTCCTTGGCGGTAGCCGTAGATGTGAGCAAGAAATTCGCGTTTGAGACTGTGAACTCTGAGTTTGACGATCCCGGAGATAGCTTAGGTGATTTGGCTTCCGTTTTGGCCCCGGTGCTGGGACCTCCAATCTGGGTAAAAGGTAAACGCTCTTTGTTGGTAGAATCGACTATTTGAGCCACCTTGATCAGATCCACGCCTACCAACTTTTGTAGAGCCAGTACTGTGGGCAAGTGTTCTGGAGGGTATTCTAATAGAAGATAGCGAATTTCAGAGTGGAGTGCTAAATACGTCTCAAGATGGGGAATCAGAAGTGTCGCTAAAAGATACGAGTTGGTGAAGGGATTATCCGAAGTCTGGTTCGTCAGGGGCATTGCAGTGAATGCTTGCATTGCGTTGGCAAGTAAATATCTACCAAACAGTTAGTCTATCGTATAATGTGGATGAGATGTTGGGCATAGAAACTTACCGGAAATCTACCCGGCCACTGCGGCCTTGGCGATCGCTAGACCTGGTCCCGATTGTCTCCAACTGCTTGATAATTTTCGACGAATACACCTTGTCCACACCTTGTTGAGACCCTATCGCAAGGATGTGGTCAACCCTTCGACTAGTTTCTCTCGAGGAGCCTTTCGATTCGGTTTCTCTAAATACAGGTTTCCAGAGTCCATCAAACTCTGGAAGGAGGGAAAATTGGAATTGTCGATAGCCCTCGGCTTCGGGAGGAAAGTACTCGCTTAGAATTGACCGAAGCGAGTTCTGAATGGCGACAGCAGTTTGGCCAGAAACAACTTCAAATTCGTAGACTTGATTTTCTTTTGCTTTGCAAGGCGGCGGTGTTTGTGCCGGCGTTGGAGGCCGAATAACATTGACGACTGGACCGACTTGTTCTCTCCCAAGCGATTGGTATGGCTGTGTATCGGCAAAAGGATCATGGTCATCATCCGTCATACTCAACACGGAGGTTTCGTGAGACCAATTGTTCATGGAGCTATCTATGGCAGTCGGCTGATAAAGAGAGGCTGTCGATGTAGAGATAGCATTGGAGGACGTGAGAGTGGAACACGACGATATTGGGTAATTGCCAGCTTTGAAAGCTTTGATTATTAGAGAGAGCAACACATTGGGCGTTCCGTCTTTGAAATAGACAAGCAGATCTTCCACCCATGGCAATATCGGCTGGAAGGGCATCTCAACCGAAATCGCCATGTCAGTTCCAAGATGGGTGTGAAACAGTCCTGCAGTGCTTTGCCTTGCATTCAGTTTCTTCTCAATGGGGAGGTCGGTAGTAGCCGTTGGCCGACGGCCTTTGGATGCTACTGTTCTTCGGTCGATGTAACTTAATTTTCGAATGACTGTAGGCTTAGGGTCGCTAGCAACCATGAAAGAGTGTGAGCGGCGAGGAGCAGACAAGTCTGCACTCATTTCTGAAGACGTCTCCGGAATACAGAGGTCTCTCAACTTGGCACTAAGCGGGTAGATTCTATCTAACGACTTGACTCTTGGAAGTGATCCCTTGAAGCTCGAGACCGATTTACTCCTATTGGGCTTGATAGACTCTCCGTGGGCGGCGTGATCGTCTGTGCGAATATTGAAAGTCTCGGTTGTTGGGGAAAGCATCTCAGTGTTGTGATTTACTCCCAAGGTCGACCGAGTTTGTGATTTGACAGCACTGCTTGGTGAAGCTGAAGGCAGTTCTGCAGGGCCGAGCAAGGTTTGTTTCGATGGTTGGTTATAGTCAACCAATGCAAAGGTTGGAGCTCCAGGAGCCAGAGGGGGATCGTCCTCTATGGCTTCATCGTCTTCAATGTGCGCGCCAAAGAGGAAAAACGGAGTTGCGTCGCCAAAGCCATCCGAATAGCCATATAGCGGCAAGCTCAAGCTTCGTGGTCGAGTAGACGAAGCGAGATCGAGCAAATCACCGGACTGTAGATTGGCAGTCTGACGATCCAAAGCATCGGCAGCTCTCATGGCCCGTGTTATGGGATCGTGGAGCTCTTCGTCGAACATGGCCTCGTCGCCAACAGAGCCTAGGCGGCTGTCGATTCGGCTCTTAGCCTCAAGCCCAGCCAATCCATCTCTCGCTAATTGGGCGTAGACGGCTTCCGCTTCGACTCTATCTCCACCAGTCTCGTGCTTCATGATCGCCTTGATACACAATGCCTGAGCGCTCGGTGTCCCGCCGTTGAGGAATGCCAGTCGCTTGTTCACTGGAGTCGCCTCTTGGAGAAAGCAGCGTGCCGCTTCATGGCGCTTGGTGAGGGCATCATGGACACTTCGAATGTATGACCGCACTTCAAAGGCCCGCTCAGAATCATCATTAGCAATGTAGGACTGGACGCTGGGAAGAATGAGGATCTGAGGTGAGGTTGGCAGCAGTCGGAGCTGAGTCGATACGACGTCGGGGTGGCCTTCAAAGGCAACGATATTGCCGCTTGCCTCCATCTTGATATCTGCCATGGCGAACAGGATACTTCAACCGGCGTCCAGATGAAGATAAAGGTGGCTTGAATCAGGTCCGGAAGAGCTCAGAAGTATGAGCGGAGCCAGCCAAGGGGCGTCGGTGAGAAGGCCTCAGCTGATTGACTGCGCAAAGGGCCCAGGGCCACGGCGGAGGCAGTGATGGAGAATTAACCTTGGAAGAGTGGCGGTGGGCGAGTGACTCGCTTCCGCCTCTGTTGACCCTTTAGAAGCTCGACAAAACCATGCCCGCGATGACGCTGCGAGGGTGTCTGATTCGCTGAACAGAGTCAACCTGCGAGGACCCGACAAGCTGCCGGGAGCTATACCTGCGTTTTTCTATCGGCGGAACAAGTTCTAGAATTATGACAGATGACGGTTCGAGACGTCAGCAGGGATAGGAAAAAGAAAGGGTTGACTTGCAGGGCCTGGATGACCAGCAGCAAGGAGTGGGCAGGACCAGAACTACCGAGTACGATGAAGACTTTGGGGAGCAGAGAAGGATGATGGAAGGAGATGAGAAGGAGAGGCGAGGCGAAGCGAGAGGCGAGGGAATGGAGGTGTAGATATGAAGATGGGAGGCAGTGAAGTCGAGCAAGTAAAGCGCTGGCACACGCACGTAAGACTCGAGCTGCAGCGCTTTTACTTGCAACGGCATGGCAGACGAAGCTTCATCCAGCACAGCAGGTGCTGTAGGTACCGTATGTATTACATGCCTGTACACCCGGTACCTGCTGTACGTGCTCTCTGTAGCGCGCCGTACCTGCCTTAGTACCGGGTACGGCGCTGCGCACGGGTGGATATGCCGCATCCGCGTACGGACTACCTGCGAGGGCACCGCGCAGTACTCGTCGTACAGACGTGCTGTACAAGTCGTACCAGCAGGCGCAGGTGTAGGTGCAGCAACACCAGCGCTTGGAGCAGGCCGGGAGTTGATCACCGCCCCACCCAGGAAACAGGGAAGCAGCCACTAATTAGTGCAAAAATAACAGCTTCATCTGCCAGGTCCAAGTGTCTGCTGGTACCACAAGCGTGGAATACAACCGCTGGGAGCTCGGTTGGTGCTCGCACCCAGACCTTGTCACTCTCATCACAAAGGCGCCCGAGCAACAGTGGCGCCGGCGAAGTGAGCCCTGGGATTCGCGGAGAGCTAACCGGAACGCAGCTGCTGCTGTGGATTCGAGCTCGTCTCTCTGCTCAATCTTCTGTCTCTTCGTTGTGACTGCTGCTGCTGCTGCTGAGTACAGTATTAGGGGGGCCGCGGTCATCGTTACGCGGCAATATTACGGGTTGCCAGTTTTGGTGTTAACCTGAGCTCGTACAGCAGAGCAACACGGCAAGGAGATGCCTCGTGCGGTGCCACGAAGCACTCGACCACCTCAATAGCATCGAGAAAAGGGGCGTGGGGGACCAGCGGCTGTTTTGATGCGGGCGGGCTGTCTGCAGCAAGTTGAAGCATCAGCGTGATGACATCTAGTTGCTCCAATCACTGGCCTTTGATGTTCCTGCTTGGCAGATGAAGATGCTAACTTTGACTGAAAAGAAGAAGCATCGCCGAGACATTCGAGAGCCTCCAAATCTGACACTGAGCTCTCCTTTGATCTTAGTGGAGGACGACACAAGAGACTTGCCCCCTTCAGGCTTGGGATGAGAGACGCGAAAAGTGGCTGACAGGGGCAATGCGAGATGGGAATTGGCCAATTGCACACGAACCCCTGTTGCCAACGAACGAACCAGGGTGCCAACAGCAGCCAAAAACTTCCACGTCTGGCTAGATTCAGGCATGTCCTACGGCGACTGTGTAGAGCCCGCCGCCAGTTCATCCTGATCCTGATCCTGCTACGCGATGCTACTGCTAATGCTACATACTCTTAGTAGATAGTGCGACCGCTTTGTCGCCATGGAAGGGCTCATCTTCGAGCTCGCACGAAGCGACCACTAGCATCCAAGCGTCTTGTTGAAGCAACACCTCCTCCTTCAGCCTGCTCACCCACACGCCACACTCTCGAGACTTGAAGCCGGGGTCCCCACACAACGGAGCGGCAATCAAAGACATTCTCGCCCGCGGCCATTGGAGAGGTGCTCCAGAATGCCGCCGGTGGAGACGGCCGACGCTGATTCTAGCAGTGAGATGCGCATGTCTACAAGACCTATTCGTCAAGAGACGGCTCTGCTACAACGGCATGCAAGGCGGTGTCAGATACGACAGAGGATGGTCACCAAGGTCACAGACCCCTGCACTAGCCTTCTTTATGCTCTCTATATTACTTGCACTATAAACGAGAGACATCAACGCTGCTGTGCATGCTCGTCGTTTTCTAGTGCCCTCCTCGTCCTACCACCACCCAGGCGCCGGGATTAGCTGATGGGGAGCACAGCTGACCTCGACCTGGCAATCATCGCCCGCTATCTCGCTGCTGTCACAGCTCCGCCAGCTTTCATTGGCCAGGCTTTGAGTATATGTCTTTAATACAGGTTTTAGTCGCACAAGTCCCGGCGCTTCGATTAATCCAGAGGGCATGTGATCCTCAAACAGTCTACTTGAACCAGAGAGGGTGACACCAATCACAGCCTCGTGTGTGGCCACTCATTACTCGCTGGTGCGTGTACAAGCACACTTCGAATGCGACGGTTGCTCATTCACAAACTGCAGTTCATGCACATATGAAGCGACCAGACCTTGGCCAAATAAAGCAGTGTGACCGTTCATCCTGGGCTCTTTATTTGTCCAACAGCCCAATGTCCATTGGTGCACCCAACAGCTGTCAATGCCGTCGGATACGGCTCTCAAGAAGAGACCACTTGACAACTTAAAGACATAAATCTTGTTCTCGCAGCCCGTCTTGTGTGCATCATGTCTCGTGGTTGCACAGAATTCACAACGCAGCGCCAGATAATGAGCTCTCTTTCCTCGCAGCGTGGCTTGGTTCACCTGGCAATGAAGGCCAAGTACCTAAATGAGTCCCACGAATAAACAGCATCCGTCTAATATGACGAAGCGAGATAAGGGACATTCTTCTCCACGCATTTAAGTGTTCTGTGCCCGACTGGAAGGGTAGGCTGTGCTCAGTATGCCTTATACCGATTTCCTGGTTTAACTGCCGGCTGCCTGTGGTTTCAAGCACAGTCAATGCCAAGTGACGTTGACACAGGATTTTCTGCCCTGACGATCGTTGGTTGAACAAGTTCTTGCTGCAGTTTGCCCTCAGTTCGTCTGATAGATAACTGACGGCTTTATCTTGAACACAACATTCCCAAATGTCTCTCCAAAATGAGCTTCAGCTCTGTAACCACACAATCCTAGCAGTGCCACCAAACTGCAGTGGACGGCTTGTTTCAACTTGCGAGTGCTCTCCGAACAACGTGACTCAAGGCGCCTATGGAACAAGTCATTGGAGAAACAGCCAGGCCAATACCAGCCGCCAGCAGGTCTCCGTAAACCCACATGCGCACGGCACTCCAATATCTAGCAAACCGCCAACGTGCTACCCACCAATATTATCAACCAAATACTGCATAGGTACAAGAGAGTGTTGAGCAACGTCTTCTTCTATCTACTAGGAGTGGAATGTTCTATGAACGACACTCAGATCAACTTCTGGCTCCTATGCTAGCAAGGAGATATACAGCCAAGGACACTGCACTCATCATATGCCACTTCAGCTTGGGAAGAATACTGGCCTAACAGATTTCGGGTACTAAATAGTGGTAAAGAGCTTCGACATGTTTCTGCGCTTTTATCTTGCCGTAATAACCGTTTCTTCTACCTCTAGCAGCTGAGGGGCTTGAGCGGGCATATACCTACACATGCAAACGCAGAAGGAGACTCGGTGGCTTGCATCGAGACTGAACTAATAAGGCGACTCCACCGCGATTGTGACTTTCTAGAAGGTCCCAATCATTTGCAAGGAGAGCTTCATGTTGATGTCATGACGCTAAGCCTCTACTCGTGAATCTATACTGGCAAAACTTTCCTACTGGCCTACAACGAGTATGTCAAGCTATGTCACTCCTCCCTCATGGTCCATCCCGAAGGATTTGAAGTCGACTAGAAATCTCATTCTGCATACTCAATTCAGTTCGGCGATATACTCCATACTCCTCCACAATACTAGTAGCTCCAGCATATGGAGTCAGCGCTTGGATGCCATGGATGCCTCTCGCCGAGCATGCGCTGGAAATACTAGCCCATCAAATCATATCCACAGTCCCAGTCCCAAGGGCTCAGGTTTCCGATACCATCCGGCGTGGAAAAAACCCCGGTACTGTTACATGCTGGAAGTTTCCAAATAAGGCCTGTGCTCTGCACATCAATCTCAGTAACTTTCGGGGAGATTCGCCTCGCGGTGGGGTATCCTCTTCACACAACTCGCCTCGAGCTCTAATTATCATGCTCGCTTGAATATATCCCTCTCGCTGTTGCAAAAGGTAGGTGGGAAACAAGGCAAGAAAGATGGTTACTGTACTTATGCGCAGTTTTCTAGCTGTTTCAGGATTGATGGAGAAATTCCTTAGTAGCCACTCTCTGTCTATTCAAGCTGCAGCTACGACAGCTAGTATTGAGTAGCTGTGTTTCCGTCACGATTTCTCCACTCGAGGGGTGCACAGATCCTAGCGGCAAACAGTCTTTTGTCGCTGGCACTTTTCTCTTCCAGGTGTTCTCATTCCAGAGCCTGCAGGTGAAGCTTCTTTGGCCCCGATCGGCAGCTAATCGGCCAACGGCAGATGACCCGGACCACCTTGGAGATGCCCAGGACCCCATAGCTCCACAAATACAGGGGTTCTCGCAAGAAGGCCGAACTGACGGGTTCTGAGCTTTGCAGCAAAAATTCTCTAGCCCATGAGAAGAACAGAGACGGTGCTGTGGACCAGAGGCACGGCTCGAAGAAGTGAACGAGTTCCTATTCTTACCGTTGTCGATTATTACGTACAAGTGTATGAAAGTTTTTACTTATTCTTTCTCATTGTGGGTCAAGTTGTGAGCAAACTGTGGCAGATGCGTCTATGCATGCATATCATGACATGCATATCATGACATTCAAAACTTGTACAACGCAATACTCATGCTTGCATAGCAAACAGATGGCTTGCGGGTATATACAAAGAATGAACGACCTGGCCCGGCCCTATTACCAACTTACCTATACATAGGTACCTGAACTAGATAAAGCTCGCCGGTGCTCTGGTACGCATTCATAACACTAAGATGATGGTAATGGAGAGTTACCGGAGATTCAGAGCCAACTCCAGCTAGCTTGGCGTCTCTTTGGTGAAGCTATATGCCGGGGTGGTAAATTGAGGTACTCGGTACCGATCACATTAAGAATTGATTCAATCATAGATCAGCAAGGCCGGAAGCAGTAGGTCATAGTCTACAAGGTAGTAATCGCTTACCGCAGTCTGTTACAGCTTCAGGGCGCTCTCAGCTTCGGCCCTCGCTTAATGCCGCCTCAATGCGTGCTGCCTAAACAACAACGCTTTCGTTGCTCCATTTTCAATTTTGCTATAATTGGGCTCATATACTCTCTCTCTTCCCCCTTTTTTATTCGAGAACTCTTTGACTCTAATGATATGTAGCAACACGCCGTACACATGTAGCCAAGTAGAGAGGAAGAAGTATCCAAACTGCATCTCATCACACTGTTGGTCCAAGTGCACATACCAGCAACCATCACATCCATTACTTTGCATCTCCCCTGTTAGCCCCGTATTAATGGACAAATATTAAAGTACAGTCAGATGATTGTTCTCCTGTCTAACGACTAACAAAATGCAACCAAAAAAGAAAAGAAGAGAAAAGGGGTGGCGAGGTCAATCGCCATCGAGGCTCGGCAGCAAGTTTGCAGGCCGATGAAGTAGCTCTTTGCTCGCTTCGCAGCCATTATACGGTTTTCGACAAAGGGAAAAGAAAAAGTCGGTGAAAGCAGATTACCGTAGATGGTTTCAGGTTTCAATACGGTGCAATTCATTCGGTAGTGGCGGATTCCGACTTATAGCTAGCCGGAAGTCCAGCCGGTGGAAAAGGCAGGTAGCCGTTTACGAAGAAACTCAGTGTTTGACGCCCCTGGATCAGGTTATACGGACCCCTCGCCAGCAACTACCCGATGAATGAATAGCGGCCAAGAAATAGTAATATGTTGGATGGTGGTTTCTTTCTCTTTCTCTTTAAATCAATTGTCTATTATTGTTAGCTGACAGAGTGAGAGTGCTCAATCAGTCATCCATCAGCTCAGCAAGCTCGGCTTCCTCCTCAGCCGTCAAGAGGTTATCTCCCTGCGACTTATCCTCTTCTTCTACCGGCTTACTGGACTCTTCAATCTTCTTGACTACCTCGTCCAGATCGGTCTTCTTCAAGGGCCATGTACGGATAGTGCCGTCAATACTGACACTGCAGACCTTCTCAGGCAACCCCCGCGAGTCTCGCAGCAAGATGAGATCCGTCACCTCTTCGTAGTGCCCTTCTAGCGTGCAGTATAACTTACCCGATGATTTATCCCAAACCTTTACATTCTCGTCACGGCCAGCGGTGATTACCCAGTTTTCCGTTGGAATCACCGCGCGGACGTAATCACCGTGTTCAAAGGTATCCTCGGCGACAAAATTACGCGACCTGACGAGACATTTCGCAGTACCGTCTGCACTGGCCGTCCAGAGATCGCCTTCATCGCCTTCAAGATCGTAAACCAGCTTGTAAACGCTTGTGTCATGTTCCGCAATGGTGAGCCTCTCAACATCAGGACTGTCGTGGAATGCCTCGGCCAGTTGCTCAACTCCATCCACTGTAATTTTCCACCTGCGGATGTGAGGGTCGCTGCTCGCACTTACAATCAATGCTGCATCAGGGGTGCTCAATACGGGATCAATGGCAATGTGCTGCACCGCAAGCATGGTCGTTGTTGGATCTTGAAGGGTGTGCAGGCGCTTGCCGGTCTCAATGTCCCAGACTAAAATCTTCTTGTCTGCGCCACCGCTGATGAGAATCTCCTTGCCGGCTATCCTGGTGCACAAAACGGCCTTGAGGAAATCTGAGTGGCCGCTAAACTTGCGGCCAGGCTGGCCCGTCTCGACGTCCCAAGACCAGATATCTTTATCCCACGAGCCGGCAAACACAGTTTTGTTCCCGCTGCCTCCAACGGCGACACATGTCACAGGGGCTTTAGGTCCACGATATGTGGCTTTTGTTGCACCGGACTAGAGGCGACGATGAGCATCATATCTAAGCAGAGGGCAACAATTAGGAAAACTCACTATAAGATCTATTCTGCGAGCGAAGCCTGCCGATTCCGCGATGAAGATGGCGGTTGACGGAGAAAAGGGGTCGGGGACGGCTGCCAAAATCTTGGACTTCATGACGATTGGGTCTCCATTTTTGTTGCTGGCTTTGAGAGCTTTGCGTTCTCTCTCAGCATTGGACGCACTATACTGATGATTAGGATGAGAATTCTATGAAACTTTTTCATCAAGTCATTTCGCACTCACTCGGTCTGAAAGAAGGCGTCACGATTTGAGGTCTCCATGGCGGTGGGATATGCTGTTTGGGTCTGAATGAGATTAAATGTCTTATCGTGGCAGAAGGAAGATGGTGAAGAAGAAATCCAAGGTAATTTATATGTCGTTGACCTGCAGATCTTGGTTCCAGGCTGCCGTATAAATGAAAATAAATCGCCAGCACCACTTTCTTCTTAGAGCTTATGTGATATCAAGCTCAGAGGCAAAAAAGGGGATGAGATCAATAATACGGTGCCTACCAGGCTCCCGCCAAACGTAGCACGATTTCGAGCCCCAATGGCGGGGCTCAATTGCTACTGACAGCCAGACCAAACGTGCTGCTAAAATTCAACCGCGGGGCCGCGACACCGCCTACCACGACTTTAATTGATACGCGCTTAGACGCGTCTCCCACGAAGCAGCCCAGCCCAGCGCCAGCGCCAGCTCCAGTCTCCAGCCCACCACGAAATCGAAATCCCAGCAGCTTCACCTGCACGCTCCAATCCGACGAGCGCAGGCAACAATCATGGACTCGACAGTTGCGCCCCGTCCCCGACCGAGGCCTGCGCACACTCAGGGCACGACGCGATGCGCCTACACCACGGACGGTAGCCGGCTGGTCACCGTGGGGTCCAACAACACCATCCGCCTCTACAAGACGGGGTCGGACGGCGAGCCCATCAACATTGACGACTGCCAGGAGCAGAACGTGGCGGTTGCTGCCTCCCAGGATTTCTTCGTTGCCGGCTCTGAGGACGGCACCGTCAGCCTCTACTCCCTGGCGACGTCCAACTTCGAGCGCTTCCTCGTCCGAACCTCGCTGCCTGTCCGAGATGTGGCGCTTTCTGGAGACTCGCAGTGGTGCGCCGTGGCCAGCGACGAATTGACCGTCAAGGTTGTCAACACGCAGGATATGAAACAGCTGCGATATCTCAACGAACATACTCGAGCTGCTCGACACATCAGCTTAGATCCCAACGGCCGCATTGCGACCTTGTCTTGCGTCGATGGGATTATATACGTCTATTCCTTGACTGCGGATCAGCCCGAGCTGATACACAAGGTGGATGGGATCATTGGCTCTGGCGACGCAGAATCTGAGGCGTCAGTTAAAGCTGTTTGGCATCCAGATGGCAGGGCGTTTGCCGTCCCGACACCTACGCGAGACATTCAAGTTATATCGAAGAACGACTGGGAGAAGCAGCGCACCTTTACCAACGGACACTCAGCCGACATCACTGCCCTCGCTTGGTCACCAAACGGTGTTATGCTCGCATCGGCTTGCAAAGGCGGAAAGATTCTGATCTGGGAGACCAGCACCCAAAACGTGATTCAGCGCTACGACTTTTCCAATGTCATTGATCTAGCGTGGCATCCTACCAAGAATATCCTGTCTTTTACGACCTCGGAAGGAGAGGTCTACATATATCCCGACTTTCTCTCTGACCAATACTCCCCTATGCTGAAGCTTCCTGTGCAGCCAGCTCCCTTCATCCACGATCCGCTTCTGGAAATATCCGCCAACAGAAGAGCTCCCGCGGCCAATGGCCATAGACGCGACATTCCCACACGCCCTCGACGAGATTCTCTAGGAAGTCTTGACTCATACCTGGATGATGAAAACTATGCGGACGGCGACGATGACGGATTTGTCGTTGACGATGATGGTGCTGGGTACACAATTGGCCAAAAGAGAGGTCGCGTCGGCGACGATGTTGGCGATTACGCCAATAAAAGGAGGCATCTTCCAGCAGAACCTCAGTACCACGAGGCCTTCCAGCCTGGATCCACCCCGTGGAGAGGGAATCGAAAGTATTTATGTCTAAATCTTATTGGATTTGTCTGGACAGTGGATCAAGATGGGCACCACACCGTTACCGTTGAATTCTACGACCACGAATTCCAGAGAGATTTTCACTTCACAGACACCTTCCTGTACGACAAAGCATGCCTCAATGAGCATGGAACTCTATTTTCGTGCCCCCCTAAAGATGATCAGCCGGCGACTATCTTCTATCGCCCTCATGAAACTTGGACGCAGAGATCAGACTGGCGGACCCAGCTTCCCAAGGGAGAGGCTGTTATTGCCATGTCACTGAGCGACTCTTTCGTGACTGTCGTAACGAGTGCCAACTACGTGCGCATTTTTACGTTGTTTGGCATGCCGTACCGAGTCTACCGTCCCAAGAGCACGCCTATGGTAACATGCGCAAGCTGGAGGAACTACGTTCTCACCATTGGTAATGGCCCCGTCGCCGCTGATGGAAACACGCGCCTCCTGTACACGATTGAGAATGTAAAGAGAGACGAGATTTGCCAGAATGAAGATACTGTGGCACTTCCTGAAGGCGCAACTTTGAAGAGCGCCTTCTTTTCTGACAATGGCGTGAGTTATAGCCGATGATAAATGTTTCCTGTTATTTGAGTACTAACAGTTAGCTATTAGGACCCTTGCATCTACGATTCGACAGGCACACTATTAACTCTGCTACACTGGCGTCAGCCATCACGGGCCTCTTGGGTGCCTCTATTAGATACGAAGCTTCTGTCTCGTCTGGCGTCTGGCCGGAAGCACGAGACGTATTTCCCAATCGCCGTGGCAGAAGATAAATTTCACTGCATTATCCTCAAGGGCGGTGACGAATACCCATACTTTCCGCGGCCTCTACTCTCAGAGTTTGACTTTTCTATTCCACTACATTCACCACAAGTGCCCAAGAAAAGGAAGAACCGGGATGATGGGGAAGATGAAGCAATGGGTGACGATGACGATGAGGAAGATCAGGAAGAGGAAGCTACTGAGACGAGGAAATTAGAGCAGCAGTTCATGCTCAAGGGCGTGCAGACGGCTCAGCTCCGCGACCTAATCGACGCCACCTCTAGCAGCCATACTCAGCGCTCATTGTTGTCACGAATGGAGCTAGAAATCGACAAGACGCTTTTGCAGCTCCTGGCGGTGGAGTGTCGTGAGGGCGAAGACAGGGGCATGCGCGCGCTTGAAATGGTTCAGCTGATGCGGGATCGCACCGGCCAGATGATGGAGGCGGCGTTCAAGATTGCTGATCGGTATGGGCGGACGATTCTGGGAGAGAAGATTCGGGAGATTGGCGAGAACAGGGCCGGTGGGATGGGGGATGATGATTTCTGAGGGGCATCGTGGTGATGGAATGGTTTACGGCGCGACATGTACAAAATGTTAGTTTGGGGCATTATGGGGAAAATTATGGTATAATATAGGTTGGCAAGTCTTTAAGCAGATATGCTGTATACTTGGAGATGGGGAATGATGGTTTTCTAGCTTATCAATGATCTAATACATGAGCTTAGCAAATGATATCTTGGCCATTTTAGATGATCGCTGAGAGTTCTCTGCTCTCTGTGTGTCTATCTCAGTCCTTGATGTCTTCAAAACGCAAATCTTCGTCTTTATCATCTTATCCTCGTTCAACTTTAGCTCGACGTTGTGAATCGTGGGCTCGGGATTTGCAACATCTTCAAAATCCGCATCGTCGTCCTCACCTTTATCCTTCTCGTTGTGGCTCTCCATTGCAAGAGGATGCAAATCTCTTCAGGGGTTCATTCGTCAAGCATGTGAAAAATGCTACGTGGGACAGACTACCCGGCAAAGAGCCACGATTTACCTTCTAATAGCACTTGGGAAACATGTAGAGAGCTTTGATAGAAAGCTCCCATGCGGACATTACTTCCTAAATCGTCATCAAAGCATCCATTACTTAAACCCGAGTCCAGTAAGTAATACGCTTTGGAACTTTGGTACCTATGCATAGTCTACAATAGTCTAGAGTTTATCCGTGGGGGTCTTTAAAGACAGGGGGGGTGTTTTTCCATTTTCATTCCTCCCGAGTAGCTTCGGGAGAAGGAAAAAAAAGAAGCAGGAGAGAAGGGAAAAGGCCCGAGAAGCAGAAACTAGGAAAAATCCACAAAAGGTCTTTAGAAGGCTTCTATAGTAAATGTCTTTATGTTACAGCAAGGATGAAACGTGGGTTTTCACCCAGGATCGGCCAAAAAGCAGCCAACGTCGGCCGTCCCGATGCATGACAGCTAGCTGCAGGTAGGTCTATGTGAGCATGTATTATTCCGTCACAGTTGTCTCTCGGGTAAACGGTTTGACGACAAGAACAAGGTCCCTTTTTTTTTCTTGCATTGTGCGTCCGAAGCTAGAACCAGGCAGCCATGAATGAAGGTCTCTTTCTGCGATTGATGGACTGCATGGAGTCTTTGATCCGTTGCTTTAGTGGGTTGGTTTGCCCAATGTATTGTTAGAGTGGATGACGGTTTCTAGATGAGGGAAAAAGAATTGTAACGAAAATGATACCAGCCTAACTTATCATCAGAGGGTGTGAGTCGTACAAGTTACATACAAGTAGTGCCATCGTCGTCACTGCAAAGGCGCTGGAGCTACGGAGAAATAATTGTAGATGGGCAGATCTGCCAACTGCTTATTTACTAGCTTCCGGGCAGCAATATGTAGGTTGGTAGGCCGTGTTATCTGCTTTGTATATGTACTCAGTAGGTATTGCATCGCTCTCTCGGCTGTCGCTATGATGAGAATAATAGCGAGGCATCCTGTGCGAAGGATGCCGACGGACATGACTGCTGCAACAAGGCGCATCGCCGCATTCTCCCCTCAAGCCTCGGAGCCGCGACCTCCAAAGGGTTGTGGAATCAGATATCTTCCGCCATATGTAAGGTGAAGGTAGTAGCGGAGTGCAAAGTCTGCCAGTCTCCATCTGATGTCAAATTCGTCTCCGCGACAGCGACAGCGACTGTCGCGCACCCCGAGCAGGGCCCATGTCAAGATCCATCGGTACCTTTCCGACCAGTATTGCCAATGCCGTATTAGTGCTGCTGCCACAATCCAGATGCTACATGCCACCTCCGTCGATGCCCTGGCATTGAGACATGTCAATGACACTTGTCTGCGGAACTGCAGGATATCCTTTCTTACTCAGTCCATCCGTCTCGGCTGCATCCGACGGCATCTGTCGAAAGAAGGCAGTAGTAGCACTACTACGTGTACTTACACGCAGCCAGTACTAAGGTCTGGTAGCTTTGCGTGGAAACAGGTGTTCAAGCAGAGCTCTAGGCAGCCATTGAAGTGCCAGAAAGGGAGTTGGAGGGCAGCATCTTATTACCCAGGCTACCACGGTAAGTGGAAAAGGAAAGAGGAAGAGAAAAGAGACTGATCATATGTGGTTGATGTGCCGCGTCGATCTGACAGGCAATATTTAATATATTTGGCCATATCCCGAGATCAGCATCTTTTAGCGTGGGAACATCCTGGCATCTGGCAGCGAAATGATTAGTAGTACTCAACACCACCAGCAAAGATAGGTGAGTTGTGGAGAGCAAAAATGTAATAGATGGATAGTATATACTATCATTGGCTGGTTCTCTACACTCCTGCCTTGCAGACACCGAAAACATGAGCTTCACTCTGTTGGTGCGGAGGCGGGGAGATTAGACCTCGAAAAAGGGGGCATCATACATACCTGTACAGTGGTTTACTGGCGAGATTTTTGACCTCTGGGCTCGGCTCTCCTCATTCCCCCTTTGCTCACCGGTGAGTCTTGGGCCTGCAAGCTGTGTCGTACGTACATATGCACGGACGGACGGGACATGCAGCCAGTAAATTACTCGTAGCCGCATCGACCTGTGCCTGTGCGACGGACGATAACTCGGGCTTATTGGCGCTTTACCGATGACTTTACCGACTCCATAGCGAGGTTAAGCCGTGTTACTCCTATATTATTGCGTCTTTGCCGACAACAGAGTGCGGGTACCTCATCCGCCGTGCCCCGACTCCATTGATTGTTTGCTACGATCAATTGGGCAATGGCTTCAATTGGCATATGGAGAACTCGATATACTTGTACACCCATGTATAAAAAACATGATACTCCCTACAGTATATCGACCTCAACAGTGTGACAGTGGCAGATGGCAAGGGACGTCTCGGCGATCATGGAACAAAGTTAACAAGCTCTACCTGGGCTAATCCCAGTCATGTCACCACAGGTTGCTTTTGCGTTATTGGGGTGGCGGCCAGCATCATATCCAATGTGGGCATTTCGACTGACTAGGGATGGCTGACTAGTCCCTCAAAAGCTTTTTCTCCTCTTTCTTCTCTTTTTCCAATAGAACAACTGTCTATTATTAGACTAGAGAAGAAAACAAAAAGGACGACCGGAAGACGCTTCTTACTCCTCTCAACGAAAAACAAGGATGGACTTGAAATTTGACGCCGCCGACGTAAGAACTGAGAGAGGAGAGCTAGATGAGGAATGCATGTGAAAGCGCCCGGGGAATTAAGACGGCTAACCTTGGCTGTACTCCTACTGCTAGCTCGCTGCCTCTTCTCGTGTCATGGAGAAGTACTCGTTTGAACAAGATATAAACTGAGCGCATAACAAGAAATGACTTCTTGTCTTTCTTGCTTCTTGCGGTTTCTTTCCCTCCTTATTTTTAGATTAGCCTGGGCTGTCTTGTGTTGTACCATGATCTTTGGTCGTGCTAGTCAAAATCGAGCATCACCGCATCGCCGGGAGGTGGCTTGCAACAAGGGCCTCAATAGTTGATGCCTGTCAGCAAGCCACCAGTCCAGCTTCTCAGTCGCGGCGTAGTGGGGGAGCTCGTCCTCTCAGCTCCCCGAGTAAGATCCGGAATCTGGTCGCTCACTAGAGAACCAAAAAAAAAAAAAAAAAAAAAAACCTGAATTGACCCCTTTGGCAGATCCGAGGCAAGACACAACTTAGTAATAGTGCTACGTTGTATTGGGGCATTTTGTCTCAAGTGCCTTGGTAGAGACGATGGGACGTACCCATAACCCAGTGTTACCCAGGGTAGCAGGCGCCCGGCAGGTATAGCTACTTGAGGTCTGGAATCGGGAGTATAAGGATCCTCAGTGCCTGGAGAAGGGGAAGAGGAACAAGATCCAAGGAGTCTGGTAGCAATTTAGGTATCAAAAGCGTTGTAAAACAGAGCGAAAAGGCCTGTCGTCAATGCAAGCCCTCTCCTTGTTCGGAACAGGCACCTTACGGGGGGGCATCGGTCGCATTAATTGATCCCTGGCCGTCTGCTACGGTAGTAGAATCTGGAGCACCCCGGCGACGGTCAAGCAACATCCCTGGTGGTTAATGATGGGGAACCTCGTCTGTCATTTGAAGCTGCATCCGTTTAACAGTTGGATGAGTGTTTTTGCATTTTTGATTCCTTAAATTTCGAACACTACTGCTCCTTTTGTTCCTACTTTTCGCTTGGGACGGCGCGTCTGCGTCTCCTGCAGATACTACCTGATCCATTCAATCTGTCTTTGTACAAGACCCCGTTTTATTACGTACAAAGCGTCTCCATATTAGTAGTGTCTGGAATCTTTTCAACGGCTTGTGAAAGCTTCTCCCTACTGCTCGTACCAACTACCGCTAACACAGCAACACAGAAATCGTCATCAGCGGCATACTGCAAGTCTAGATCTCTAGTAGGGGTGTGAGCTACAGGGCACCAAGCAAAACCTTGCAGCTTTGATATCATATCGTCAGCCACATCAGAGATACGCGTACCTGCGTCGTAGCAATACCCCCAATCCTCTGGGATACCGCCAGATTATTACAAAGAGCACATTGATAAAGCTTCCGTTGAGAGAGACTTTCGATATAGAACACTGGCAGGTACAGTACCTGTCACTGTAGAGGTGCTCCAAAGCTCTAAGAGCTCTACCCGGCGCGAAGTAGGCCTCTAGGGGTCCAGCATTGCAACTGCTTTCCATAGCCATGCCCAAGTTCCATATTTTCAGTCGAACGTACATAAAGCCCATTAGGCATGCACTTGAAAGCTTTGCCGCAAATACTTGGCCCTCCATTCGACTCCATCTACAACGGTTGGCGTTTCTCGAGCTACACGTCTCAAACAGGGCCCGGTACCGGTACACGCCCACTCAGCTCCATGACCTTTACCGACCCCTAGGAGGGAGTATTACTCCGTACCGTAGCTTACCTTTGGGGGGAGCAAGTACCCAGTACGTCTAGACATTCATGCCGCTCTGTCTCATAAGCTGCGGCGCAGGGTAGCCGGTACTTGCTGCCTCGACCGATCCGTACTAACACCATCTCCATCTCTTATCCCCCCCGTCATTCCCACCTCCGTAACGGCTTGGCTTCCCGCCTTCTCTGTCCCCCAAGCATACCTGCATACACCACCAACGCATCTGGGCTCTGTCTGCGCATCTGCATCGTCAGCAGCATTCTGAGGCATTCCATCTTGTACCGCCGCCGTGCTGCCCGAGGCCCGTCACCGCCTCGCCTCGCTTCTCGCCGCCCTCCCCTCGCCTCGCCAACAGCTCCGGTCGACTCCCGGCTGGGCCAAGCAGCTGTATCGTCGAGCTCCTCGGGCGTCCCTAGTGGCCGAGAGCGAAGCATCCATCGCCTACACTAGCATCGTGCATACAGCTACATCCGCTACATTCCACACACATACTGCTACCTTGTGTGGTGCGCCCTCGCGCCAGGCCCAGGCCCAGGTACTGCAGCTGCCGCTTCCAGAAGCAGCTTCAACAAGGGCCCTTTTCGTCCACGAGCGGCTGCCGTCGCCAATGCGAGGCTGATATCGACGCCTGTCCGAGCCCGAGCCTGTGCGTCTCTGCGTGTGCGGTGCGCGTGCTGTGCGGGCACGTCCCAGCGACGTCAATTCTCCAGCAACTTTTGTCATCTTGGCCTGCTCTGCTTCCACTCCACCACAGCTGCCACGACGCGGCAAACTCCGACCTGTCCGCCTCATCCTGCGACCCGACAGACGTGTAGATATGAGGTGAGGTGAGTAGCTACGGTCCCCAGAGCCTCGCTGAGCTAGCTGGCCTGCCAATGCGGCCTGTCGCAGCTCCGAGCTCTTCTTTGCGCCTCCACGCTCGCTGCCCGCCTCGCTGCTTTTCCTCCTCGCCACATACAGGCCGCTTCTCCTGGCCGCCGCTACAAATCCTCGACCATCGCCTTCTTTCTCTCCCCCCACCCCCTCATTCTTCCCAATTCACTCTACACAACCCATCCGCAGCTGGCTGACCGCAATGGGCACAATACAGATGGCCCACAGGACCGAGACCTCTCAGACTTCGAGCCCGGCAATCGATAGACTTGAAGACTCCAACGGTGCCCGAATCGTTCCCGTGCCCATCTCCGTGTCCGTGCCGCCACCTACCATCAGCATGTCTCCACCTAGTCCCGTTGACCATCCGATGGAGGGCACATCGCCAGAGGACAACTCCCCTCCTGGCCAGGCCCCCGACGCCGACCCCGGTGCCAATGGCAAGTCAACCCCCGGCCGGCCTGGCAATGCGTCGCCGCAGGATCAGTCCGCCGTCGCGACCTCAAACAACATGCCCGCGCCTCCTCCGGCCGCCGCCGCCGCCGTCCACCAGCCCAAAATAGTCCAAACCGCCTTTATTCACAAGCTATACAAGTGAGGATTTCTGATTGCCCTGCCCAGCCAACGTTTGGCTGTGGAGGGTGTCCTTGGAACGGGGCAACGGTTACTGATGATGGAAGCAGCATGCTGGAAGACTCCAGCATACAACATCTTATTTCGTGGTCTTCATCTGCCGAAAGCTTCGTCATGTCGCCTTCGGCCGACTTTTCCAAGGTGTTATCGTAAGCTTTCCCCTTCACCGTCCAGCCCGTGGCTATGACCGACATGCTTACCTTTGGACCCCAAGACAATACTTTAAACATACGAATGTTTCTTCGTTTGTGCGCCAGCTCAACATGTACGGTTTTCACAAAGGTACCTTCCACCCGTGTTTACTCTGTTTAAAAAAGGTGAAAAATTGAATTGACCTAAACATGGCTCACTCTGAAATAGAACGAGACGTATTCCACACTGGCAACCCGGAAACGACTCTCTGGGAATTCAAGCACGGCAACGGAAATTTCAAGCGCGGCGATCTTGTTGGCCTTCGTGAAATCAAACGTCGTGCCAGCCGACATGCTTTAGTCAATCGAGAAAACAACTTTCCTAAAGCTTCTACGTCCCAACCTGGAACTCCCGTCGAGCCTGTTCAGGTGCCAGCGGATAGCATTGAAGCTAGACTGGCCAACCTGGAGCACTCGCTATACGATACAGCCTCGAGACTACAGAGAAGCGAAGAGGCGGCCCACTATATGCACGTCAAAAACCAGGCCGTGATGGAGACCTTGAACCGATTACTTTTTTTTAACCAGGAATTGTCCAAGGGAATGCTATCGATTGTATCCCCGGACAGCCCTGTTCATCGAGATGGTATGTTATGCAGAACCAACAAGAAAGGAGAATTGAAAAAGAGACTGTGATACTGACTTGAGGGTTTATAGTCTTGACAATCCAAGGCGAAATGCAGAGGCAAGGAGAAATGTTACGCTCACTGGAGGAGCATCATGAGCCCGTTTATCCTTCGAGACAACAATTCTTTGGAAACGTTGATAATGCGCCCGTCTCGCCTAGACAGATGCCGCAGGACGACACCAGACGAGTGACGCTCAACGTTCCGCAGGCGCGAAACCAACCATCTTACAGACCGGCTGTCCCCTCGAACCTTTCCATCGGTACGCGGCGACCATACGGATCCATTAGCGGCGGCGCTGGGTCTTCGCCTCTGCGCAACGCCGCGCCAGCCCCTCCGCCGGGACCCCATCCTCTTTCCAATGTCGAATCTGCGAACAATCTGGCTAGACGTCATACTGCCGCAGATATTCGAGCACATGGGTGGCAACCAAATGCTCCTCCGTTCCCTCAGGCCGTACCACCACCCGTGTGGCCGCAATCTCCCAACAGGCTTGCGCCAGAGGACCAGAGGTTGAGAGACTCCCTCTCATCTTTCTCCCTACAGCCTGCGCCCACCCACGCCCACCCACTCTCAAGGCCAGCAACGCCGCCACACGCGCCTTTTTCAAACGGCAACGGCCCTGGATCAGATACATTCGGCAGCTGGTCATGGAACTCGGCGTCGAACCGTGAAAGCAAAACAATTGGGGCACTGAAGGAATCGTCAGCGCCTCCTACCAGAAGGGGCAGCATGGCGCATATTCTTAACCCTAGCGATACAGCTGAACGATCAGATGAAGACGAAGACCCGCGGGGTGACGATGACAGGAAGCGAAAACGAAGACTATAATACAATGCCGAAAGTGTCTGACATCACGTTTGGATGATGGGGAAAATGGTTCATGACCATGGCGTATGATCTAGCACTGTTGCTTACGACAACAAGGGGTCGCTCTCCAAAGCTGGCGTTTGAAAAGAATCCACCAATTCTTTGCATTTATTTTCGCTTTCGTTACTTTTTCTTCTTTCTCGTTGGACACCAGATTGGATATTTGGGATACGGCAACACTAGCCGATCAACACATCTTCCACCATGATCTAAAGATAATTGCCGTCCTCGAGATGGCACACCCGCACTCCCTCACTATGGCATAACAAAATCACTCTGGTCTATCTCTGGGGAAATATTTGTTACAGGAAGCTTCCTACCGCGTCTGGGGCTACATCACTCTCATCTGCCCATCTTTGGCCCGAAGTGCTAAATAAAAAGTATCTCGAAACCTTTTTTTTTTTTTTTGTAAATTGAATAACACTGGCTGATGTTATATGTCATTATAAGAGGTGGAATTTGTTTCAGATGAAAAGGATCTATTGATGAGCTGAGAGGAGAGATAGACTCAGGCAATTTTGAGTCCATATATAGTGATCAATTGGGCGCGGAAAAAAAAAGGCAAGAAGGGAGAAGTAGCGGCAAAGGATGGACGAGGGCTTGTCGGTGTTTGCTCTTCTGGTATTGGTTGACACGAGGGAAGATTGGGATATAAGGTATCTATGATATCAGCAATCTGCTGCAAATAAAGTATATATATACACATATATTTATATTAGCTGAACGGACATGGGACTCTGACGTGATATTTATGGTCACGGTAATTCAAATAGATGGTAGGCGTGACGCTGGTTGAATTCATTTATTAACTGTAATTGATACAGATTTGCATCAAGACATCTGCGGATGGCGTATACTATAAGCTGTGTCTTCAATTATTTCGTTTATCAAGTTTGCGTGGCTTTGATCTATATGGTAGAAGTGATTACGTAGTGATTGAGGTTATTGTCATTGTCTCTTTTGACTGATGATGATTCTTCATTACATCATCCAGCATGATGATGCGTTTCTTTCTTTCTGGATCTATATGTGTTTCAGAGTGTCTAATATATTCAAGAACCAGGGTTTGCTTGTTTCTGTTTCTGCTTCTGCTTCTCCCTTTGCCTCTTCTTCCTCTTTTTTTCCTTTTTGTTCCTTTCTCTCTCGTCATCATCAATATCATTACCACCACTGCCGCCAGTCTCATCTTCCACAAAAGCATCTTGTCTCTTGTCATCGCCCATTTCCACATTTGCAGCTTTCTCCTCTTCTTCCACTTTATCCACCTGCTCTTCCGCAACAGCGACAACTTCCTCCCTCCTCGGCCTCTTCCTCTTCCCTAGTCCACTCCTCCCAGGCTCCTCATCACTCTCGCTCTCCGTAGCAAATGCCGTCTTCTTTCCACCTTTTTGATTCCTGCCCTTGCCCAACAGCCGTCCGCGCAGCATGCGGTCCTCCTTTGAAGTGGCGTCTTTCCCCGCGGCGGCTTTCGCGTCCGGCACGTACCCGACGCCTTCGTTTGGCCGCGGGCCGGAGAAGAGCTGCTCGATGTCGTCTGAGCTGATGGCTTGGTGGTGGCGGCGCTGAGTGTTTGTTGTTTGGGACGCTGCTGAGGGCGGATTGAGCGTCTTGAGGAGAGACGTTCGGCTGGAGAGGAGGAGGGAGATTTTGTTGGAGATGGCGGCGCGGTCCGGGGCGAGGGGGAGGGGAGGGGGTTTGGAGGAGGAAGATGAGGGCGGCATGATTGGGATTGATTTCGTCGATGTGTTGACTGTCGATTATAAGGGTTGTTGATATGTGAAGATGTTGAGAGAATGAAAGAGAAGGATTAGAAGTTATGAAGAAGTAGAGCTTCGGATGAATGAATAAGCAACTGAAATAATAATGCTTTAATATCGCTGTCATAAACTCATGGCGAAAATAACGACCTAGACTTCCCATGTAATTGACAATTGGTGGAAAAGAAAAGGTTGGGTTGAAATCATCAAGGTACTCTTTTTGGAGGTTGCTTAAGAAAAAAAAAAGTTGGAGTAGCGTCACTGATAGACGGCCTTTAGCTCTAGTGGAGTCCCTTGGCGTGGGTTGCTTCTTTGGGAAATCAGCTGCATCCTTCTAGAATATGGTCTTTAATAAAGCTTTACATAGACAGAATAGAAGATATAATAAGATAAAGTGGCCAAGGAGCCAAGAATATTATATATTATAGTTATTTCATCTAAAATCAGAGTTAAAGAAAACACCCGTGGTATTTCGCCTTCTCTGGTATCCTTCCCAAGGGCCATTGCAGCCGCCATAAAGTTACATTCTATTGTTGGTATAAAACATTGCGATAAAGTCATGAAATTTTTGATTTGTTTTCCCCTTTTTGTTCAAATCGAGTTTTCAGTATCTCGTTGCCGTTGATTCAGTCAATGTGAGGACATATGGTAAGTCGTTAGGGTCCCCGTGGTCTGCTAGGCGGATGACAGAGCCTGAGCCATTCGAGGACCTGGATCGGAAGCTGGCGGCCGATGAGTGCTGGCTCGAGGTATAATAGCGTTGCATTTGCGAGAAGCCCCCATTGCTGCCAACGCTGCGGGGCGTCATGGGCACATTCCTTCTGCTACCGGGTGTGCTCGGCGCGGTGCGATACGTATTCATAGTGCGTCGTTTCATCTGCCGCTGAAACGAGCGCTGAGTGCTGGCGGTAGAGGGTCGTGATACAGTTCTTGGAGTAGATGGAATCGTCTCCGCTGGAGCGTCGTTATCAATATCGCTCTCCGTCGCCGCTTCCTCATTCATTTTCCCTCCCCTCCTTCTATCCTCCTCTTCATCCTCTTCATCCTCTTCATCTTCATACATTTGATCCAAGACTGTGGGGTCCAAAGGCTGTATTGATCGTAATATTTCCGCAAAGAGGTGCATTAGCTCGCGAAATCTCCCGTCGCAGACTGGCCTAGTCGAGAAGCGAGCTGCTTCGTATCTCCCAAGAAAGTCAGCCACAGTCTCGTCCAAGATGACGACGCCCAAACTAGCGAGATGCCCAAAGTAATCTCGCAGACTCATGCTGGGCGATCTCTGCAGCAGCTCAGCGGCTTCTGGATCCAGCATTGGCGGGTTGGCCTGAGACGTTGGATCTGGCGGCGCAAGTCGCAGTGCCTGCGCCTCTATTAGATTCGGAATCTCCGATATGACGGTGTTGTATTGCAAGTTGGGCAGATCCGGCGAGTTTGGAGAAGCCCAGCCGCAATGCTCAATGGTACCCCATACAGGGCGATGCGGCGGCATTGGGACCGGCGTATCCCTATCCAAGGCCTCTTCATTCCACGCAATCAGTTTTTCCCTGCTGCGCGCCTCATCTTCGTCGTCCTCCAACATTTCGTCCCGCATCATCTCATCGTGCGTCTCAACCCTCGGCCTCGCCGCATACGCAATGGCCGCGCTCCTGCTCAGCCCAGCCACCACAATATTGTAAACGCCCTTCTTGACGTCGCCCTTTTCGATGGGCACCCACGACTTGGGAATCGACGCCAGCACCGTCCGGTTGACGTACAGACGCACAATGTAGACGAAGCTGACAATGACGACGGTGATGACGTACGCCGACGCGATGATCCAGATGTTGTACCACTGCGCATTGACGACGGACCGCTGGATGGCGTCGCCCGGGGTGATGAGCAGCAGGCCGCAGAGGATGAAGTAGAGGACCAAGTAGATGGACCGGTAAAGGATGCGCAGGAAGAGGCTGCGGTGCGCCATGGCGACGCGCGCCGAGAGGCTGCTCAACTGATTCGTCGCCGCCCTGCTGATTCGGATAAGGAGTACAATCGCGGTCGCATGGCTACTGCTGGTAGAGCTGCTGGGGACGCATTCGGGACGCTGTAAGTGCTGCTGGGGAGAGCAAGAAATGATGCTATCGTCATCTCATGGCAAGGAGGAAGAAAAGAGGGTGGGCCGGATGCGATCAGGAGGACATGGCCAAGGTTGCTGCTAATTAATTCCAGGTACCTCGCCAGGAGCTTGGAACGGGGTACCGCCTCGTAGGAGCGAAATGAGCAGTGATGTACAGCTACGAGACGAGCAGGCATCTGGCGCCTGTAATGCAAGGTACGCGAGACCTGGTCCACTAATAATGGGTACCTTGGCCCGGTACTTGCCAGCTCTGCCAGGTTTCTCGGGCAAACTTGTGGCTGAGACCTTGTGGTCTTAGTTCCATCCGTTCAGTCATTGTTATTATGCAACAAAGAGATCGCCTTGCCGTTTATCCATTGTTTGTCATTTGTTTGTTCTCCATTTTCTTCCTCATATATAGATATTATTCTCTTGTTTTTGATTGTTGCAAGCCATCAAACTCCGGTATCGTCCCATGCGATATGCGACATCCATACATAATCTTCCCCCAAGGGATATCCTGTTCTATCAAGTACATCGTGTGGCCTCAGCTCGTCCCCATCTCATGAAATCTTCAGTTTAATATCGGACCTGCTCCATCTCTGGCCGTCTGAATTCTCTTCGTAGTGCTGCTTTCCTCTGTGCCCAGTCATCGCTGAGTCTTGTGTCAAAGGCCACTTCCTTAGCTTTAACCATCTTCAACTCTTTTGCCTTTTCCTTCTTCGCCTCTGGCTTGCCAATGGCTTCTTTTGCAAATCGCAGGTCCGTAAGCGTAAGCCTCAGGTCTGTACTGTAAGGTTCAAACTTGACAACGACTTGCTCAAAACCGGTCTTCATCTTCTGCACCAGCTCGTCCACCTCGGGGCACTCCTTTAGCCCATTGTAGTCGGTCCAATGCAGTGGGAATTGTGCTTTCAGTCCCTCCACCTTCTTAATGACTGCTGTCAAGGTTCGGATGATATTTGGGACATCCCTGTGAACATTGCCATACGAGTCTTCCGCCAAACTGTGCACAGCCAGTTGGCAGAGAGCGATGGCTGCATTGGCGGGCAATGTAGGCTCAGCATAGGGACCTCCCAGAACTGCAGCGGTGAATTGTGTGCGGAAATCATGTCGAATTAGATCGCCGATCCATCCAATTGACATCAACCGAGTGGCGAATTGCCAGACTTGATCCTTTAAATGATCGGGAGAGACTGCGTCTTGTTGTTCTTTGCTGAGCACTCGGTCCTTGGCGCTCTGCCACGTTTTGCGAGCGATGGGGCTAAGCTCTGAAGCGGGGGTTGAGCCAGGCTTTCGGGCAAGTCTCTCTAGAGCCTGTTCAAGACCGGTTCGCAGATTGGCTTGCTTGGCTTGACTTGTGAATATAGGGTCTTCTCTCAACGGAGCTGATGAACGGTGCCTTTCTTCGACTTTTTCAGCCAGAGGGGCAGCTTGTGGCGCGGGCTTTCCATAAGCATCAACGTGGTCCTCGACGCTTTTCAAAGTTTCCATACAAATTGAGTACAGCTGAGACCACATGGGCCCATCTTTGCGGTCTATATCGTTGAAGATACTCCGCCTTCGTGTCTCGCAGCTTTCAGCAAGGAGGGCCAACTCCCACATGGCAAAGGCCTGCGCATCATTCCCTCGTTAGTAATAAAGAGCATGCCAGTGGTTGGTTCCAATGGATTTCTATGCTTACCTTGATGGAAAGTTTCTTGCTCTTTAGGCCATTCAGAAGGCTGCCGTTGGGATCCTTAGAGTCGGATGTCAGGGGATTATCGTTCTTCAAAGGCTTCTTAACCATGAAGACTGAGAAAGCCCGGTTGCCTGCCGCCCATATAAATCCAAGGCCGATTCCTGCGAGGATGCATCGGTTGATGAGGTAAATATCCAGGGGCCAGGAAGACGGAAGCATGTTGGACCTGGGCATGTTGTAGAATGGCCGCAGGAACATCATGGCCCATGACCAGGCAAACGATCTCAAGAAGAAATAGTATATGACGATTGTCGCGGGAAAGGTCAAGAGAGCGACTTTGGTGCTGTCAACAAAAGCTTGGGGCAGCTCTAAGAGGAGGGTTTGAAGGGAGCCCGACACGAAACCCAAGCTCTTTTGCTCAACCGCCTGCCTTCTCTCCAGCGAACCAAGATCCAGACGGTCGATATCACCTCTGTAATGTTCGACGGTCTGAACCAGGGCAAAAGTAAACATGTAGCAATTCAGGAAGAGAGGTCGCTCGTTTAGCCTGGCGCGATCCCCGCTGAAGTAATTGATCCATTGGAGGTTCGTCCCTTCATCTCTTGTTCCCAGGTAGACGGTGCAGTAGAGCAGGCTCGAAGCAATGTACCAGAATGCCGTCTCGTAGGTTCTAAGGGCGGCGAGCGAAGACGCCAACGTTTGCAGCCCGGATCCTGTCGTTTTTACGCCGACATGGTAGCTCGCAATTCGAAGAATGAGGATGGCAAGGCCACAAGAGAAGACTAGCAGCGTTCGAAAGCCTACGGGGCCAAGAGGAAACCAAGACCAGAAATCTGTAGCATTTCGAAGCATTCTTTTGTTAGAGAAAAATTACCAAGCTGCTAGGAAGGAGAATTGGCTTCTTACACGAGTCCCAGCTTCCCAAGAGAATCGCTTCGATGTATGACACGGCCAACAACAGGCTGGCTGTGGAGGAGAAGCGTCGATGCAAAGCAGGCTGCAGAGTGTCCTTATAAGGGGCTCTCCGCGTCGGTGTGCCTGCCATGATCGCGTCGCATTCCCTCTGGCAACTCGAATCGCGGGTCGAGAATGGACGTGGCGGGCAGGATAAGAGATAATGAGGTGGATGGACCAGGTCGCCGATGGAGTAAATAAAATAAAAATCGCCGGCTCAGCAACCAGAGCTGGGCAGAGCTGCGCTACCGACGCGCCCACGCCAGGGTCTATCGACAGCATCACGTGGCGATAAGCAAAGGCGGAATGGCGGGTGGCGCCTCTGATTGGAGCGCCGCCGTCCTAGTGACTTGCATGGCGTAACTCGGCGTCGCAAGACCGTCCGTTACGTAGGGCCCAGCCAGCTTCATCCATCCTTCTTCCAGGAACAAGGGCCTGTACTCGCCGTTCGTTGTTTACAAGCGCTAGAATCGCATCGCATCGCATCGCTTCTCGTTTGCGTCTCTCTTTACGCAGCACATATACCGTCACGCACGGACATTAACCTCCCCGTTTCGCCTCTGCGCTCGTTTCTTTGCGCTCTGCCCTTCCCTTCAAGTAACAGCGACTATGGCGTATGATCGACTCTCCAGTCTTGAGGCCGGCCAAAGCGGCGCCGGCTACACCGACGACCCTGCATTCCAGGACCTCCAATACGAGCTGAAGAACAAACTACAGTCGTTGTTGAGCAATAACCGCAAGCTTGCCAACGATGTCAACGTCCTGGGGACGAAGAAAGATACCCCTCGCCTGCGGGAGCGGGTTCACAACACAATGGAGAAGTCTCGGGAAATCTGCAAGGATATTGGTGATGGAGTGAAGAAACTACAGACGTGGGACGATCTAACTGTACGCTTACAAACATTCTGTTTCCTTGCGATGCGATCTGGAACATGAGCTGACTCACATTGCTAGAAACAACAAAAATACGAACAGACAAAGGTCTCGAGCGATTTTCAGACTGCGCTCCAAGAGTTCCAGAGCTTGCAAAGAAGGGCCCTGGAAAAGGAGCGCGCATCCGTAACTGCAGCTCGCGAACAGCAGGCATCCGAAATTACCGGCGACGGGGGTGAGGAACAGCTGCAGCTGCAACAACAACAGCAGGTTTCGCAACTAGCCCCGCAAGATGAGGTGGATTTCCAAGAGGCTTTGATCATTGAGCGAGAAGAGGAGATTCGAAATATCGAGCAGGGTGTCGGCGACTTGAACGTGCTATTCAAGCAGGTGGCACAGATTGTTACCGAGCAGGGCCAGCAGCTCATTACCATCTCCGACAACGTGGAGAATGTTCACGAGAGCACCCGCGGCGCCGACGTAGAGACTCGCCAAGCAGCTCGATACCAAAAGGCCGCTCGCAACAAGGGCTGTTGTTTGCTGCTAATCCTGGCCGTCATTTTGACCATCGTTATTCTAGCGATTGTTGTTGGCTAAACTTGATTTGCGCAAACGATACACCAAACCAGAGTGGCTTTTTTCTTTCTATACGGAGTTTTTCATTTCGTCTCTCTCTCTCTTGGACGGAGTTCAAAGTACGGTTATACTCTACCCTGACACCACTATTAAAAGATGTATATAGTACTAAGGTAGGATTCGGGTCACCTGGCATTTGTGGAATTTTCTCTTTAGCGCGCTGAATCAAATTTTATTCATCTATTCGCATCTGATTGTTGTTTGGGATCCACTGTTCCCCGTAGATATGGTAATGTTGCGAGTGGCTTCTGAGAGGGTTTTGAGAGTTTCTGCGGTTCCTTTGGAAGCCATCTTCCTAGGATGGCCTCGTTGAGGTCGTTGAGGGCAAACGTTGATGCCCAGTATAAGAAAATTGCGCTTGGTAGGTCGGCAAAGAGGATGGGAAAGAGAGGGACCAAGAGAAGCGTCCGGCCTACCGCCGTTCGAATTCTCATAATAGGGGTTTGTGGCATCTGAGATGGATTGACGCTCAGCAAAGCCTTCAGCTGGTCCTTTGGCAGCCTGCCCCACGAAGTCCGCGCAAGCAGCGCCGAGCAGATGACGGGAAGCGCATAATAAGGGTCCATGGCAGTGAGATTTGTGAACCAGAGGCAGCCGCCGTCCACCAAGGATTCGTCAAGATAGCGGCGAGATAGCTCCAGAGCTGATGAGACGGCCTGGATATCTACCAGTCCGAACGAATGGCTAAGCCATCCCGTGGGGGCGCCACAAAGTCGTCGTAGAGCTTCTGACACGATAATAAAGGGCGCCATGCTCAAGAAGGGAGCAAATGACTTCCATCTCTGCACGCCCCAACTCTTATATATCCTTGACCGAGATCTCTCTGTCAGGCCAGAAACTCGCAGCCTCCATAGCCGCTCTGCATCCTCGCCCTGACCGCGCTTCACCGTCATAGAGTGTCGCGAGCTCCAGGCCGTGACCAGCGGAGTCAATCTGTTTCTGGTGACCACGAGGCGCCGTGTGTAGTACTGAATCGGGAGTCGAAACGAAAAGTTGACGCCCACGGCTACGAGAGGGATGGAGATGCACCAGGGCAGTCCGGCGTGGTGGATAAAGGTGATGTTGTCAGCTGTCCATAGTACGGCGTCTCCCACGGCGCTGAGATGAAAGCTGCGCCGTCCTGGGACAGAGCTGGGATGACTTCGCGATGTGTTGTAGGCCGTTTGGATAAGACGAGATGGCGATGCCCTGCTACCGGGCATCGCAAAGCCCCAGGCTGATCTGCTGAAGGATGCCATAACCAATCATAGCTTGGGAGCTAGAAACGAGGCAGATCAACACGCTGGTGCAATCGCTCCAGACCAGGCTAAGCCTCGATTCGCGACAGAATGAGCATCGTCATGAGAACAAGAGCCGGTTGAATGTGATGGAGTCCCGTGAGTGGGGCCGGTAACAAATTCAGCGCCTGAGCCACATCACCCCATAGCTGGCGCCACAGGGTCGCTCAATAGTGGCTACGTAGCGCTGGAGCAAGGCCTGGAGCAAGCTGTCAAGACGTCTGGTAGCAAGTCATACAGGCAGGTTCCCCCACATGCTTTCTTTACCTCTCTCACTCAACACTGGCGATGCCACCAGCTGTTCCACCCTGGCCTGTGGCATTGCGGGCATTTAAATAACCTAGCGCGCAGTATTTTCGAGCCGAATCTCAAGCCAGACAAGAAACATCAAAGACACGAGATAATAGAACCCTTATAGCAGACGGTGCCGATTCGAAGTGGGCGGATACTTGCATGGCGGACAAATGCTCGGCAGAGGCGGCGACATGCAGCCAGCCGTCCTCTTCCTGGGGGCTTAATTCTTCCTCGATGGCTCTTTTCGCGACAATCCTCGTTACTTCGCCGTTGTTCTTACTCCTCATTGTTCCTCTCATTGGCTCGGGGATTGGATGGCTGCTGCGGAGGAAGACAGATGGCCGACGCATACACCTGATCAACTTGATGGAAGAAGAGCACAGGAAATACTTGCATCAGCACAAGGACTCCGACAGCACGACGCGCGATAAACTAGACGCCAACGGTGAACTTCAGGCCACCCAAGACTGGCAGGGCGTTGTTGGTTTCTTCCACCCCTTCTGGTATGAATTCTCTCTCTAGGTGGCCGCTTGCCTCTCCCACTTGCTGTCGTCCCTTGATACTTTCCCCCCTTGCATTCCATTAACATCACGTCAGCAATGCTGGAGGTGGCGGAGAGCGTGTTCTATGGGCCGCCATCCGGGCAACGCAGGATCGATGGCCAAGAGCCAAGTGTTTTGTGTATACTGGAGACCACGATGTTCCTAAAGATGCAATTATTGAGAGAGTCAAGGTGAGAATGAGCTTCAGCAACCAAATCCCCAATAAATCGCAAATAAGGCAGCTTCTGATTCAACTGATTCTAGAACCGATTCAATATCCAACTGCACGCTCCGACGGTCCAATTCCTCTACCTTTCCAAGAGAAACTGGGTTCTGGCCTCGAGATGGCCCGTCTTTACGCTTTTGGGACAGTCTCTGGGCTCAATAGTCCTGGCCTGGGATGCCTTTTCCCTGATGGTACCCGACATCTTTATTGATACAATGGGCTACGCATTTGCACTTAGCCTTTCAAAGTTCCTGTTCCGAAGTGTGCCCACCGGCGCCTATGTGCACTACCCGACGATTTCTACCGATATGCTGGAGTCTCTGGATCCTACGTCCTCCCTGGGCTCTCAAGGAATCAATGCTGGCAAAGGCGCCGGAGCCAGAGGAGCTGTGAAGAAGACATACTGGCGACTTTTTGCGGCGCTGTACTCTTGGGTTGGATCCTCCATCGATGTTGTCATGACGAATTCCACATGGACTCAGGGCCATGTGAAGAGCCTATGGGGTCCATATCGTCTTGAAAAGGACCGAGAACATCCCATCGCCGTTGTCTATCCTCCCGTGGCCGTCAGCGAATTCGAGCACGAGGTCGAAGTGTCCGCAGCGAGCGAAAAGCAACGAGAGCCGGTCCTCATATACATTGCGCAGTTCCGCCCTGAAAAGAACCACCCGCTTATTATTCAGTCCTTTGCTGATTTCGTCAAGACAAAGACACCCGCCGCAGAAAAGGCACAGCTGGTTCTAATTGGAAGCGTCCGAGATGATTCAGATTCCAAAAGGGTGTATAGGCTGCGTCTGATGGTGAACGAGCTGGGAATCAAGGACCATGTACAGTTTCACATCAATGCGTCTTGGTTAGAGATCCTCGAGTGGTCAAGGAAAGCATCCGTGGGCGTTAACGGCATGTGGAATGAGCATTTCGGAATCGGCGTTGTGGAGTACCAAGCCGCCGGTTTGATATCAGTCGTTCATGACAGTGGCGGCCCCAAGCTGGACATTGTCACGAAAGTTGACGGCGAGCCAACAGGTAAAAACTAAGCAAACTCCCCTAGTAATGCTCCACGCATGAAACTGACAAGACGCCCTTTTAGGTTTCCATGCGTCGAATGCAGCCGAGTTTGCAGCAGGATACGAAGCAGCACTTTCACTTCCCGACCCTCTTGCCATGCGCTTACGTGCGAGGAAATCAGCAAAGCGATTTTCCGAGGAGGTGTTTGAAGCGCAGTGGCTGGCACAGATGGGTCGTCTGGTGGCGCTCGGAAAGAGACAGTAGAAGTAGAAGAATTTGTTTTTTTTTTGAGCCTGTTGGGTTGCATTGGAGAAAGTACTAGGAAAATAGAACTAGGAGATACCCCCTTTTCGTTTATTGATAGACTGGTTGGCGGAGGGTATATACTAATAGACATTGCTAGGAGGGCGATGCAGCGTCGATGGCTGTTGAAGAAAGATAGAGAGAGAGAGCGAGATGAAGACATGCCGGCCAAGGAAAGTTAAGTAGAGGTTTTTAGCGTACGTTTGTATATATAGGGATAAAGCGTTGAGCATAAAGACGCCGAAGCAGACATAAAATAGCCATTTCCATATACTTCTGTATCCTTCTTTCACACCAGAGAGCGCAGCATGAACTATAAACAAGAAGAAAGTAACCCCAGCTTTGCGCTAATGCTAATGGTATCACTGCTATGTCTAGCTCTAATTCATAAAATATCCATCATAACCTTTCATCTATAAGATCTCTCTTGCTCTAACTACAGGGTATACCCCGCGCTATTCTTCTGCCTAGGCTCACTCGCCGCCTCGAACAAACCATCCGTAAGCCTCCTCACAGCCTGTACAGAGCTCAGCGTTGGCCGCACCCAGCTTATATTGTGGCCTCTCTCCTCCAATCCCGCAGCTACTTCGTCGTCAAACATTTCTTCGAGAAGAACCTTGTTCGGCATGAGCTGGTCGTGTAGACGAGGTCGTTCCAGAGCTCCCGCTAGAGTTTCATCGTGCTCGTCGAGAACGTGCCACAGGACTTGGGCGGTGGCGGAAATGATGCGGGAGCCGCCAGCGGCGCCGATGACAGCGTAGAGCGTGCCGTTGGGGAAAGAGGCGATGATGGGGGTGATGGAGGAGAGAGGGCGTTTGTTGGGGCGGATGTAGTTTGCGACGGAGGGGGCAAAGCCGAATTCGTTGCTGACGCCGGGGATGGAGAAGTCGTTCATTTCGTTGTTCCTGTGACAATTTGGGTTAGTTGCGAGGTAGAAGAAGAGACTATAAGAATCGTTTGCCTACAGAATGATGCCGGTTTCAGGCTCAACAATCTCGGCTCCGAACAGCAGGTTAACGGTTGTCGTCAGGGATACGGCCATGCCAGACTTGTCGGCGGCTGCAATGTGCGAAGTACCGTGGCTATCGGGTACATAGAACTTCTTCGGGTTGTAGTACTTGGCCGGATGTGTCTGATTGTCCCAGATTCTCTCATGAATGGCATCAATGTTCTTTTGGTCGAGCATCTCCCTTTCGAAGCCCTCCACGTCGTCGTCGACATATTCTGGGTCCCCAAGACTAATTCGAGCAGCGTAAGCAAAACGCATGGCTTCAGCGAGGCGATGGCGGGATAAGTCTTGATCGGACCAGTCTTGCGCGTTGTAACGCTCCATAATCTTGAGGATTTGGAGACTGACGGTTCCGCCGGCGGGAGCTCCAATGCCGTGGAGCACGAGGCCTCGATATGTGACGTTGTGAACGGGACGAGAAATGACTTTGTAATTTGCCATATCCTCCAGAGTCATTGTTCCACCGGTGCTTTGAATGTAGTCGACTATGGTTTTGGCTGGGCATGATACGTTAGCAATCTGCAGGCTGCAATGTTGATAGCCAACCAACATACCCATTTCTCCAGAATAAAAGACGTCTGAGCCGTGCTCGGAAATTTTTTCAAGCGTACTACATAAATCATCAGCATATCATTCTGGCGCTCGAGAGTTGATGATGGTGCTTACTTCGCATAGCGTTTCCGCGTCATCCAAGAACCTTCTTTGACCAAGTCACCTGGTACAGCTGGTTAGCATATCTGACTTATGCGTACAAAAAGCACCTCTAGACAAACCATCAGGGGCAAAGTCTGCAGCCCAGTTGGGATCCCTGGTCAGAAAAGTCTCTCCATCGGCTTTGAAAGTACTGCCCATATACCGAATAAGGTCCTTTGAAACTGCGCTGCTAGTCAGATATACGAAAACTCCCAATAAGATTTTCAACTCATATAAAATCGCAGTACAAACTCAAAGCGGACTTACCTCGGAACCCGTTGCGGGCTACGTGAATAGCTCCTTGCATGACCGTCTTCCATGGCAGGACGCCATACTTGGAGTGTATGTACTCCAGGCCCTTGACTTCGCTGGGAACGCCCACCGCGAGTCCACCACGAACGCTTGCGCTGACGTTGTTCTTGTACATGTCCTCAAAGGCCGCGGCCGGCGCAGCCTCTCTGAAGTCGATGGCCTCGTACTCGCCGTTGGCATCCCGCAGCACGGCAAAGCCTCCGCCGCCAATGCCCGAGTGGTACATGCCAATGACGCCGACGCAAAACGTCGTCCCAACCAAGGCATCAACAGCATTGCCCTAATACAAGGCAAGTCAGTATAAGTTCAGGAAATCGTAGATCCAAGTGGATAATGACGATGCTGGTGCTTCGGGTGAGATCTTAGCAGCTTTAGCACACGGACGTACCCCTCGCGCCAGCAAGTCCCTCCCTATGGCGCTGCATTCTCTGCTCTCACTGGCGACGCCACCGATATGGCCCGGCGTGGTTTTCTGGAAGACTTCTTGTATGGCAGCCGCATCGACGGTGATGGCTTGCGGGAGAGTGAGGGCCAGGAGCAGCGACCCCAGAAAGCGAGGACCGCGAATGAACGTTGACTCTATCCACATGTCAACGGGCTGTGAGAGATAAGAGAAACACCAAGTTATGTCAAGGTATAAGGGACAAGATATGTGATTTGTGTATCACAGAACGATGTTCTAGTGGAAAGCCAAAGGCTGAGAGGACTCACTCATGTTGATCTAGAAAACTCCCCATGGACGGTCGGCTTCGGCTTCGGGACGTCGGCGGGCTCTCCCAATTATTAATGGACCCCCCGAGAAATTGTTACCAAATGATATTCAGGAGACACGGGACAAAACCGCCTCTGCTTGTAATCAGCCGGCAGGGCGTGCGTTATCTCTGGTGACAGATCTGGGGCCTAGCCTCGGGGCACCTATTCAGCTCATCCGAATTAGATCCGCGACTGCAGCCAGGAAGGGAGCAGATAAGAGGAAGAGCGAGGGGCAGGGAGTCAAGATGTACAAGTATCATGTGTAACAAGATAAGATCTCAGGCCCCCTGCTGATGCATCTTCCGGGGAGATTGATATAAGTAGTAGCACATGGCCTGGCATGCCAAATCCAACAGACGGGTATCCAAAACCGCAATTTGATGCCCGCTGCAGCATCACCTCAGCCAGACCCCGAAGCACGAATACAAGACAAAACTCCACAAAAAGGCCATGTGGATGCCCCTCGGCCAGCTCCGCATCGTGGCCAGTCAGCTGGATCCAAGTCCCAGCGGCCAGGCTCTGTTTTGCCTGCCAACCAGCCCTCGTGACGGGCAGCAGGTTGTGTCTTAGTGCCAGGACCGGCAAAGGCGCCCCGTTTGAGTGACAAAACAAAAATGGAAATCGGAGAGTCCGCCCCGGCCGCTAAGAGCTGCTGGAGCCAATCGCGGCCATGGCGTATGTCCTGCAGTGCAGCCAATCAGGGCCGACCAATAGGTAACATACATTGCATGTGCAGCCTCTCGATAAGATAAGACATTTTTTCTTATTCCATAGTAGACGCAAACTACCTATGAGGACTCAATATAGATGAGAGTGTGAGGTATTCAGCGACGACAAATCATAGCCCCAGGCCATTGGAGCATCTTTTGCAATATTTATTTTCTTCAACTTGCTACGAATCGCTGCTTCGTCTATGAGAGCTCTGATACGGCCCTCGTCGTATCTCAGCATCACCACTTCATTGCTCCAGCCTCATCGACTCAGATCTCAACCCTTCCATCTTCTACGCCCATTGGTACACATGGCGACCGCTCAAACCTCTCCGGCTGCTTCAGCCCCCGTGGCTGCTCCCGCTGCAGCTCCCCAGACAAGCACCAATGGCCCCAATGGCGCTAATGGCAACAGACCTAAGCGGCCCAACCCCAGTGGCAGCAATCGCAGCTGGAAGCAGAAGAAGACCAAGCGAGAGAAGAACATCACGGAAGGGTCCTCAGAGGAAGTCCTGCGATACGACATCGAGGCGCTCCTAGAATCTCGCAGATCCGAGACCGTCACACCAGCAGAGGGTGCTGAGACTGCCGAGGCGCAACAAGACCTGCCCGCTGAGGGAACCGAGACCGAAGTCGAAGTCCTCGAGCTCTCGTCCACCGGCGATGGCCTGGCCATGAAGCCCGGCTCCAACCAGGTCTACGTCGTGCCCTTCACCGTCCCCGGCGACGTCGCCCGCGTCAAAGTCTTCCGCCACCTGCGCCGCGAGAACCAGACCGTCGCCGACTTCATCTCCATCGTCAAGCCCTCCCCGCTGCGCGACGACGCCCGCATCCAGTGCAAGTACTTTGCCTCCTGCGGCGGCTGCCAGTTCCAGATGCTTGACTACGCCGAGCAGCTGCGCCGCAAGAGACGCATCGTCGACAAGGCCTTCCGCAACTTCGCCAACCTGCCCGCCGAGCTGGTCCCCGCCATCCTCGACACCATCGGCAGCCCCCTGCAGTACGGCTACCGCACGAAGCTGACGCCGCACTTTGATGGCCCACCGGGCTTCCACAGCAGGAGGAACAAGGGCGGGCCCAAGCCCAAGTTTGAGAGCTGCCCGGATATCGGCTTCATGCGCAAGGGCCAGCGCAAAGTCATGGACATTGAAGACTGCCCCATTGGCACCGACGTCGTCAGGCAGGGCATGAAGCGCGAGCGGGAGAGGATGCAAAAGGAGTTTGGAGACTACCAGCGAGGCGCAACCATTCTGCTCCGTGAAAACACTCAGCGCTATCCCACCGATGCCTCAGGCGACGCTGCTGCTGCACCTCCCAAGCAGGAAGACCTCGCCCCCTACACCGTCCGCAACGACAGCGAGTTCGGCATCGACATCAAAACCTGCGAGACCGACTCCAAGGCCACCACCCACGAATACATCCGCAACCACCACTTCACCAACCCCGCCGGCTCCTTTTTCCAGAACAACAACTCCATCCTGCCCGTCTTCACAGACTACATCAAGGAGCACGTCCTTCCGCCTTCTTCCCCGTCATCTATCAAGTACCTCATCGACGCCTACTCCGGCTCGGGCCTCTTCACAATCACCCTGGCCTCCGTCTTCCAGCACTCCACGGGCATCGACATTGCCGCCGACTCCATCGCCTCCGCGCGCAACAACGCCCAACTCAATGGCCTTGGCGAGGACCGCTGCAAGTTCATCGCCGCCGATGCCGGCGAGCTCTTCAAGAACGTCTCCTACGACGCCGACGAGACGACTGTCATCTTGGATCCCCCGCGTAAAGGCTGCGATGCCGATTTCTTGGCCCAGCTGAGGCACTTTGGACCCAAGAGGGTTGTCTACGTCAGCTGCAATGTGCATACGCAGGCTCGCGACGTGGGGGTCTTGGTGAGGGGCGAGGGAGAGGGTAAGAGATATGAGATTGAGAGCCTGAGAGGGTTTGATTTCTTTCCTCAGACAGGGCATGTTGAGGGAGTTGCTGTTCTGAACAGGGTGGATAGCTGAAATAGAAGGAACAAGCATTTTATAGACTTAATGACATTATAATTCACCTTTGGAAATTCCAAGGCTACCCCTGTGATGCAATTTCTCTCATTGAATACGTGAATACACATGAATGCAAATGCCTTAAGAGACACATATAAAAAGGGACCCGCCATATTTTTTGATGCCAACGCTTTTACTCTGCAGCAGGGTCACTGCAAAGCAAACGTTTAGATGATTCCAATCAACAAAGGAGAAAACCTATGAGACAAGATGTGTCCTCGCTCGTCCTCCTACTCCTGTCCCAAAAGTGCCTTTAGCGTTTGCACAGTAATCTCCAGAACCTCTGGCCTCCTAGTAAGCTTCAGAGAGTCCTTCAGAGCCTCCACGCCGCCCTCCTTGGTGACCTTTTCTCGCGCTTGTTTGCAGACCTCGGCATCTCCCGCAACCATATTGTAAAGTGTAACCACACCTCGATGCCTCAGACCCTCGTCCGCGTCCGTACACATGCCCAGGATCACCTTGATGCCCTTTTCCCGCTGCAGTACCAGCTTCGCAACGCTCTCGTAGCCTGTCAGAGAAGCCAAGGCTCCGCCCGCTGCGCTGCGGGTACCTTCATCTTCGGCGTCAGCCAGGGCCAGCATTATGTGAATTCGATTCTTGGCTTGAGGGTTGCCATCTGCGTACAAGGCTATACCCTCAGGAGCTTGCATTAGATTGCAGACTAATTCGACAGCGGCTTTGGAGACGAGGTTGTTGGAAGAGAGCATCTGCTCTTCAATCTGAGTCCAGGCATTGCTTATGATGGCGCGTGGAATTTCTTCATCCTCCATTGAAGCCAAGTTGGTCAGAGCCATGAGTCCTTCGAACGTGGGGAGCAAGTCTCGTCTCTCGGCTGCAGGATCTGGCGGAAGAATTGAGGCCAGGGGTCGAATAGCGGTACTGGCCGGGACCGATCGATTTCCTCCAAAGACGAGATTAGGGTTTATGCTGATGAGGATCTGTGCGAGGGCGTGGGCGGCCATCCGGCGACCTGTCTCTTCTCTTTCGGGCAAACTCGTCCATGCAGCTAACAAGAGATTAATAGCACCCTGCTGAGCTAATGAACCACGAAACGCCTTGGTCCTGGCGAACGAGTGAATGATGGATATAGTGATAGCCATGGATGCCGGCGATGCGTGCTTGCTGTGGGCAACAAGAATAGGCGTGAGGCCAGTTTCAAAGACCACCTTGCACCTATTGGCAACATGATCATCGTCGTCCAGAGTATCTGGGGCAGCTAGTTTGCCAGCTGCATCTGCGTACGCCTTGAGCTGAGACATCTTCTTGTCCTCTTCAGAGAGAGTAGGTCGATAGCGAGTCAAGTTGAGAAAAATGCTAAGGAGGCCATATGTCGATGGTGAACGAGGGGGTGCATCCTTCAGCATTGTCACAAGCTTCTTGAGTAGTTCGGGATTGTTGATGATTGTTTCCTTAATCTTTGGCTGCAGTGATGAATAAGCCAGGCCCTCTATAGAATGCTGTCTTCCGTGATCTTCGTCGCGCAGAATCATCTTGGTGAACATGCCGGATAAATCTTCAATGCTAGTGACCGCCGCCTCGACTCTAGATTGGTTTGGGTCATTCGTTGCTGGGTTCGACGGCACTACCTTTATTCTGAGTCAGTCAGCCATAATCAGACGTACGTGTAGCTCTTCAAGTAGGCATGTCTCCTTACTCTTAGTTTGGCCAAGATGACAGCGGCCAAGTGTTGGACTTGCTCGGAATGTCTTCTCATGTTGATGGAGCCACCTTCGCTGTGCACATTGGGGTCCGCATTCATACTGCGAACCTCCCCGTCTAGATCCTGGTCAACCACCTCCTCGAGCCACTCCACGCAGTACTTTTGTATGGCCTCTCGGCACGCCGCGTTCATACAAGAAGCGTTTAGCATTTCCAAACACGCCGTTTCGACTTTTCGGCTCTTCCACTTTCTCCTCATTAGCGGACCTAGTGAAACAAGAAACCCTTCGTTCAGGAAGAGCTCGGCGGAGAGATCCGAAACAATGGGGAAGATGGCCGCCGCGACGCAAAAGGCGACAATATAGTCATCGTACGTGCCTCTCTTGACTCGATCAAAGAAGAATGTAGACAGCTTCTCCTTGCCATTCTCACCCGCGGCCCTCAAGTATGCTGAGGTGACGAGAGTGGCATGGCCCCGGACAACGTCGGGCTGCCGCATGTCGAGATAGCACAGAATCGTATCTACACAGTCACCGTCAATGAGAGCGGTGATGGAGTTGTGCTCCTTGTTCTTCTCCTGCGCATCAGCGTCGTCGTTGAGCAACTTGGTCAGCTCATTCAAGTCTTTGCACGTCTCTTCATCTTCTTGGCCGCCTTCCATCAACCGAGCGAAGATGAGAAGCGTCTGGTCCTCGAGCGAGGCAGCCGGACCAGATTTCCGAAGAGTCTCAGCTACGGCTGCCATCTTGAGCTTGCTTCGGGTTGTGGTTGGAACAGACTCAGGCTCAGGCTCAAGGCTGCATTTGCAACGTCACAAGCAACGTTTTCAAGAGTAATGGCGAGTAATGGCGAGTCGTGAGAGAGATAAAATAATAGCTGCTACTCTACTACAGCTTCTTGCAGGCTGGCGGTACACAAGAATGTCCTTGGCTCGTTGAAGTTGTGGCGACGTCACAGCAGCTTCCCCAAGTCCAGATGAAACAAAGAAGCTCTGCAGATCCCACCAGGAGGCTGTCCCACCCTGATAGCAGTAGAAGCTTCGAACCCCACCCCCCACTGCGTCACCAGCGTATCTTAGCGTTGGACTACCGCCATCCGGACAGCAGCCAGTGATATCGCCAGAGCCACCACGCTGCCACGTTCATTCTGGGCATCATCGCTGGAGCGCCGGAGTGCTAGGCTGCTGGAGGCGCTGATAGTCTGCGCCTTTGCTGGCGCCGTCAGGCAATTGACTTTGGATAGGATCCCGTCATGCTGGGTCGAGGCATTATTTGCTTAGCAAGCTTATTACTGCGTAGGTTCTAGACTAGTAGGCAGAGGAATTCAGCTGGTAGAAGGTTGTTAAGATTGATAGATGGCAGTCACGTGCTTTGGCGTTTGCTCCTCCAAGCCTCTTTTCATCTCGCGATCTCAAGTCAGCCTCGCAGCAGAGCAAACAACGGAGCTTGTCACGCCTGACAGTGGCTAATCTACAGAATCCCAGCTGTTAGATGAAGCCACACGGTTTTGGAAATGTCTTGACAATTTATTAGTTCAGGCTATTTGAAATCTAGCTGTTTGATTGGGACGCATCCATCTCTTACTTGGCAACACCAAATCGTGGAAACCCAGTATCGCAAGCACCACGTCGAAGCAGCTCCTCTGACCTCGTAGCTGTCTCCGCCAGCCTACGTCCACTCCATCCACCAACCTCAAAAACCAACCACAGCCAACCACCGCCCGCCATGGATGCCGTCGACGTCTCGGAGCACTACGAGGTCACCTCCGTCGACAGCCCCCCCTCCCTCCTCTCCATCGTCATCGACACCAACCCACGCGCCTGGGCCGCCCTCGAATCCCGCCTCTCCCTCTCCCAGGCACTCTCCAACATCCTCGTCTTCGTCAACGCCCACCTCGCCTTCAGCAATACCAACCAGGTCGCCGTCATCGCCGCACACGTGAACCGCGCCGTATGGCTGTATCCCACTGCTGCTGCTGCTGCTGCTCAGAAGCCACCGGCGGCAGCAAGGGACCACTCGGGGGATGTTCAGATGCAGGATGTGTCGGCTGAAACAAACAATTCTTCTTCTTCGGCATCGGCCAACAAGTACCCGCAGTTCGCGCAGATTGAGTCCTCCGTCTTCTCGTCCATCCAGAGTCTCATGGCCGAGACTACCGTGCAAGACCTCGACCAATACACAACACAGCTCTCCGGAGCCCTGACCCTCGCCCTCTGCCGCATCAACAAGGCCTCCCAGGCTCTCAGCTCGTCAGATACCACACTCTCCAACGCCGCGCCCGTCAATTCCACCGCTCCTCCTCCCGTCAAAGGCCGAATCGTCGTCATCTCCGTCTCAGACTCCGAACCGTCTCAATATATCCCCACCATGAATGCCGTCTTTGCGGCCGCTCACAACCAAGTCGCCATTGACACCATTGCTCTAGCCGGCGATTCAACCTTTCTCCAACAAGCATGCTTCAACACCAACGGCATCTTCCTCAAGGCGTCCAACCCTCAAGGCCTGCTGACCTACCTTATGTTTGGCCTCATCCCCGATACAGAAGCTCGCGAGTCCATTATTACGCCTGCGCATGACACCGTCGACTTTCGGACGGCCTGCTTTTGCCACGGCAAGGTCATCGATACCGGATTTGTCTGCTCAGTCTGTCTAAGTATATTCTGCGAACCTCCAGAAAACGCTGAATGTCTCACGTGCGGAACTGTGTTGGCACTTGGTAACTACGGTGCTAAACCCGCTGTTCTACCTCGAAAGAAGAAGAAGAAGAAGAAGATTGCCAACGGTAGCGGGCGTGAGGAGACAGGAAGTGCTACAGGGACGCCAAAGCCTTGATTTAATTACCGTTTTTTTTTGTATTGGGGATAATAGAGCCACATAGGAGAGGTCATGATAAGTATTTCACACGGGCTTATTGAAAAGGCTTTTTCGATGTCTTGCCTGGAAGTACAGGAATCTAAGAGGGAGAGTAAACATTCTAATTAATTTATGTACCGATACCCAAGGCAGTGTAGAAGCGGATATCCACTCAAATGGTATGCATGATCCGTTTTTGGGTGTAAGATAAAGGATTTCTGGAAAGCGGGATATCTATAGGAATACAGGGGTAATACTATATGAATATCATACAAAAAGAGTAACGAGGTAGAAGCTGCAGCGGCTAACATGAAGGAGAAGAAATAAAGAAAATCCAAATCAAAGAATACGACGCCAGTATCCCCTCCCACGCGTAAAGTGCAAAATTGCTCCTATGCCCCTCTACCTTGGTCTAGTCCTTGAAAAGGCAAGAAGAAAATCCTACTTTTATTCCTTCTTTTGCTGATGTATTAATCCAGCTGGACTTTGCGGCCACCCTTGGCAATCTTAGCACCATCAGGGAGTCGTGACATGACGCATCGTGGCTCCTTTTCCAAGCCACCCATCGATGCGAGAGCAAAGGAGTCCGTGTTGTGGGCAAAGTAGAGATAGTAGCCTCTATTGGTCTTTTTCACGGCCATGATACCGATGGCGCCTGCGGAATGGCAGTTTTTCACCCCTGGGTGGTCCATAAAGTCCTTAGCTATAAACGATTCCATAATAGCGTCCTCGTCATCATCTTGAACATCGATACCAGCAGGGCCACGGCGTGTCCCATGATAGAGACGCTCAGCACATCTCTGTGACGCCATCGTGGTGGCCATGTGTTCTCCTGTGCCACTTGTCACGGCTGCAACAGTGACCTTGTCGCCGTCATCCTCGGCACAGGGTACAACGGCTGTTCCAATGCCAACTAAAGCGGCCGGCCCTAGGCGGCCTCGATGTTTCATTCCGATCCCACCAGACGAAGATCCTGCTGCGATGTGGCCGCTATCATCAATTGCAATAGCACCAATAGTGTCTGTGACCCAATCCTCATTGGCACTATCAAGTTGGAACTGGCGCTTTGCGGTTTGTGAACCTGAATCCTCGTTTTCTTTTGAAGTGTCAAGCGGACGCTTAAGACCGCGAATGCTCATTACGGAGGCATCCCTCCCTTGGCCTTGATCCTTGCCAAGCTCTACACTCTCTTGGAGCTCACCGGACTTTTCACCAGCAAGTCTCGCTCCATCAAAATACGACACTGTTGAGCTCTCCACCAGCTCGGTATCGTCTGGAGCAGCGTCTGCGCTCATGCCGTTTCCACGACTGGCTTGACTGGTGTTTTTGAATTGGCGTTTCAGGCGACTAGATGAAGAATTTCGGCTCCCGTTGCTGGGTGGGGTCATGGGCATCGTATGAATCGAAACTCCTGGTGGTTGTCGCGAGGAAGATCGAGCGACATTTGTCGGAGTGGAGGCTAGAGCACGCGCATATGTTGCCGGGTATACTGGAGGCTCAACAATAGCATTCAACTCTAGGTTGGGTGTGCCGACATAGGGCGAATCAAGCTGACCTTCATTCCATGTCCCCGCCAGGATTGCCGCGGTGTGATCCCTAGGAAATACTTTACGAGGATCCGTCACTGCTACTGCATCATACAGGTGTGGAGCACCGCCCATATTGATCTTGTTAGAGGCTGAGCTGGCCTGGTTGTCTTTGGGACCAATCTCGGCTCTCTTCAAGTCTTCTTGCCATTTCAGGAAACGATCCCTGGAATTCCTGGAAACGAGATACTCGTTGCCATAAGTTGCCATTCCGTGCTCTTCGGCAAAACTTCTCGCTCCTTCGCCTACGAGGGCATTTGGGGGGACACGGCGGAGGCTTAGGGGTTCGTTACTTGTGTCCAAGATGAGCTTTGCCAGTGATATGGGATTTCGAACGTCTAGCAGCAACGGTAGTCTGGTTAGTAGGGCAGATGATACTCGGGAGGATAAGGACAAGAGGGCCGACTGACTTGGAACGGCGCCACATGCACCGCTACGGCCCAAATGATCAACAATTGTCGCATCACATTCGACAGTACCGTCGATTGATAGATTGGAGCCATAGCCGGCGTTGGTAATCTCTTTGTTCTCGAGGATCACCAGGGCAGCTTCAACTGCCTCGGTAGCAGTGGCACCGGCTTTGAGGAATTTCATGCCCATCTCGCAGGCCCTGTAAACGACTAGTTAGAACATGCATCGCATAGTAGCAAAGTAGGAACTGGCACAAGGGGAAGCCTCACGCAACGCAGGCTTGAAGGTGGACATGTTCGTTTTGGTGGCTATGGAAGCCAGCTCCGGCATGGATGAAGATGGCCGGAACGCATTTGAGCTGCTTCTGACCAAAGCCAAGAACCCGGTCGAGTGCGCCATCGGTACCACAAGTATTGTCGTCCATTACGGGGAAATGTCCTTCATGGTCATAGCCACGGCTCATGCTTCGCTCAAGTCTTGGTTGCAAAATAATATGTACTGAATATATATAATGGCGATGTCGGACAGCTTTCGATGATGGTAGAGGCGAAATACAGATACATATATGCGACAAGTGGCGGGGACAAGGAGGCGGTAGGGCGAATGGATTGATCCCATAAGAGGGACAAAGAGAAGAGAAGAGTAAGAAAAAGAATAAGTTCAGGAGGCTTTGATTTTTTCGCTTCTTTCAAGAATGGTAAGAGTCAATGCCACCGCCTTTTGTTCTGCCAGCCGGCAATGCGCAGCCGCCTTTCACTGCAGACAGGCGAGGAATTGGCAGCAGCACGCAAGCGGTGGGTAGAGAAGGCCGATGCAGTGATTATCGAATTTTCAAAGGCTGGAGCTGCTGTACGTGCCTACAGTATAAGAAGAGCAGCAGATATGGCAGGCGAAGTCAAGAGGCGGGTCAAGATTGAGTTTAGGAATCGGGCCATTAAAACGATGCAGCAGTGGGCATAATTCCTGGTAGGCAACGCTTTCCTTGGTAATAATGGGCTGGTTGACGGTGTTGTAAGCCGTTTTTGGATGCTTGTTTTATGTATTTGGCTTTGATTTGCTGTTGATAGAGCTGCATTTCTCTTTTTGCGGAAGGTCTTTTGTTCTTATGCTGCCGTTTATAGAAGGCCCAATTCATTCATTCATCAACCAGAAATGAACAATGAATGCTTTCCAAAAGAAGCGATGGGTGAATATGCCAGAAATAGATCTTTCGTAATTTTAGCATGCATCGCTGTTTGGGTGCCGAGGCAAATACACTGACCTACCTACATGTATGCACATCTACTATGAATCTGTGAAGCTATTCGCGGCCGCATGACGTCGGGGCAAAAGACATGGGCAAAAGACATCAATGGGCAAAGCATGAGCAGCTCGCAGCTCCCCACAGCAGCGCCCCCTTAGCCACATAACTCCCAGTAAACAGCTAGCCAGGCGACTTGGCGGGGCCAGCACGGTGAGATTCGTCAGAGCAACTGGACTGGAGCTGGCGCCTCACAGGCCCTCCGCCCCCTCTATCTTTAGCGGTCCTGCCTCTGTAGCCGGAGCCTAGCCAACTCCAGGCACGTTACGTACTCCGTCTCGACATCCGCATCTCCCCACCTGTCCCTAGACTCGAGTCCAGCTGTCAACGGGCCATTGCTGCGCTCCTCCGCCTCCAGCAATCTCGAAGCTTCACCGTCACGACTTTGGGAGCTTGTGCCTGTGCTGCCCACCTTTTGCAATCATGGCGAACCAAACTCCCGCCGTTGTCATGGACAAGTAAGTCTCGATTCCCGCCGCGGACGCAGACATGCCGCCCCTCTCTCCTCTCTCCTGGATGGCTCCAGATCAACAGCTCGACGCAAGGTGCTAACTCGACACTCGTCCAGCGGCACGGGTTTCTCCAAGCTAGGTACTATCTCGCCCGTGTTCCCCGCCAACTGTGCTTGCCGTCTACGGATCTGCGGTCGACTGACTTGAGCTCGCTCTGCTAGGTTTTGCCGGCAACGATTCCCCTTCATTCGTCTTCCCTACCGCCATCGCGACCAAGGCTGCCAGTGGAGGTGCCGGAGGATCAGGATCGGGCCGCCCGGGCGTTGCCAATAAGCCTTCGTTCCTCACCGGAGGAGCTGGCCCCAGCGGCCACCTGAACTCGAAGCGCGGAACCGAGGACTTGGACTTTTACATCGGTGACGAGGCCATTAACGCCGCGGCTGGTCCTGGATACGGCCTCCACTACCCCATCCGCCATGGTCAGATTGAGAACTGGGTACGAGATGAGCATATGTGGTGTTTGGGGGAGAGATGTAGTCTCGCTAACCGGCAATTAGGACCACATGGAGCGATTTTGGTCAAACTCCATCTTCAAGTACCTGCGAGTCGAGCCCGAAGACCACTACTTCCTTCTTACCGAGCCTGTGGGTTTCCTTGATGCCTCTGATGGTTGGAAGTTGCTAACATCTGGCACAGCCTCTGAACCCCCCCGAAAACCGAGAAAACACTGCCGAGATCTTCTTCGAGTCGTTCAACTGTGCCGGCATGTACATTGCGGTGCAGGCTGTTCTTGCTCTCGCGGCCTCGTGGACCTCTTCCAAGGTCTCGGATCGCTCCTTGACCGGTACCGTTATTGACTCTGGTGATGGTGTCACCCACGTCATCCCTGTCGCCGAAGGATACGTTATCGGATCCTCCATCAAGTCGATCCCTGTTGCCGGACGAGACATTACATACTTTGTACAGTCTCTTCTGCGAGACCGTGGCGAGCCCGACTCCTCTCTGAAGACAGCCCAGGAGATCAAGGAGGAGTACTGCTACGTCTGCCCCGATATTGTCAAGGAGTTTGCCCGCTACGACCGTGACCGCAGCCGCTTCGCCAAGCACGTCGTGACCCAGCCCGGTGGTCGCCAGGTCACCGTCGACGTCGGCTACGAGCGTTTCCTGGCTCCCGAGATCTTCTTCAACCCCGAAATCTACACATCAGATTTCCTGACTCCGCTGCCAACAGTTGTGGATGGCGTCATTCAGCAGTCCCCAATTGATGTTCGACGAGGCCTATACAAGAACATTGTGCTGTCCGGTGGAAGCACCCTCTACAAGGACTTTGGACGACGTTTACAGCGAGACATTAAGCTGCTTGTGGATGCCAGAATCCAGGCCAGCGAGCAGCGCAGCGGCGGTGCCCGTAGCGGTGGAGTGGATGTCCAGGTTATCACTCACAAGAGACAGCGACATGGACCCTGGTTCGGCGGCAGTCTGCTCGGCCAGACTCCCGAGTTCCGATCCTACTGCCACACCAAGGCGGAGGTACGTCATACCACCTTGCTTGATTGTGTTTTGAAACATGGCATGACTAACAATTCGCTTAGTACCAAGAATACGGACCTAGCATTGTGCGAAGATTTGCTCTCCTCGGTGGCCCTGGCGGTTCATAAAAGGTGGTGTAAGTGGTTAAGGAAAGGCGGAGTCTTAGAGGCTTGGAAGATGCGTTTGACTTTAGTGAAGGAGGATATAGGCAAATACAATATACTACGTATTTATAAGCCTCTCGTATGTCTGATTCGCTCAAAGTCAACATGAGGCGTGCATTCGCCTCGATTGGGTTGAGCTAGCGGTACCATCATCTGTAAGTACTGGACGATGCGGCCACTGCATCTTGAAGCTGACGATAACCCTTGACTATTTTCATTTGAGTATTTTCGTTGAAGTGCATTTCATATTCATAGGCCTACAGTTTCTTAAAGAACAGATTGGTCAAATAGCTTTCATTTCTCATATCATTAACCTCAAACAAACAGCTGCCGTAAATCTCGTTACCTTTACACCCCGCCATCACTTATAAGTACATGTAGATATTAAAAGAAAAGACAATCCTTGCCCAGCAAACAACAAACTCTCCCATGCCTGCACCAAGCCGCCAGCCTATACTCCTAGATTTGTATCTGAACCACTGATTTTCTCTTGCTTTGTTTCTTTCTTGTTTGTTGAGCTTTTGAACGCTTTTCAAGCACACATCTATTTGGAGGTGTCCACAACATAGCGGCCGGCAATCTTGGCCTCGTGCATCAAGTCATAAACATTCTGTAGCTGGCTCAGGCCAATGGATTTGTAAGGAACGTTGATTAAACCTCGTGCGAAGAAATCCAACGCCTCGGTGGTGTCCGCTCGGTTGCCGACGTAGCTGCCCTTGATGTTGATCATGCGAACGACTGTATCAAACACGGGAGCAGAGAGATTGGCATTCGCAGGAAGACCGATGCAGACCAGGACGCCCTTTGAGCGGAGATACTGCGTGGCCTGCTGGAAGGGCTTCTCCTGCACGGCGACGAGCAAAGCGCCGTAGGGGCCCTCGCCATCGGGCGTGGCGGCCTTGACGTCGGCGACGATGTCCTTGCTCTTTGTGAAGTCGATGAAGGTGGTGGCGCCGAGCTTGAGGCACAGGTCGCGCTTCTCGTCGCCGGCGTCAATGGCAATGGCGTGGATGCCCATGGCCTTGGCGTACTGGATGGCGATGCTGCCGAGGCCGCCACCAGCACCGACAATGGCGATTGTCTGACCGGGTCGCACGAGCGACTCCTTGATGCCCTTGTAAACGGTGATGCCGGCGCACAAGATGGGCGCAACGGCCTCGAGGTTGGTGCCCTTGGGGATGCGCGCAACGTGGGCGGCCTTGGCAATGGCGTACTCTTGGAACGTGCCGTCGACGGTGTAGCCCGACAGCAGGGCCTTTTTGCAAAGCGACTCGTCGCTGTTCTGGCAGTAGGAGCAGCTGAGGCACGAGCCGTTGAGCCACTTGATGCCGGCGAGGTCGCCGAGCTCAATGTCGGTGACGAGGCTGCCACGGGCAACGACGACGCCGGCGCCTTCGTGGCCGCCGACCAAGGGCAGCGGTTTTGTGTCGAGGGGCCAGTCGCCCATCATGGCGTGGAGGTCGGTGTGGCAGACGCCAGAGTATTTGACGTTGACGAGGACTTCATCGGGGCCGGGCTGCTGGACGGGGATGCGCTTGTAGGTGGCAGCTGGGAATGAGGTTAGAAGTGATGATGGTGGGAAGATTGGAGGTTTGAAGACGTACGTCCGCCGACTTTTTCGACGACTTGTGCCCATTGCTCGGTTGGAAGATTGAGGCTGCCCATGGTGGATGAAAGTTGACTTTTGTGATGAGTCTATAATATGTGTATAATGTAGAAACGATTCAATTGAGTGAATGAGAAGCTGGTGATGATGAAAGGGGATATAGACAGGAACAGCTGGATGGATGTGAGACGAGCAGATGTGATTTATATAAACCTTTTGTGAAGCCCGCCTTGGCCTAGCTCAACTCAGCTACAGCTCAGTATAATTGCTGCAGTACAACCCAAGAGGAGTGATATCATCTCATTCCCTCTCCCATCCAAACTTGGCTTGTATGTCACTCTTCTTCTCTTCGTTCTTTCTTCTCTGCCCGTTCTCGGCTGGACGGACCGATCCATGATTGGGTAGCATACATGGGAAACAGGGGGCAACTTGATCGCTAGGCCGATGGTGGTGTGGCTATTCGGCCAGACAAATCTTTAGTCTTAGTTAGGATCATGAAAGCGAGTAGATAGATGGTATAATTGTCAAGATAGTAACAAACCACGCGGCATCCGGTGCTAGTCTGGGATTTCGGTCGAGCGACGCCGGGGCCCGGATAACTGGGGCGGAGGGGGAAAAGCTTCAAGGTGGAGTGGAGCAGCTTCGCCCATCATGCCACGCCGACATCATGCCATCAAGCCATTGATATCGGATGCCCCATGATGCAGCCTGCAGTCTGTAGTTGTTAGCACAGAAAAGCAAACCACATCCTCAAGTCCGTGGGCATATAGACTGAATGCGCTTTTGCCCCGTTGGCCCTTGTTCAGCTATTTTGGTTCCCTTTTTTGTTATGGATGATGCAGCTTTGGTGATGGGCCCCCCACTTCTCGGGACGGCCTCATCGGACTATGCTGAGCTGTTTTGGCACTGTCGAATGTTGTCTTGGTCTGCCGTTGGGCGGCGTTATCAAGGCGTTTCTGTTGCTTCTTTTTTTATTAGGTTGAAGGAGAAACTCCGTTCGGAAGTGATACGTCACTACATTTTGTCTCGCTGTTCAGCTAGATTGTGCAAGGCGTGGGTGTATCACAGCGCTCGCGCTCTCTCTCTCTCATTCTCCGTACACGGCTTATACGAGGCTTCACCTCTTCGTACTAATCTCTTGAATAGTGCATGTAAAGAGTTCCACAAAAGAGCTGGAAGGGTCCAAGAAGCAGCGCTAGGCGTAACGGAATTGATTCAAAGAATGTAGGCACAGCCTTGGTGTCCACCTTCAGGATCCTTCATAGCTCCAAATGGGCTACTCATCTCCAGCCACATCCATCGGTCAAAGCAAGAAATAGGCCTACAAGCTCCGCCTCTGCTCTTCTGTCTAGGAAGTTCAAGCTAGTAGCTTTTTACACTTTGGACTACAAGTGCCAAGTGCCCGATAGCTACAGAGAGATTGAATGCTGAGCGGTGATCACGGGCAAAAGTGGGCTTTGCGCCACAGTGTCCCGCGAAGTGAAACAGAGCAAGAGGAGGGGGATCTTGGCGTAGATGAAGCTCCAGATAGATTGTAGCGTTTAAAGAATTTTCATCATTTATGTCATGTTATTACTACTCAATACGGGGCAAAGGGACGAGCAATCAATGAGGAGACGAGAGGAAAACGGCCTAGTCTAGGGATCCAGTTGCCGTGACACTTGCACGAGTCCGGGGAAGAGGGCGGGCAATGGCGTGGGGTATCCGATGGATGGCCAGATGGAGACGGAGATGAAGGAGATCCGCGACAGCTACTGGGTCTTGGCTTAGACGCAAGTTTGGGCTTGATTGTTTATGATGTGCTGTCCTGGTGACCAAGTGGTCCGGAGAGTGTCGTGGCGAGAGAAGTCGTGGGGTAGATACACCATAGTCGACGAAAAGATCAAGAGAAGAGCCAATCGTGACGGCCCGACACGGATCTGTACTCGAAAGTAACAACACGGGACGCAGTTTAGTTTCCATTCAGCATGACTCGAATCCTAGAGGCTACTCCAGATCGCCAACATCCTATGAAGCCTGTCTTCCCCATATAAGCTCCCGTACTGCCTAGTCCCCGTTACCCCATGTTATCCTCCCCACAAAGATCCTTCTTCCTCAACCAACAGATTCTCCTCCTCCTCTTCGGTCGATCAATAGTCAACCCATGCCTACAAATACATCCTAGCATCAAGAAACAACAAGCCACGACATTCTAGACGGACCGCAAGCCCACCCCGTTCCGCCGATAGATGCGGGACTCGATAAGCCTCTTTTCGCTCGCTCGAACGGAATCACTCCAGAGCCTCTCCCTCCTCCCCCGCTAGGCCTCTTTTACTGATTAAAGTTATGCGACTAATCTTCTCCATCTCTATACGGTTATATATTTACCCCAGCTTTTTACTAGTAGTATCTCACTTCTAACAAATTAATCTGGGGTGCATTCGGATTAGGTTGCCTGCTATTGATAGAAGGGCGCCAAGGGACGTGTTTCATGGGGTGGGAGGCGTCAGTCCGGCGATGCGGATGAAAGATTCGTAGATGCGGGGAAAACGGAGCCCTTGAGCTTAGAGCACGAAGCGAGCTCCATCAGTCTTTAGCCTTGTAGGGGTTTGCTTCGCAAAAAAATGTCTTTGGAGGTTTGTTGTCGTAATGGGCTCCATGGACAATGTTCAGCTGGCCTGCATCGAGTAATGCTGGTCACAAGGGCATCTATGCTGGTGTTGGAGGGCGTATCTGTGGTTCTGGCTTGTCTGCGATGTATCTCCCAGTAATCAAGGGCTAACATCTATTAAATCTGCAATCCAATCTCTCAACATATTGCCCTTCTCAGCGAGATGTAATGGTGGTTGCGCCAGATTCATGAAAGGTGCCATCCATCTGCGCGTCCATGCGTACCCGCAGTCATCCTACTGAAATCACTTTTTAGAACTGTTATACGATATCCTCCTGGAGTCCTCCAACACGTTTACATCTACAACTGGCCTCGCTCTACTCTCTTCGCCTTGTCATTTATGTTGAGAAAGATCGCCTGTGTACTGTACTCAATCCCGCTACTACTTAGTCACCGTGGAAAAGGCAAGCTGACACAGAGCAATTTAGATCCCCTCAGAGTATCGACTTCACAAGCAGCGTGCAAGCTCATGATTGGAACTTGAAAGATTCATTATTTCATTAAAGAACAGACGCTCGAGATATCCCGTCATGTGTGTCTAGTTGCCTCGCAACATCTTGTTTCGCTTCCTCCTCTGCATCTCTGTCTCCATTTCCCTTTCTTTACGCAGAAGCAGTAACCTCGACGGACTGAGGGACGCCGTCGGCAGTGGCAGAGTTGATCTTCTTGCCGGTCTTGTAGATCTTCTCCAAGACGGTCTCGTAGGGCAGGTCGGTGTTGACAATTGCGGTCTGCTTCTCAAGAGAAACCTCGTAGCTATCGACGCCTGGAAAAGTAAAACATTGTCAGCACTCGTGGGCGCTATTGATGCTGCAACAAGGCAGAGGGAGGAAATATATATGCCAGGAGAAGTGGCTACATACCGTCGAGCTTCTTGAGGACACGGTCAATGGCGCCAGAGCAGCCGCCGCAGGTCATGGTGACATCGAACTGGTAGGTGTGAGGGGCCATTTTTGCAGATGGTAGTTTGTGGACGTGAAAGTTTTGATGGTGGTGAAGGAGGTTCGTTGTTGTAAAGGCTTGATTGATTTGAATTGATTTATCTGTCTGTTTTGGAAGAAAAAGCTGCGAGGCCCAACACTTGTCTTATAAGGATTGCGCGGCTGACCACCCAGCCGGATTAAATCAGATTAATAATTGATCCTTTTGCGCTGATATCGCAGCCGCCCAACAAAAACCCCACCAGAACAAGGGAAAGGTGCTCGTCACAGCAGCGCAGATTGCGCCACGGCCCTCGCTGTAACTGTTTGTGTCCCAAGGGGGGGATGGAAGTACCCGCTACTTCTGTTTCGAGACAAGTTTGCGCTGATGTGCAGCGTGAGCTTTACGCCATCTTCCCGCATAGGCAGGTTCTGGGTACCTCCAACTTTTGTGCGGCTGCAAACAATACCCCGCTAAGAAGAAAGGAGTCAGCCGCGGCGTGAAACTTGCTCACTTCAAGTTGTTTTGGACCGGCTGCTGCCGAGACGTGAAACGCAGCAGGAGGCGACTCGAAGAGGACAGAATCGACAATAAGGAGGCACCTTTTTGTCAATAAGGATAAAAGATCATTCCTTCATTCTTTCTAAAACTTGCTCACGTACAAAGGGGGACGAGCTATTGTTTTGTTTTCGTCCCTCGCTTCCCCTTTTTTCCCACTGTGTTGAGTCTCGTTCTCGTCCGTTCTGATACAAGTGCTGCGGTATTTGTGCCGGATGCATATTCGCGGAGGGATTACACGCCAATAGAATCACGGGGAACGAGAACAGGGGATGCGATACTCGGCACAAAGAGCGCAGCGCTTGTGTCAGCTTCATCCTGCTTCTCATCTTGATAATGATTGGTAACCAGTGGTATCTTTGCCATACTCTTAGTTTACGAAGTGGTAGTTTAGACCACAACCCACAAAGGGCAATTTATATCAAGACCATAGGTAGATAATTGTAAGTTTGATTAGAAAGGCAAAGAAAGAAAGTAAGTCATTATGCATAGGCTATGCTGTCGTCAATATATAAAAGAGAAACCACACTATAATACACGCAAAAACAAGCTTATTCATAGCCCATCATCGCATCTTCACTTCACCTTCACTTCTCAGAACCGCGCCTCGACTTTATCCCGCGTCTGCTGCAGCGCCCAGTCATTCCTCGACGTCTTGCTCATCACCTCATCCGCCTGCTCCTTCGTGAACCCCTTTGCCTCCACCGCCGGGTTGTATCCCAGCTTGTTCACTTTACCCACCGTCTCCGAGTCCACCACGGCCGCAGCCTCGCCGTCCGCGCGCTTCAGAATCGTCACCACCACGGCACCGCCCAGCCCCAGGTTGTGCGCCATCGTGTACCTTGTGTTCGGCACGGCGCGGTTGTTTGCCCAGCCGCGCAGGTGCCAGACCAGCTCGGCGCACTGCGCAATGCCCGTGGCGCCCAGCGGATGGCCTTTGGACGTGAGCCCGCCGGACGGGTTGATGACATACTTGCCGCCGTAGGTGATGTCGCCGTTGCGCACCAGCTCGTGCGCCTTGCCCTTGTCGCTGAGCCCCAGCGCGTCAATCACAATCAGCTCGTTGGTGCTGAAGCAGTCGTGCAGCTCCACAACCTGCACGTCGCGCGGCGTGATGCCCGCCTCGGTGGTGGCCTCCTTGACGGCGTGTTCGATCATCTCGTAGCCCAGCAGGTTGATGTCGCTGCGCGAAAACAGGCTCGGCCCGTCCGTCGCCAGCGACTGGCCCGCAATCAGGACGGCCTGCGACTTCAGATGCGGCCGCTTGTCCAGAAAAGCCTGCGAGACGAGAATCGCCGCCGCGCCGCCGTCCGACGTCGGGCAGCACTGCAGCTTGGTCAGCGGCTCGTAGATCATGGGCGACTGGAGGATCTCGTCCAGCGTGTACACCTGCTGGAACTGCGAGTACGGGTTGTTCGGCGAGTGTGCGTGGTTCACGCGCGCAATCTCCGCAAAGTCCTCGGCCTTTGCGCCGTACTTCTCCATGTATTCCCTGCCGCCGTTGCCAAACAACTGCGCCGTGCCGGGCGCGTTGGTGATGCCCCGCGTCTCGGCCATCTGCTTGACAAACGTGCCCGTCGGGCTCTCGCGGTCCTTCCAGAAGCTCTGCAGGCTGCCCGGGTTCATCTTCTCAAAGCCCACCACCATGACGCAGTCATTCATGCCGCTGGCGATGAACTGGCGGCCCATGGCCAGGCCCGTCGAGCCCGTCGAGCAGTTGTTGTTGACGTTGTAGACGGGGATCTTGGTCAGGCCGAACTGGTAAAAGACGCGCTGGCCGGCGGTGCTGTCGCCGTAGCAGTAGCAGGCGATGCCCTGCTCGACGTCGTCGTAGTTGATTTGCGCGTCCAGCAGCGCCTTGACGCCGGCCTCGTAGCCCAGCTCGGTGTAGTCGACTTTGCCCCGGGGCTTGATGAACTTTGTCATGCCCACGCCGAGGATGTAGACGGGCGCCTTTTCTTTGGGAGCCATGGCTGTGATTGTCTCTTATTTTGTTTTTGTTATTGATGGTACACCCTTAAACATGTAAAAAACGATTCGCACTTCTTTGGCAGTGTCACCGCCTCTTGTATATATACAGTCGGGATATAAAGCTCCAGCTGCCATCGCCTGCGGAGTACACGGAGTATATGCATCCCTTGCCGGCGAGAATGCGGGGAGGTGCGCTGATCCCAAACCCGGGACGCCATGCCGAGGTTCGTTTGGCGGCGGCCCGTGGTGTCCGTATGTATTACCCGTTTTAGCCAAAGTTCCTATACTGGCCATTCGAGATGGTGCCTCTTCAGGTAATACGATTGCAGGCCAAGCACGTGTGAGCTCTCGCTGCCATCTCTTTCTGGAAACAAGTTCGACTCAATACGGGTTTTGTGTAAAGGCCAGCCGAGGTGTAGCGAGGCAAATTACATGTACCTCCTACTTTGTGCCTTGCAGCCCTATAATTGCTGAGAAATGGAACTGATTGCTTGGGCTCCTCGGCAAAATCGGGGCTTTTGGCCAGGAGTGGCATAACTCGCCGACCGAGCATTCACTGACTCTTTCAAAAAGCACGAGCCTCAATGTCTTACAACAAAAAAACAAAAGGTTCATAATAGCAAACTGTATTTGTAACAAAAGAAAGAGACGCTGAACTTTTGCTTATATAAATGACATCCTTCAGCTCAAGTTCCAAGTCATGTGACGTAATCCCTGAAACACAGCCGGAGTGTTATGGACCCTTTTCCTTTCGTAGCGTGCCCAGCTCTTCGATCGAAGAATTCTAATAGTCCGAGTCTGACCGGCCGAGTGGCACGGCTCCGAAGCGTATATATATACATGTGCATGTATCGGCCGAGTTGGACAAATTCATTCAAACATTGCCCGAGTGGCTTTGCGATGGATGGAAAGGAGTAGAAAGGAAATAAAAACTATTTAAAGAGCGTGAATCAACAGTTTTTTAGCATTTGGAGAAATCAATCATCAATCCGAGACGTTTTCCCAAAGCCTGATTTAAAAACACCTCATTGAAGCTATTTCCAGCATCTGCTCCAAGGTGCACTTACACGCCTTCAGTTGTTCTCATCACACAACAAACACTCTTATTTAAAAGCCAACAAGAATTTTTTTTTTTTTATTCAACTACCTCAATTAAGTAAAATGCACATCTTCATCTCCGGAGCCACTGGCCGCAACGGCCGCCTCATCCTCGCCGAGGCCCTCTCCCGTAACCACACCGTCACCGTCCTTGCCCGCGATCCATCCTCTCTCACACCACATCCAAACCTCACAATCGTCCAAGGTACGCAAAAGCCACTCATTATCCTTTTTCAAAATCAAGCTCCATTTCAAGAAAGCTAATCTCGCACATTACAGGAACGCCAACCTCCCTCCAAGACGTCCAAACCGCCCTCTCAACACCATCCCCCCCCTCCGCCATCCTCACAACCCTCAACCAGCGGCGCGTGTCCGAAAACCCCTTCTCGGCCTTATCCCCCGACACGCCCCCGGATCTGCTCACCTCCACCGCCACAATCCTGCTCTCCGCCATCGCAAACACAGCCTTCAACACACCTCCCAAAATCGTCGTCAACTCCCTCTATGGCGCGCGCGAATCCATGGCCAACATGAGCTTCCTCTTTCGCGCCGTGCTCGAACACAGCACAATGAAGATTGCCATCAAGGACCACAACAGCATGGACGAATTGATCCGCAAGAGTGGACTGCCGTTTGTTTTTGCGAGGCCGGCGAGGCTGACGGAGGGTCCTGCTGAGGCTGTCAGGGTCTGGCCGGATGATGGGCAGGGTGTAGGCTGGAATGCGGCCATTAGCAGAGCTAGCTTGGCTAAATGGATGGTCAAGGCAGCTGAGGCAAGCGAGTGGGATGGGAAGTCCCCGGTGCTGACAAAATAGAATGCAAGGATTTGGGGGTAGCAAGCCAGGTTGTTATGCCTACAAGAAGAGAGTGCTTTTTTCTTTCCAAGTATAGACAGTGTTTCTCGGAGAATCAGAATAGGCAGTCAGTCACATGTTAATAGAGCATCAATAAACCAAAAGCAAAAAAGAACCCCGTCATACATATTGCTATGCCGAACGGGTGCTAACCCTCTTTTACCTAGCCATGCGTCCTTCAAGTATCGTACAAAACGCCAACTGAAACACTTAATCCTAACCCCCAAAATTCACACGCACATGGGTATCTCCTCTCTTTTCTCTCTTCCTCCTCTTCTCACGACAACCATCCGAAATTCGACAGCCATCGTGCTCTGAGCCTAATTCTCACCAATCTCTCATACCAAGCAATTTTTCTCCAGAGCAAGGATCCAATGTCGAGAGTGATCAATCATCCAAGCCGTAAAATAACATAAAATAGCGGGGAAGATGATTTACACCTACAAATAAGACAACAAAGCCTCCGCAGAGACTGTTATCAATCCCAACCATCCCACATGATCCAGCCGCCAAATTCTTGGGTGGGATCAGACATGCCTCCCATGCCGT